GACAAAACAGGGTACAACTGACCCACTGGCTGATACAAGGGGTGGGGGTCGGGGTTACAGTTCGGGTGTATTAGGGGTACAACTGACCCACTGGCTAATACAAGGGGTGGGGGTCGGGGTTACAGTTCGGGTGTATTAGGGGTACAACTGACCCACTGGCTAATACAAGGGGTGGGGGTCGGGGTCACAGTTCGGGTGTATTAGGGGTACAACTGACCCACTGGCTAATACAAGGGGTGGGGGTCGGGGTTACAGTTCGGGTGTATTAGGGGTAGAACTGACCCACTTGCTAATACAAGGGGTGGGGGTCGGGGTTACAGTTCGGATGTATTAGGGGTAGAACTGACACTGGTTGATACAAGGGGTGGGGGTCGGGGTTACAGTTCGGGTGTATTAGGGGTAGAACTGACACTGGTTGATACAAGGGGTGACGCTGGGTGGGTGTCAGCAGCAAAGGGCGTCCAAAAATACACACGTGTCTGAATGGGACGGAAACAACAACGTCAAATTCAAATGAAATTCTGCTTCTTTAAACTCCAATGTTTATTCGGCTGTCGCGATAAAGTGATTGAGGCGAGTCACGACGGCCCGGCGGTTTACGTCGACAACAGCGATGTAGGGGTACACAAAAGCACGAGCTGTTATCTGTTATATTGAAGTTGGAGCACCTGTCTTCCTCCCCGCCGAGTCTAGCGGGACAAGCGCCTGTGTCTATAGAAAAGGCAGCCCCAGGCGTCCGTTTAGATACTGCTACATGACTGTAGTCAGTTTACTCGCTCCATTGTGTGCACTTGAGTCACTGCCAAGTCTTACACCAGCACGCAAGTCGTGGCCGACAGTCCGTCAGGGCGAGTTGGTGCCGAACTGTGACGCTCCCGTTTTGAATGGTGTTGTACTGTACACTGAACATGGGCAAAACACAGAATAGTACGAACAAGCGGTACAAGAAAGAGAGTGAATCTGCTACATGTGAGTGAGTGAGTGCTACAAGTGATTGAGTGAGTGAGAGTGTGATACAAGTGAGTGAGTGATTTATTTATTTTGTGAGTGAGTGAGTTGGGTTTAACGCCGCTTTTAACAGTATTCCAGTTATATCGTGGCGTGTCAGCTTAATGTGGGAGGAAAGCCCGAAGTGATGCAGGTCTCAGACGTTTACAACTTCGGTGAAACCCACGAGCATGGGTATGGTGCTGACAAACCTAGAAACACAATCGGGGCGAACCGGGATTCGAACCCACAATCATAGGTTTCTGGCGTGCCCAAGGGACGCAACTCTGCACAGCGGATTGCGGCGCCTTAGACGACCGGGCCACCCGTGCCCCCTATTTATTTTGTTGTTGTTTAACGCCGCACTCAGCAATATTGCAGCTATATGACGGCGGTCTGTAAATAATCGAGTCTGGACCAGACAATCCAGTGATTGGCATCATGAGCGTTGATCCACGCGGCTGAGATACGATGACATGCACCAACCAAGTCAGCAAGCCTGACCACCCGATCCCATTAGATCGATTCTCATGATGTCAATCACTGGATTGTCTTGTCCAGACTCGATTATTTACAGACCGCCGTCATATAGCTCGGGTATTGCTGTGTGTGGCATTAAATAACCAACGATCAAACAAGGCAAAAAAGTAACTGCGATTGTATTTGTTTGTTGTACTGGGGGCGGTCGGGTAGCCTAGTGATGTAAGCGTTCGCACGTCACGCCGAAGACCCGGGTTCGATTCCCGACAGTGTGTGAAGCCCATTTCTGGCGTTCCCTTCCGTAATATTGCTGGAATATTGCTAAAAGCGGCGTAAAACTATACTCACTTGCTGTACCGCCACAGTCATCAGTATTTGAGGTGTGACACAGCGACCCGTAAATATTCTAGTCTGGACCGGCAAAAGTGATTAACAATACACACCATCAACCAAGTCAAGGAGCCTGGCTATTACGTCTCCTCTTTCAAGATGTCAATCACTGGATTGTCTGGTCCAGAATTGACTATTTACAGCCAGCCACCACATAGCTGGAATATTGCTGAGTATGGCGTTAAACAACAAACAACAACAACAAAACATCCAAGATTTTCTGTACAGCTCGCCCAGAGCTAGGAGTACACAACAAGCCTTATTTACCCCTAGTATTAGGATGACCTTGCCGATTAGCGAGTCATAACATTCACAGAGAATAGAAAAGTGTTTGCTGACAACATATCTAACGAATTGAGGATCTCGGTGGTAGAGGTATGTACGGGTGTGTGACGGCTGCGCGTGACAATGACTGTCAACGGTGACGAGAAACCATTAATAAACAGTAGCAGGTCTGTCCAGTAACGGATATAGCGCTATAAAGTAGCTCGAACTGGATGTCAGCAGAGAGTCTAGTTTGTTTGTTGGTTTGTTGTTTAACGCCGCACTCAGCAATATTCCAGCTATATGACAGCGGTCTGTGAACAATCCAGTCTGGACCAGACAATCAAGTGATTGACATCATGCGCATTGATCCACGCAGTTGGGATCGATGACATGCGTCAACCAAGTCAGCGAGCCTGACCCCCCAAACCCGTTAATCGCCTCTTACCACAAGCGTGGGTTGCTGAAGATCAATTCTAACAAATTATTTTTAAAAAATATTATTTTTTTTTAAAAAAAGACAGGAAGAGCTGATAACATCAGGTTGAAATACAACAGCACGAACGTCTACAAAACATACGTGTTAACATTTGCGGGCCGCTTTTTGCAGTTTCAAATTAATAGCTTTGACACACTCATTGATTAAATAAATAATAATACCAAATATCACTTATAGCCTCCGAAAGGATATTCGATAATATTTTGCTGTATTGAGCGTGTGCTGTTCATGTCATTTTTTAAAATCGAAAACCTGAGTTGGAATCTCTCTTTGGTGCCCTAGTACCTCCAGCTCAATATTGCACCTCCACCCCGTCGTTAGGGACCTATCATTAGATATTCTTGGATGTCGAAGAAAAATTGTTCATGAAAAAAAGTTTAAAAAAAGATATTTTGCGTCAGACCTTTGAAAAATATGAAACTGCCTACCACAAAAACATATTGTTGCATGGTGGGTTTTTTTTCGGTTGTTTTGTTTTTTTGTTTTTTTTAAACAGGCTCTTAGTTTTCAACAGAATATCTTGTTTTGCAGCTACAGCTGAAAACATATCTTATCTCGATTCCTTATATGGCTCAAAGGCTGCATTATATTGTTTCAAGACCAATAATACCACATATTTTCGCGTTAATGCGTTTATTACAAGATTTTATGGACGCTTCTCATTATGTTCATGAAATGTTTTCCCCGCCACGAAGTGGAAGGGGGATATAGGAATGGGTGCCGTCCGTCCGTCCGTCCGTCCGTCCTTCCAAGTTCCATCCTTCCGTCCGTCCGTCACATTTCGTTCCCGGAGCAGATCTTCAAAACCGTACCATATTTCTTCACCAAACTTGGCACATAGATAGGTATAGTGGTGAACTGGTGTCTTTTGATAGTTAATTATTTTTTTAAAAAGAATTTTTTGAGTTTCCATGGCAACGACTTTGACTTAGACTGAAAATGGCGGTAGTCCTCGTTTCCGGAGCAGATCTTGAAAACCGTACCATATTTCTTCACCAAACTTGGCACATAATGTCATCTCACAGTATTGAATACATTTCCTTTCTTGTCGGTAAGTTCTGCATTGCTTGAGTGTATGTTCCTCCAAAAGTGTCATTGACACAGTTGTTGCATTCACTGACTAACTTCATACAGAAACAAAACTCATTACAAATACAACAGTGTAACTGATCTTAAACCTACTCATCTGTATAAACACTTCCTCCTATCCTGTATATATTCTTGTCAACCATACTCTGTACTCTACTTGCTTGATAGCGGTGTTAGAACCTACACCGAAACCATCGCTCCTAATTGTAATAAAGAAGTTGTTTGTCCATTCGTCTCATCCTTACTCATTACAAATACAGTTACGTATTCTTTCATAAACTGCAGATGGCAAAACAACACCAGTAGTAACTTTTTTTAGTGCTGCAGTTAGGCCATTAACAAAAAGGCACAGTGAACATAGTTCACAGGAGCTAATGCATTGCACACAACCGGACATGTCATATTGGCGGGGGATATGAGTATTTCATGCTTGTTTGCATTGACGTTTGCTTCTTATCACTTGGTTGAATCTACACGAAGACGTCGTCAAGGCAACAAACCAGAAGTTGTTATCCATACAGTTGTATGTTTCTTCCAGAATGTCAATCAATATATTATTAGGTGAGGTGAAATTGGGTTTAACGTCGTGTCCAAGATTATTGCACTTCTGTGTGTGTGGCTGCTTGTACTAGTCCGGACTGATGCCGATTTATAGTGCGAGCACACTGAGATACCATGCCGCAGTTTCACATGAATACCCCACTCAGACACAGTATACTGACTCCGAGCCGACCTGTCCTTGTTTTAGCCCCTCAATGCCGAGCACCAGACAGGGTAACAACAAGTACGGGGATCGAACACCGGACCTTCCGCTCCCCGGGCGGACGCTCTACCTCTAGACCACGGAGGCGGTTCAATATATTATTAAACCATGGCTCCTTTTTGAAGGTGCATTAACTAAACAAAATCTTAGTTTCCAACTGATTTGTTTCCCTTCAATTTACCTAGATGATAGAACAATTTCACGATTCGACCCGCGAAATCTGTCCGAAGGCAAACGAATGTAGTCTTCTGAAACGGCGACATATCGTGGAATTGACATATTTACTGACGCGAACACTGAAATTTACATAAACTGAGATATGTATTACTATTTTATATTAGGGATATATTTCTTTATAATATGCCCCTCCATGTAGGCAAATAATCTTCATGTGACTGATAAATGTGCTCGAGTTGGTCTTATATGGTTTGAAAACTTGCCCCGGACGTTTATTTCATAACCCGAGTCGGCAAAGAGCGAGATGCACGTGCCAAAGCCACGCGGAACACATTTCACGTGCATCACGCAGGGCCGACTCACACAGTGTCTCACGGTTAAACATAGAGTTCTTGAATATCGTTTTAAATGCGATTATAAAAATAATGTTGTTTAAACATTTTAGGTGCTAAGGTTCTTTGAATATTAACCATGGTTTATATTGGTTTGAGCATTGGCACCCTTCTGTCTAAACGTTGAAATGATTAGTTAGAGTCCGAGGTGATTAGGCACCAGGCAGACTCGGAATTCCACGCTGGTGTCAGACGCCCATTGCAACATACATAAAAGTACGAAAGCGCTGCTTATGCTTTGGGAAAGCGAAACACTGATTGCTTTACAGTAAGCGCTCAGTGAGTCATTGCTTTTGCTGTGGATTTTTCGTCCATGTTCAATCCCAGTCAGTTCAAACAGGTCAGGCGCGGAGCGTGAATGTTGTGAAGGTACTCTATTACTCCGGACACGCAAGAAACAGTGTTCCAGCTTTCATTGTGAAAAGGAATATCCCAGTGCTATTATTGGCTGTGTTTCAAGTTCCCACGTTTATAAAACAAGGTGAGTTTAAGTTTCATTGAAACATCATATTTCTTGACAAGAGAGTACATGAAATTTCTATTCTACTTAAAGTGTTCATACGTTAAGTTTTAATGTTAGTCTATACTTTAATTATTCTATGTACCAACACTTTTGCAATCCTGGTTAATGAGGTGAAATTGAGTTAAGCGTCGCGTTCAAGATTATTGCACTTATATAGCGACATGCATGCACGTGTGTGTGGCTATCAGATTACTGAGATACCATGCCGCAGTTTAACATGGATACCCCACTCAGACACAGTGTACTAACTCTGAGCCGACCAGCCCTTGTTTTCCCCTTAATACAGAGCGCTAGGCAGGGTAACAACAAGTTACGTCTGTTAACGTATTTGTTAAAGATGGTGTATTGTAATAGCATAATTTATTCTAAATCAACTTAGTAATTTGTGAGGAAATATACATGGGGACGAAGTTGCACCACAACATCGTTACTGCTGCTCTAGTTACAATCTATTCACAGTTGTAAACATGCTACTAATTTATCATATACTAAGTTCAACAGACTTTAAAACAAACCGGTAAAGCTAATCCCGCGATATTGTTGATGAATACCCCAGAAATAATTTCAGTTCCTTCAATGTAACGTCATCACGGGAAGGTCAATAACTAATGTTGCTTGAGTGAATGAGTGAGTGAGTGAGTGAGTGAGTATGGTTTTGACGCCGCTTTTAGCAATATTCCAGCAATATCATGGCGTGGGACACCAGAAATGGGCTTCACACATTGTACCCATGTCGGGAATCGAACCCGGGTCTTCGGCGTGACGAGCGAACGCTTTAACCATTAGGCTACCCGACCGCCCCACAGCGCATCATGGGTTGATTTTGATCAGTATTCTCCCAGTATCAGTTCAAGTATTACAAGTTGATTGATTTAGGTTTTCACAATGACTCCACAGTTACAATATTACTACGTTGTTCAATGTTTTGACATACATGATTTTGTCAGGTTTTAAATATGTGCAGTCTATACACGCCAATTTTGTTTTGTTTGTTTGTTTGTTGTTTAACGCCGCACTCAGCAATATTCCAGGTATATGACGGCGGTCTGTAAATAATCGAGTTTGGACCAGACAATCCAGTAGCTGACATCATCAACATCGATCAACGCATTTGGGATCGATGACATGCATCAACCAAGTCAGCGAGCCTGACCACCCGATCCATATAGTCTCCTTTTACAGCAAGCATGGGTTGCTGAAGATCTCTTTCTACCCCGTATCTTCACGGGTCCAGTTTAACATGGACACCCCACTCGGACACATTATGATGACACTGAATCGACCACTCCTTGTTTTTTCCCCCTTTAATGCCGAGCGCCAGGCATGGTAACAAAAAGTACAATCTTTAAACGTAATTTGGTATGAGGTAACCAGGGATCGAACCCCGAACCCTCCGGGAGGGTGTGTTGGGGGATTTTGGAATTTTGTATGAAGACTAACTATTTTCTTCAGCTACTTCTGCAAAACCATATTACTATTTATTTGTTTTTATTGCTGCAGATTGTTTCAATCCACCTACTGATCATCTCTGTATCTCGTGATGGCTTCACCTACCCCCTCCGACTGTGGCACCTTCACCACCTCCAGCTCCTCCGACTACGAGATGGACTCCGCCTACCACGGCACGCGCTGTGACCTCTGCAGCAACTCCATCTTCTTACCCAGAATGCTCAGCTGCCACCACACCCTGTGCCAGCCATGCATGGAGCGGGCACTGCACGAGACAGGCGCTGCCCACTGCCCACTCTGTCCACTGGACGTTTACATCGGCGGCCATGACGTCACGGGGCTCAAACAACCAACGAGAAGAGACGTCTTTGACGCCTGGTCTCGAGACGCCGACGTCGTTCATTGCACCGGATGTAAAATCAAGGGGGCAGCCGCTTCTGCCATTTGTTTTGACTGTGGGAACTTCTTGTGCGCAAACTGTATAATGGCGCATCAGTTTATGAACCGCTTTAAAGGACATCGTGTTTTAAGCCTTGGAAATCTACAAAAGAACACCGACGAGGGTTTCATGGCAGAGAAGCCGGACATATGTCCAAGACACGCCAACAACGTGGCTGATCATTTCTGCACTTCCTGTGCAAAGCCTTTGTGCAGCGAGTGCATATTAGAACACAATGAAGGTCACGTATGTAAGCCACTCACTGATGTAGCAGACGACCACGTGAACTCGTTGCGCCACCTAGTGGCAAATGCAAGCAGCAAAATTAATCACTTGCGGGCCTTAGCCAAACGAGCTGCCTATATTTCATCAACGTTGGCTCAACAGCACAGGAATTCCAAATCTGGCATCAACGATACCTTCGCCTTCTATAGCTCCATGTTAGATAGACGCAGGACTGAAGCCATGATAGAACTTCATCAGGCGTTCAACACGAAGCAGGTCGCCATCAGTACCGTGGCCCAGCAGATTCAGAGTAGCACCCATACCCTGAACCAAGGCGTGCAGTTCATTGACAGGGTGCTCTCTCACAGCTCCGTCACGGAAGCCCTGCTGATGAAGAAATGCATAGAAGAACGTTTCCAGAACCTCTTCAACTTCCTACCAAGTCTTCAGAACAGTGGACACTCTGAGATAAACTTCGTTTCTGATTGCCAGACAATCAAAACAGAAGTCCAGGCCAACTTTGGCTACGTTCGACAAGGCTGTGAGATTCTGCAGCTGCCTTCACAGAAAACGCACTCTGCCGGACGTGTTACACCTAATCATATATACTAATTGTTTTAAGTAATTGTACACCTGTTTGACTGTATATAGTGTCAAGGCCTTGTTTTTTACACACGAGCACCAGTCACTTGCCTTGTTATAAGTTGCAAAGGTTTTAATTGCAGGTCATTAAATTAGTCCTCAGTAATGACCTCTATATAGATAAATGTAGATATATACGGAACAAAACAAGTTAAGTTTCATGAATATTTTGTTGGAATATTTTTGTAGTGAAGACTTGGCATAGAATTTCATACAAATATTCCCAAGAGTATCACGACTCCTAACATTTTTGTTCACTATATTAATGTTCGTTACAAATGGATCAATCCACAGGTCTTTACAACCTTTGTGATGACAGTGGTTGTTTAAAATGTCTCGCTGCAGTTATTTCTTCATTTGTTTATTTCTGTTTATTTTTTGTTGACAGTTGTGCTATTTATGCATTGCCTTGTTTGTATGATCACATGGATTATGTTTGACTTTTTATCCAAATGTCATGGAGCTATTGTATTTTAATATGACCAGTATTGTACCTTCTTGTTTAAACCAGCAATAACATTTTCTTGACGTGGGCGTGCTGTTTATAACGACTTTCCTACACATTTGAATTTTATTGTTTTTATCTTGAAAATATTTGTTTTAGAAATGGCTTAGACTTGATCTTGAATGTGAATAAATATCTCAATGTACAGCTGTTTTTTCCTCTGGTTATCTATGGAGGAAGAATGAGACGCTTTGAACAGTTTCATGTAGAAGGAAAGCGCAGTGCGGCGCAGAAAAACCAAGAACCACAATAAGAGCGAATTTGGGATTCGAACCCGCGTTCATAGTATATTACGATTCTTAGACACCGCTCTGCACGGCCACCCAGTAACCTGTGACACCTGTTTAGGTAGGGATTCTTTTATTCCCTATATCGTTTGTGTTTATTCCGGGGGCACGGGTGGCCCAGTCGTCTAAGACGCCGCGATTCGCTGTGCAGAGTTGCGTCCCTTGAGCACGCCAGAAACCTATGATTGTGGGTTCGAATCCCGGTTCGCCCCGATTATGTTTCTAGGTTTGTCAGCACCATAACCGTGGTCGTGGGTTTCACCGAAGTGGTATACGTCTGAGACCTGCATCACTTCGGGCTTTCCTCCCACATTAAGCTGACACGCCGCGATATAACTGGAATACTGTTAAAAGCGGCGTTAAACACAACTCACTCACTCACTTGGGTTTATTCCACTTTTTGAAATTGCTACACCGGTTAAAATGCATTCAAACCTTGTTCAATATCCCGTTCAACACTACATACAAGAACATTTGTCACCATCGGCTTTCTCATATACTAACTGATAAAAAAAGTAACTGTGCATCATATATAGTGCTGTAAATGTTGTTACTGAAAATAACCTCATGATATTTGGTAATTCGTCTGATCATTGTTTTATCAACAAATTCATTGACAACACCTATACCTGGTTGCGCAGTGAAGACCAGTGAAAATAGCCTGGCAGATGTTCCAAATGTCAACCCAAGATTGGCCCAACTAAGCTAGCGTTACTGGCTGGCACTGTTCCTGACGTAGGGGTTCCTGTCGTAGGTGTCTTCCATCTCATCCTAGACATGTTCTGTGGGGGAGTGGTCGGGAGGAACAGCAGACTATGACAGTACAGCAATGTTATGCTGTCTCAAAAAGTTACATGATCGCGAACAATGTCGTCCCGGTAGCGTACGCCATTGAAATTGCTATTAACAATGATGAGTTGTTCTCCTATGAATGGTGATGCCACCCCATACCATCGCACTTCCATCCTCGAACCAACTCCTCTAAAACGTTCTCCTGGACGTCTATATATATATATATAGAGAGAGAGAGAGAGAGGGAGAGAGAGCGCCACCCCACTCAGACACGGTACACTGACTACGAGCCGACCAGCCTTGGTTTAAGCCCCTTAATGCCGAGCGCCAGACAGGGTAACGACAAGTACCATCTTTTAACATATTTTGGTATGACGCGGCCTGGAATCGAACCCCGGACCGCCCGCTCTCCGGGCGGACACTTTACCACGGATGTGTCCTGTCCAGATGAAAGCTGTGCTTATCTGTGAACAGTATACGTCAGGTGCTGTCTAGACCAAGCTATGCCTGGCGGTGACGTAGACGGAATAGTGAGCGTATTGCTGAATGTCAGAGGCGCATGTTGTGCTCCCTCAGCCGGTTGTGTTCACTCATGATCTGTTAATGAGGCAGTTTGTTATTGATTCCGTAGATGTACCAACCGAATATGGTTGTCTTGTTGACGTGACGTCACACGTAGACGACCGGACCGTGGCGGGTCATTAGTGTTGCCCCGCTGCAGATAATGTCTCCAAAGAGATAATATTGTTTTTAGATGAAAATTTATTTTGCGCCATTCCTGTTGCAACATACCCACGACGCGTAGACGTTTATTTTCAGCAAGCCGTGGCATAACGTAAGCGTTTTTTACGGTGAAATAAAAGTTATTTAAATGAGCACCTGATAGCTAAATATTCATTTTATGCTGTTCACATTAAAAAAAATAAATGTATACCATGCTCCCAACAAACACGCACGCATCCAAATTGTGCATCGTGCATGAACGTGTATATGTCTGCTGGGGTCGGGGGCCGCGGTTATACAGCTGGAATATTGCTAAGTGCGGCGTTAAACAACAATCAACCCACATTATATGGGGATCCGGGACATTCAAGAGTAAAAAAACAGATTCCCCTTCTCGGGTAGCTTGTTTAATAGACGACACGATTGTCAATTGCAATTCTTTCGCTGTTCGACTTCTCTCAGGTGTCGTGTCATATTTCAACCACGTGAATCTCGTGCAGCACGTGCACTACAGTCACTCCAACTCACGTTGGATGAGACAGCCAATGGTGAGGGGGCATTAGCCCGGTTATAAAACTTGGATCAACTGTAGGCCTTGCAGGTGTGTAGGACTGGGTAAATCAGGTATGAATTCGGGAATTTTCAAAACTGTATGCACTGAGGTGCTATTTCCCTCATTCCAGACCTTGCATCGTTGGAAATGGCAGCTTTTGAAAAATAGCATTTTTCTATAAAATGCTTTATGATAATAAATAAGGAAGAAGAATAAAAAGGTTAACAAATTTCAGTTTTCTGATAATTGTGAAACTGCAAACTCTAAGGAAATGTTATTTACAATGGTCAAACAATTTGTAAGAAACGAACTGTTAATGCAGATATTCCTTTAAAAGTTTGTTCAAGAAATTTACAAACATCAGGTACCACCATGGCAATGATTACATGCAGTGTTACCAAACTGGTTACCCGGAATATCCGGGGTAGAATAGGTCTTCAGCAACTCATGCTTGCCGTAAAAGGCGACTATGCTTGTCGTAAGAGGCGACTGACGGGACCGGGTGGTCAGGCTCGCTGACTTGGTTGATGCATGTCATCGATCCTAATTGCGTAGATCGTTGATCGATGCTCATAATGTCAACTACTAGATTGTCTGGTCCAGACTCGAGTATTTACAGACCGCCGTCATATAGCTGGAATATAGTGGTCTAGTGGTAGAGCGTCCGCCGTAGAGCAGAAGGTCCGGGGTTCGATCCCCGGCCGCGTCATACCAAAAGACGTTAAAAGATGGTACTTGTTGTTACCCTGTCTGGCGTTCGGCATTAAGGGGCTAAAACAAGGACTGATCGGCTCGGAGTCAGTATACTGTGTCTGAGTGGGGTATTCATGTTAAACTGCGGCATGGTATCTCAGTGAGCTAGCACTATAAATCGGCATCAGTCCGGACTAGTACAAGCAGCCACACAAACACACACACGTACATGCACGTCGCTGTTTTAGTGCAATAATCTTGGACGCGATGTTAAACCCCATTTCACCTCAAATTATCTCTCCATAATCAGCCATAACGTTCAGCTATTCTGGCCACCTCAACCCAGTGATGGCCACCAACAACAAACAACATACTGGCATAGCATAGCTAATGAACACAGTTCCACACTGGAGATTGCAGCACCCCAGAGCTGGGTCATCCCTCACAAGGCAGGCAGACCAGCGAGAGAGTTGGGTTTAACACAGATTTGAACATTACTTTTCTGTTATCACACAGCATGGATATGATGCTGACAGACAAAAAATAATAACAAGCATGAAATAACCCCGCCAATATGACATGTCCGGTTGTGTGCAAGGCACGATCTGCTACGAAAACAAGCACTAGCGCCATTTTCAGTCAAAATCGTTGCTTTGGAAACTCGAAAAATATTGGATCTGCGGGAGGGGCGGTCCGGTAGCCTAGTGATTAAAGCACACCGAAGCCCCGATTCGAATCCCAACATGGGTACAATGTGTGAAGCCCATTTCTGGTGTTCCCCGCCATAATATTGCTGGGATATTGTTAACAGCAGCAAAAAAACATACTCACTCACGCACTGGATCTGTATGCCATAGGCATGACCAAAGTTTGTTTGTTTGTTTGTTTGTTTGAAGCCATACTCAGCAATTCCAGCTTTATGACAGCGGTCTGTAATCAAGTCTGAACCAGATAATCCAGTGATTGATATCATGAGCACTGATACACGAAATTGGGATATGATCCCATGCATCAACCAAGTCAGCGAGCCTGACCACCTGATCCGGTTAATCGCCTCTTACGACAAGCATAGTCACATTTTATGGCAATCATGTGTTCCTGAAGACCTATTCTCTACACGGAGTGGCATGACAGCTGCCTTACGTGAGTATGAGTGAGTGAGTGAGTTGGGTTTAAAGCCGCTTTTAACAATATTCCAGTTATATTGCGGCATGTCAGCTTAATGTGGGAGGATAGCCCGAAGTGATGCAGGTCTAAAACGTTTACAACTTCGGTGAAACCCACGAGCACAGGTATGGTGCTGACAAACCTAGAAACATAATCAGGGCGAACGGGGATTCGAACCCACAATCATAGGTTTCAAGCGTGTCCAAGGGACGCAACTCTGCACAGCAAATCGCGGCGAGCATGACCAAAGTTTGTACTGAGGACCAATATGAGATTCAGACCATCTTACAGCGGATCCTGGCGCAGGATGTTTCCCAGAGCAACCAGGATTAATGAAACAGAGTGAGTGAGTGAGTATGGTTTTATGCCACTTTTAGCAATATTCCAGCAATATCACGGCAGGGGACACCAGAAATGGGCTTCACACATTGTACCCATGTCGGGAATCGAACCCGGGTTTTCGGCGTGATGAGCGAACGCTTTAACAACTAGGCTACCCGACCGCCCCTAATGAAACAGAAACAGTGATAGCTTTGTATACTTTTATTGAGCAGTTACTACACTATTACAGTTTGAAATACTGTGAACACCATTGCAGCTTGTTCAGAGATGAGTAAACTCTGACTCACACATTCCATTGTAATCAAACTCATAGAACATGCTATTAGTATTTGAATAATGGTTTTACCCAAACTTTATACTTCATGACTCTAATGATCATATTTCAATCACTTCTGAGCAGTGGACAGTATTTTAACAAAATAAAAAATATAATATGCCAGTTAAATGATTAATGGATGTTTTTATTTCCTCTACAAGTGATTTCTACTGCTTTCATCTTTCTTCATGTTAATAGGCACTGAAATAGATGGGTCACTTTGGAATTCTTTAGATATAACACTCATTCATGCATCTTCTATATATGCATAACCAAACATTACAGAACAAAATATATTCATCCTCTAACACCAAAAAACAAGAATTTATCCTTTTCTAAATACATGTAGTCAAAAAGAAGAACCAAAATTGCCTAAACACTAAACAAAGTTATAAGCAACATCAAATTATTGTAAGCATGCCAGATCTCTACATCATTTGAAAAAAAAATGTCCTGTTCTGCACTATCCTTTTTAACTATCCCTTTTAACTATCCCTCCGAATATAATGAAATAAATATTGGCAATATAATGCCATACCAACAGTATCCATGGTGACGATGATGAAGTACTATTGTCATGACTCTACTACATCCTTAATGCACTAACATGTACACCCCATACACATGCAGACACATCTTCCAATCACACATCAATCATCACAATCCATCACCTGTCAATCAATCTATTAATGACAGAATCACATGTCAATCAAAAGAAGCTGACCAATGACAGACCCAGAATATAAATACCTAGACTTTTATGTTTGCTATCTGTAATAGATATGCACAACGTTTGAAATACTGACATGTCAATCAAAAAAAGCTGACCAATGACAGACCCACAATATAAATAACTAGACTTTTATGTCTGCTATCTGTAATAGATATGCACAAACGTTTGAAATACTGACAATACATTACCAGGGGGGGTACACACATTAATAATCTGCAGATGGTCCCCAAAAAACACTTGATATTTTGGTTCATTTTGAGGATTATATAAATCATTACGGCGTTGTCTTAAACATATAAGACATCAAAAAATGATTTTACTAAAGGTTAGATCAGGTTAGATTTATCAAAATTAGAATATATTCATAAATTTCTTTTCTGGAACAGAGTAACATTAAAATATCAGTATTGTGAACAAAATGTGAAAAAAGTATTTGATAGGACTGGTGTATTGTTTCAGCTCTGAAACTGCCATCATAATTGTTCACCAGTATTGTGAATGACAGCACACATTTCGTACATCCTCTTTCCTGACTGCAACCCCTGGGCACTAATCAACTCTTTCATTCTGGGTCTGTCCTTGACCTTGACACACAATCTGGCTGGCAAGCTGTTTCCAAGGTCAAATTCAGTCAGTTCTGTATTGGTCTGATGTGGAACTGAGTCCTTCAGTTCACATCATTTGTATAGATTTCCCAGATAATTCACATGATCACAAATTTTAGACTAGTTGTCATGTGATCATCTGATGCTGGCTACAGCTTTCTGGGCTGCGTCATCAAGGTCGTTGGCAGCTGTTATGGGGAGATTACTCTCGCGGAGAATCTTCTTGGCCTCATCAACATTGGTGCCTGGAGAAAAAGAAGATTCAGTGAGTACAACTGTTTGAAGGGAGAGTGAGTGAGGGAGTTTGATTTTACGCCGCTTTTAGTAACATTCCCGCAATTTCACGGCGGGGGACACAAGAAATGGGCTTCACACATTGTACCCATATAGGGAATCGAACCCGGGTCTTCGGCGTGACGAGAGAATGCTTTAACCACTAGGCACATAATCTTGAAATACCTACAGTTTGATGACATCAAGCCCAAGAAAGCATGAAGAGTTACACGTAACACAGGTACTAGTGATGTAGTATGTAAATAAATCTTAGAGGTATTGAGAGTGTTCAAAGATCAAAATGTGTGAAAAAGTATGCGATATTCAGACACAAATTTGAAATTTTTGGGCATGTATTTAGTGCATGAAGACATAACTATTAGGTTGCACTTTTCACTAACAGGTTGCACTGGTGCATGTTTTATATCAAGCCCTGAGCTCCTTTTATTTCCTCTCAACGACCATTGGGCAAAAGCTCAGGGCATCTGTGTAAACCTCAAACAACATGTTGCACAGATAAAATTATTGTACATAATCAGGATATAATTGTATCCGGATATAATTGTACAATACATGACCTAAACGACAAACAACATCAGCAGAGGAAATAGCTGTGTATGCATAGCTACTCAAACTACACACAATCAGTGACCATGTGCGAAATATGGAAATATCATCATCATCATCATCATCATCAATCATCATCATCATCATCATCAATCACCACCATCATCATCATTATCATCAATCATCATCATTATCATCAATCATAATCATCAATCATTATCATCAATCATTATCATCAATCATAATCATCATCAATCATAATCATCATCATCAATCATAATCATCAATCATTATCATCAATCATAATCATCATCATCATCAATCATCATCATCACCTCAATCATCAACTTACCTTCCAGTCTGACAATGAGAGGTAGAGAGAGGTTGATGGTGCGGCAGGCGTTGGTGATGCCATTAGCGATGGTGGCACAGTTGACGATGCCCCCGAAGATGTTGACGAGAATGGCCTTGACCTGCGTGTCCGCTGTGAGGAGCTGGAAGGCCGACTTCACCTGTTCCTCCGTGACCCCGCCGCCCACGTCCAGGAAGTTGGCTGGGTTGCCGCCGTGGAGCTTGATGATGTCCATCGTTGCCATTGCCAGACCGGCGCCATTAACTGAAATAATAATTACATATCAGGGACCATTTTGATCACAAAAATGGCATGCTATATCTGACTAAGGGTGTGAAGTATTACTGGTATTTTGGAAAATTGAGGTTAATTCTTTCCACGATACGTATCACAATATCATTTTTTCATGCTCGATATATCAGGTGATTTCAAACTGGTTTTTTTTATCAATGGCTTCGCGGCCCAGGAGATAGCATCCGGAGCCCCAAGATAGCTGGGTATTTATCGAATGAGTGAACAGTATGTTGTACCAGCATCTTGTTTTGTTCCATTTTTGAACTTCAGTTCATTCCTAGATGTATCAGATGGCTTCAGAATTACAAATTTAGAACAAGAGTTTGCCACTAACGTGGCTATATCCCCCGCCCCTGTTGTAGAATTTATGACATAATTAAATCTAAACAAACCCTAACCTTTTTTAACCGAGGTGGAACTTGTCATGGAAATTGTAAAAAAAAGAAGAGTTTGGAACCTAAGATCATCTTGCTGCCATGGAAACATAAAAAAATAAAAAAATCTAAAATTTCTAAATAGCAAAAGGCACCAGTTTAGCATGTACCTGACAAACCTGCAAAGTTTGATGAAAAAATATTGAACGGTTTCTGAGTTATGCTCCGGAAACGAAACATGACGGATGGACGGACGGACGGAACCCGTTTCTATATCCCCCGCCAACTTTGTTGGGCGGGGAATAATAATACAATATATCGTGATACAAGTGCAATACGGCCTTGTGTACTGCAAAATATTGTGATACACTTGAAACGGGCCGGTCGGGTAGCCTAGTGGTTAAAGTGTTCGCTTTTCATGCAGAAGACCCGGGTTCGATTCCTGACATGGGTACAATGTGTGAAGCCCATTACTGGTGTCCCCTGCTGTGAATTGCTGGAATATTGCTAAAAGCGGCGTAAAACCATTCTCACTCACTCACTTGAAACCTCCAATATCCATCCCTACGTCTGTCAGGGATTAAAGAATGACCTCCACAACAATGGTGACCTATTTGAAATGATTTGCATGACGGAAATCATTTAACAAATTCTAATTTTAGGTGTGTTCATTACATTCAAAAACAGAGGTAGCCTCATCCTCATCTTGTCCTCATAAAAACAACAAATTATGCCTCTAGCTACATTACTGACTTGTTAAGCACTTGTTTGGGGTAAAAAAAAACACACATAATGTATTACAACTTTGAAAGAGAAAGTCCTATGCCTACATATATCTTCATAAAACGCACGCACACATCTATATATAAAAAACAAAGTGTGTTGGTGGTTGCAGCAGTCAAATTTAGACAAAAAACATAAAGCATCCAATTTACATGGGGCAGTTAAAAATTATCTTAGACTAGAATTCTCATGTGATTAGCAACTTTCAGATGTATTATCCAAACTAGATATTTTACAGGTCCCATGGGACCCCAGATCCGGGGTAGAGTAGGTTTTCAGCAACCCATGCTTGCCGTAAAAGGTGACTATGCTTGTTGTAGGAGGCGACAAACGTCGGGTGGTCAGGCTCCCTGACTTGGTTGATGCATGTCATCATATCCCAATCGTGTGGATTAATGCTCATGATGTCAATCACTGGACTGTCTGGTCCAGACTCGATTATTTACAGACCGCCGTCATATAGCTGGAATATTGCTGAGTGCAGCGTTAAACAAACAAACAAACAAACAGGTCCCATGGAGATGATTATTTCCAGAATTGTTCGCAGTTATCTCACTGATAACTACTAGACAATTACCTACCCCAACTTAGTATGTGTAACATGGATTACTGTGCCTACCCAGACAGGCGATGTTGCCATCCATGCCGATGTAGTTGAGGTTGGCCTTGGCAGCCTCGACCTCTCGGGGGTCGTTCTCTGACATGTCGTCCAGCGCAAACACATCCTTCTGCCGGAATGCTGCATTGTCATCGAAGTTGATCTTGGCATCAAAACACACAACTGTAATTGAAAACATGAATATCGTTTTAATGCTGGAATCAAACACGAAGAGAACAAGAGTCATCAGGAGAGGACATACCCCCCTGGTCTGGTGCAAATTGGAAATGGAGTTTGGCTACTAATACCCCGCTTTTGATTCATTGCCATTGGATACATTCAGTTCAGAAAAAAAGAAAAAAGTTGTTCAATTTGTTTCAGAGCGACGGGTAGCCTAGTGGTTAAAGTGTTTGCTCATCACGCCAAAGACCCGGGTTCGATTCCCGACATGGGTACAATGTGTGAAGCCCATTTCTGGTGTCCCCCGACGTGATATTGCTGGAATACTGCTAAAAGCGGCGTAAAACCAAACTCACTCACTCACTCAATTTGTTTCTAATCCGAAATCATGAAAAGGGACCAATTCACCACTAGACTGATCTGCATAACAAGTCTCATCAAGAAATGTTCAACAGTTTGGAAGTTCTGCTCTGGAAGCAAGCACTCATTTTCAGCCAACTTGTCATCACGAAAATAAAATAAAAATGAAAAACTAAAATCCCAAGTCATCTCAGGTACCAGTTCCCCACTGATCTGTATAGCAAGTTTCAACAAGAAGTATTTAAAGGTTTAGGAGTTCTGCTCTGGAAACGGAAAACAGGCAGACACACAATCTCATTAAAATCAGGGCCCACTTGCACAAAGCGATCTTAGCGCTAAGATGATCATAACTCCCATTCTTTAAGGCTTAGCACTAAGATTGCTTTGTGCAAGTGGATCTTAGTTCTCGCTACGTCAGAGCGACCTTTCATCCGACCAATCAGAGCGTCGTTTACCAGATCATGAAAGTGACAGTCGGAATGTGATTTCTCATCATGCAGCCTTGAAAACTTTAAAACGGGGTATTCCGAACGATAGTTACGGGCTTAACGACTGAATCTGAGAATTTGTCAAAATATGTTTCGAAGCGTAGCCGCCAATTTGAAATTAGTGCCGAAAAGCACGAGAAAGCTGCCTTCTGATTGGCTAATGTCGACTTCTTGTCAGTAATTCCATTCGTCGGTCAGAGTTTGCGATAGGTCGGTCTGACGTGACCCGTAATGGGATGTCCTCAGATCTTTGTTTAGCGGCAGCGAGAACTTAGATCTGATTTTAATGAGATTGGCGGACACATGGAGGGACATGCTGATCGCTATATGGTTGACACTGCTTGCTCACATATCAGAGTGAAGGTTCATCTTCCCGAGGCAAGAGCGTTAACTGACTTAAAAAGTCCAGTTTCCACCCTTGCCGAACTAGGCTGGAATTCCTGGGCTCGATCGTAGCGCCACCAGTGGCTATTACGAGTTATGTCCTTTCTATGCCTCTCCTATTGACCAATCAGATTCAACCTCTCGTATCCCTTGCATTTGCTTCAAACAAAACGGTGGCGCCCAGTCAAGACGATCTGATCGATAATCAAGATCCATATTGTGATCAAACGAGTCTTACATAGCGAAGTGCATCAAATCACGTGAGCACCTTGATTAAAAACATGAACAGATATAGAAAATATCTCTTGACAACGAGTTAGCAATGCACATGCTTTGCAAATCCTGCAGTCGACCGCAATCTGGATTTTGATTTCGGTGCGATTTTGATTGGACTATGCATAGACTTGTTAGTCCAGCCAAAATGTAACTCCATAATACCAGCCTAGTTCAGCAAGGGTGGAAACTGGACTTTTATAGTCAGTTAACTCCCCTGCCTCGGGAAGATGGGTGAAGGTTATGTATCCAGTGAATAGCTTCCTTGACGGGCATTTAAAAGTTGGAGTACTAAGTAAGGATAACATATATGGATGAACAACTTCTTTATTACAATTAGGAGCAACGTTTTGGTGTAGGTTCTAACACTTTCTTGATACTGGTGTTAGAACTTATACTGAAACGTCACTCCTTATTGTAACAAACAAGTTGTTCATCCATATATCTTACCCTTTCCTTATCCAGTGAAAGTTGTTTAATTTATGCAGTAAATGTTTATCCTTTTGTGTAAACACTCATGTGAAAATTTGTCTCATGTTTGTTTTGTTTGTTGTTTAATGCCGCACTCAGCATTATTCCAGCTAAATGACAGCGCTGACTTGGTTGATGCATGTCATCGTATCCCAGTTGCATGGATCGATGCTCATGCTGTCAATCACTGGATTGTCTGGTTCAGACTCGAATATTTACAGACCATCATATAGCTGGTACACTGCTGAGTGCGGCGTTAAACAACAAACAAGGTAGTACTTCAACACAGTGTACTCCGAGCCGACAGTCCTTGTTTTAGAACCATCTCATAACGCCTTTCAGTATGCCAGGGTCAAACAACTGACCAAACCATACGAGATAAACTGCACCTTCTTCTGATTCAACTGACCCATGAAGATTCCGGGGTAGAATGGGTCTTCAGCAACCCATGCTTGCCGTAAAAGGTGACTATGCTTGTCGCAAGAGGCGACTAACGGGATCGGGTGGTCAGGCTCGCTGACTTGGTTGATGCAAGTCATCGATCCCAATTGCGTGGACCGATGCTCATGATGTCAATCACTGGATTGTCTGGTCCAGATTCGATTATTTACAGACCGCCGTCATAGAGCTGGAATATTGCTGAGTGCGGCGTTAAACAACAAACCAACCAATCTGATTTAACTTAGCGGACTACCTCTACACCATCTGTCACACCAGCTACACGACCGTACCTCGGCCATCTGGAGTTTCCCCGAATGGGTTGATTTCCACCTGTGTGGCATCCACCTTCACAAACAGGTCATAGAGTCGCTCTATCTGCTTGGCAGCCTGAAATGAAGAACCATTGCTAAAATCAAATATTTCCAATATTCTAGTGTTACATATAACAAAATAAACAAGGCTAAGATCTTTTGATTCACCAAATAAATCTTAGTGGACATTGTTGGATTCATGTCTTAGCAATATTCACACTGTATGTGAGTGAGTGAGTGAGTATGCTTTTACGCTTTTAGCAATATTCCAGCAATATCACGGCGGGGGACACCAGAAATGGGCTTCACACATTGTACCCATGTCGGCAATCGAACCCGGGGCTTCAGCGTGACGAGCGAACGCTTTAACCACAAGGCTACCCGACCGCCTACGCTGTATGTGATTACTTCATGACAAAATAACTTAAAGTGATTGAGTGAGTTGGGTTTAACGCTGCTTTTAACAGTATTCCAGTTATATCACGGCGTGTCAGCTTAATGTGGGAGGAAAGCCCGAAGTGATGCAGGTCTCCGACGTTTACCACTTCGGTGAAACCCACGAGCACGGGTATGGTGCTGACAAACCTAGAAACATAATTTGGGCGAACCGGGATTCAAAACCCACAATCATAGGTTTCTGGCATGCCCAAGGGACGCACCTCTGAACAGAGAATGGCGGCGCCTTAGACGACTGGGCCAAGTTACAATATAACTTGTAAATACACAGTGTTAATTAACAAATCAATGGAAAGCAATATAATAACTGTTTTTTCATAATTAACTAAGTTTGTCTCAAATGTTTGAATTTGTTAACCATCAAAGTCAAAATAGGGAACACATGATAGATTGAAAGTAATAGCTACTTTGCAAAGTCAGTTTCTCACAATGACCTTATGTGTGTGTTTTTCTTGTTTAACGCCGCACTCAGCAATATTTTAGCTACATGACAGTCTTCGGCGTGACGAGCGAACTCTTAAACCACCAGGCTACCCAACCGCCCCCATGACAGTCTGGACAGTCAGTATAGAGAGTCTGGACCAGACAATCAAGGTTGGTTTTTTGGTTGGTTGGTTTTTTGTTTTACGCCACACTCAGCAATATTCCAGCTATATGACGGCGGTCTGTAAATGGTCGATACATGGGATACAATGACATGCATCAACCAAGTCAGCGAGCCTGACCACCCGATCCCGTTAGTAGCCTTTTACGACAAGCATAGTCACCTTTTACGGCAGGCATGGGTTGCTGAAGACCTATTCTACCCCGGATCTTCACGGGTACTGACATCAAGGAGTCCCTGACATCAAGGAGACCGATCATGAGCTTCAATTCACACAATTAGGAAACAATAACATGCATCAACCATGGCGTCGAGCCTGACCACCAATCAATTTAGACGCCTCTTACGACAAACACAGGCTGGTGGGGAGGTATAATCTTACCCAGAATCCCCAGAATGTTGACCCTCTGTACTGCAACATGTATTTACACATCAACAAACTAGTGTGGCCACCTACCTCTGTCTGCTTCGTGCCAGTGAAGCCAAGATTGAGCGCCATCTTCATCGACTGACCATCTGCCAATCCAGTTGTGATGTCAATAGGGTCCTGTAAATGATAAAAAAACAAGTGGTTTGTTTTTGTTTTTTGTTTTTTTTGGTTTAACGCCGCACTAAGCAATGTTAGTTCGTTATAACCGTAGTTCGTTATAAGTATATATACAGCATAACCACAGCAAATAGTCGGGGCCAATAAAGTAAGCTCGTTATATCCGTCAGTTCGTTATAAGCGTGTTCGTTATAACCTTAGTTTACTGTAACATAAATTAATTAATCCTCAAATGAAACACCTAAAGTCCAGCAAGGCTCTTCTATTGTGAGTCATTTGGTTTGAAATAGTTCACTGATAAACTGCAGTCACTTACAGAATGGTATTGATAGCAGCATGCTGGGTGAGGTGTTTCCTTGAATACAAGAGTTACTTCCCTTCCTACTAGAATAGGGGATGAGGTGAGGTGAGGTGAGGTGAAATGGGGTTTAACGTCGCGTCCAAGACTATTGCACTATAGCGACGTGCATGTACGTGTGTGTGTTTGTGTGTTTGTTTGGCTGCTTGTACTAGTCCGGATTGATGCTGATTAATAGTGCTAGCTCACTGAGATACCATGCCGCAGTTTAACATGAATACCCCACTCAGACACAGTATACTGACTCCGTGCCGACCAGTCCTTGTTTTAGCCCCTTAATGCCGAGCGCCAGACAGGGTAACAACAAGTACCATCTTTTAACATCTTTTGGGATGACACGGTCGGGGATCGAACCCCGGACCTTCCGCTCTCCGGGCAGACGCTCTACCACTAGACCACGGAGGCAGTGAATCGGGGATGAAGGATTTAAAGACAGAAACCTGTTAACTGACTTTTAACTTAATAACTTCTGCATTGTAAATTATAGGTCAGTGGAAACAATAAAAAGCTAAAATAGAAATATGTTGACATTATCATTGTTAAAGTTAACACAGTTCTTGCAACAGAAATATGCTAACATCACACGTTCATACAGTGAGACCTTAACTCAGAACTCCATGGATTGTTTATAACAGTTAAAGCATCTCTATTATCGCTATTGTCTGTTAAAAGCACACCACTCATCTCAATCTACTGACAGTTTGAAATATTATGAAGGCTTAAAAAAATGAAAGAACTGGTTCTCCGGCAATGACTTTTTTGAAAATATGGTGCAAGCGGGTGGTGGTGTTTTTTGTTTGTTGCTTGTTCAAAATAGTAACAAATAAACAGTTGTGTACCATCAACATGGGAAAGGGCCTCCCTACATAAACAAGCTTACAAACTCCTATTGCCGCCATGACCATAACACGAGATGCACAGTACAGCAGTGCGAATGTAAAGGGAAGTAACTGTGTGCTATATTGGATCACCTTGTTTTTAAGTAGTAGGATTTTTTTTTAAATAAAAACGAAACGTGCGGCAGACGTTCTGATGATGTGGGCAGTGCCTGAGAACCAAGGCTATTATCTTTTTTAGCCTAATGGTGAAAATACATAGAGATTCCACTGTATGTAGTACTGTAAATCGTGAATTTAATGCGTCTCCAAAAGAATGCAACCACTGGACCCTAGCCAAAAATGCGACTCAATATGAATGCGACAACCCCTCCTCTCAAGCATCAGTGGATTTCTATCTAAAGATGTCCTCAGTCAGGTTTAGAATCCTCACCTTAATCCAACCTTACATTAATCCAATCACACACCAAATAGCACTGCTGATTACTTCTGCAAAAACAATACATGCGCGCTGGTTCGTCTCGGCCTTTGATGCAGTCGAAAAGAACAAAGGGTGGCATCTGTCTAGACTTGCAGGTGTGATCAGTGATGACAAAAGTGAGTAGAACTCTTGGTCTTGGCCCCAGCAGTGACAATTCACAGGATGTAATTAGTGTTTGAATGACATTGTTTATATACTTAATATACAAGTGCTGCTCAATAAACAGTGGTGTGGAATACATCAGCGTATGTCTAAGTTGGTATTTTTGGCTTAATATTGTTGATATAAATGCGATGTTTAAAAATGCAAGCAAAGACCACACGCATTTTTCGCATTTAATTCACGCTCGCGTTAATTTCAAGATTTACAGTATCATGTGACTGACTGTTCTGACATTCCGGTACCGCCGTCCATTATCCAGTGTATGTATCCATTCTATTATGATGAAATATTGGAAAACAACACGCCCATTGCTCATAGCACAGTAAATTGAAAAACCGGTTATATTTAGGGTTGTTCCGTTCAAAGGTATAGTAGAGAATGAGAGTGAGTGAGTATGGTTTTACGCCGCTTTTAGTAATATTCCAGCAATATCACGCCGGGGGACACCAGAAATGAGCTTCACACATTGTACCCATGTCGGGAATTGAACCAGGGTCTTCGGCGTGACAAGCGAACGCTTTAACCACTAGGCTACCCGACCGCCCTATGAAGGATGTTGCAGTACTGGAATATACTCACTGTGAAGATGGCTCCCGGGTCTTTCTCAGCAACCTCTTCGATGTCCATCCCTCCCTGCGGACTCCCCACCATCACCGGGCCGTCGTACTTCCGGTCCATCAAGATGGCGAAGTAGGTCTCCCGCTCGATGTCCAGTGCCTCGGCTACCATCACGGTGTTGACCTTCACCCCACCTGTTGGCGTCTGCTTAGTGACGAGACTTTGACCAATCATACTCTTGACGAGACCCGACACTTGCCCAGCACTGAAACCAGGGGACCAGGTCAATGACATATGTAAATATATATTGTTAATAAATAAACTGAAAGTCGTTTTGGTCAGTGGTTTAAATTTGATGAAAAGTTAATGATGAGATGATTAAAGAGGGTTGACAGGACATGAATATTGTCAAAAGCAAAATATAAAACCATTCTTATTTCAGGATTGAGTGAGTGAGTATTGTTTTACGCCGCTTTTAGCAATATTCCAGCATTATCACAGAGGGGAACTCAAGAAATGGGCTTCACACATTGTACCCATGTCGGTATCGAACCCGGGTCTTCGGAGTGACGAGCGAACGCTTTAACCACTAGGCTACCCCACCACCCCCAATTTCAGGAGTGAGTGAGTATGGCCTCTTTTCCTCTTTTGGCAATATTCCAGCAATATTGCAGTAGGGGACACATCAGAGAGACCAATGTGGGGGAACGAGCCAGGAGGGTACTCCACCAGCCTCCTCTACTCACTTACAAATGTAACATCAGCTTCGCATAATAATATTCCACAACATTACCAAATTCGACGTAATAAGCGCCCAGGGCGCTCTCAAAATTAGAAATAGGGGCCTCTTATTAGAATATTATTTTGGTGGAAAAAAGAGAGTTGAAAGATAAATTTTGTGGTTTATGCTGACACACTGAAATGTTTATATGCCACTGATACATATTTCCAGAATTTAATTGCCCATAATTAAGAATGCATATAACACACGAGTGCGTATTATACGCGAATAATTAAGTCTTGTGTACATTGATCAATCGGAAGGGGTGCTAACTGGTATTGTTCACTGGCCAATATATTAGCAAATATCGCCGTGGGCGCTTATTAGAGCAGGGCACTTATTACGTCGAATACGGTATATACATTGTATATGTATTATTTTACAACCGCATGTGCAACGCTGACACCCTCATTCATTATGAGTGCCACTGATCATGATGTCACTGATGTGTGTGTACACATTTCCATCCACAACGCGACTTTCCCTTCACAGAATGTAAACAATCTGTAACTGGTAAACAAACATAAATAAAAAAAATGGTATTTTGTGACAGTAGGTATTCCACATGCATCGGAAGAATCCATTTCGATTGAACTGGGTCGTCATTTAGCAGTATGCTGTTGTCAAACAGACTGGTTGCTAACATAACTCTACATTGACTAGATTAATACTAATTTAATAGGTAAGGGCACATTCTACTGGACACACATACCTACCTATATTGACTAGATTAAACACGGGTTCCCTAACCTAACTCAAAATTTCAAAATTAATAATACTACTGATACTGCATTTATTCCACGTAGCCATATTGTGGAGTGAGTGAGTCGGGTTTAACGCTGCTTTTAACAGTATTCCAGTTATATCATGGCGTGTCAGCTTAATGTGGGAGGAAAGCCTGAAGTGATGCAGGTTTCAGACGTTTACCACTTCGGTGAAACCCACGAGCACAGGTATGGTGCTGACAAACCTAGAAACTTAATCGGGGCGAACGGGAATTCAAACCCACAATCATAGGTTTCTGGCGTGCCCAAGGGACGCAACTCTGCAACTCTGCAAAGCAAATTGCAGTGCCTTAGACAACTGGGCCACCCGTGCCCCCCCTTATTGTGGAATTGTTACTAAGAATCTCAATGTACTCTGCCTGTGTTTAGAGTGGAACTTTACACCTGTGATTCCAGGTAAGAATATTGGTCCCTCACAGCTGATGCTTGATGTGAATAAATGGATCGGGTGGTCATGCTCGCTGACTTAGTTGACTGAATGTCATTTTATCTGGATCTGGTCCAGACTTGACTGCCGTTATATCGCTTGAATATTGCGGAGTACATCATTAAACAAAAAACAAACAAATAAAGTAACAAACAAAAGCTTACTCTTTTGTTAGGTGCACTCCACCTTTGAAGCCACTTTTGAAAACACCTTTGCCCCGACCTCCGGCCAGGATCTGAGCTTTGATGACATATTCAGGCACTCCTGCAAACCAATTATCAATAGACACAAAGTTTTCTTAACTTGATTCCCAAACTGTAGTAAAGGATGAATCAAGTTTCAATTTAATGGATTTCAAAGTACCTATTGGAACGTTAGAAATTGATCTAGTTTTAATATAGGCCAGATCACTGTTTATCTATACATTCTTGAAACAGAGTGAGGGAGTGAGTTGGGTTTAACGCCGCTTTTAACAGAATACCAGTTATATCACGGCGTGTCAACTAAATGTGGGAGGAAAGCCCGAAGTGATGCAGGTCTCAGATGTTTACCACTTAGGTGAAACCCATGAGCACGGGTATGGTGCTGACAAACCTTGAAACATAATCTGGGCGAACCGGGATTCGAACCCACAATCATAGGTTTCTGGCATACCCGAGGGACGCAACTCTGCACAGCGAATCGCGGCGCCTTAGACAACTGGGCCACCCGTGCCCCCGGGTATTTCTTGATTGGTTTGGGGTTTTTTTGTTTAATGCCGCACTCAGTAATATTCCAGCTATATGATGGCGGTCTGTAAATAATCGAGTCTCAACCAGACAATCCAGTGATTGACATCATGATCATCGATCCACGCAATTGGGATATGATGACATGCATCAACCAAGTCAGCAAGCTTGACCACCCGACCCCATCAGTCGCTTCTAGCAACAAGCATAGTCGCCTGTTAAAGCAAGAATAGGTTGCTGAAGACCTATTCTACCCCGGATCTTCACAGGGCTTGTCACTGGATTGTCTGGTCAAGACGCGATCATTTACAGACCGCCGTTACATAGCTGGAATATTGCTGAGTGCGGCATTAAACAACAAACAAACAAACAAACAAACAAACACGGGGCTTGTATCATGTATCAGAATGTAATTACGTAGTCGGTCCGTGATGGAGCCTGCATCGGACGCGGACTTGGCCACTTCAAACTTCTGCACAGCAATGTCATGATCGGCCATGAGACGCTTGCTCTGGAACTCCTGGAGATTGAGCCATCTCGCCGGCACACTCACCACTGGCAGCTGAAGGGACAAGGCAAACATGTCATCTGCTTCTAGAGCTGCCACAGTCTGGCGAACGTTCTGCTCTTCTTTTATTCCCCCCGACATTTCCTGGTTACTAAGTCCTCATTCACAGCCTCAAACCTCATTATTCCCCTTACCTGAGGATACTAAATTGTGGTGAGGAAAATTCTAAATAGTGCCATGGCACTGTAGCTCACCTGGGCATATAGCCAACAGTTCACAATGTCAAAAAAGACAATCACTTTAAAAAAACAACTGCTGTCAGCATTGACATTCAAATAATTTCTGCATAAATACTGAATTTTTATGATTTGAACAAAATGTAATGTTAAATGGCTGAGTTAGGAATCCCTAAGTCTGGCAATTGCAGAACCAAACATGCATTTTGAAAGAACTTGTTGACATGTTGAGCATGAAAGAGCATGTTGACAACGTCATAAATTGCAAAAATAAACTGGAACATTTATATGCGTTTGAGTCCCACAAAAAAGTAAACAAGCACAAACTTTTGCTACTTTTTTTTACAAGTAATGGCAATGAATAATTTACCCAATATGGCTGCTGTGGCAGCCATGTTGAAATTGATATTTGAAACTCTTGACCACATACAAGGCTTCCCATTGGTGGAGAGCAGCATGTGAGGTTTCAGCTTCATTGCCTCATTGTTGTCTCAGATGATGATCACAATGCAACGAAATGCATTTGTAAGAACTTAAGAGTACGTCCAAAGCACAAAGGTCAAAATGAGTACAAAATCTAAAATATGTGTAAAACAAAACATATTCCTCAAGCCCTACTCCATGTTCCAAAATAGTATATACATTTGACCTGATTGAATACATATCTTGAAAATTAATATTTTATGTAAAACTCCTGTGGCATAACTGAAAAGTTTTGGATTAATTCTGTTGCAACATCTGATATGTAAACACATTATTCAACAAAAACAAATGAAAATTTAAATCATGTAAGTAATATTATCGTTATCTTTAAATAGTGTGTTTTTACAATTTATCTTCCAATGCTAGCATTGTAAACTGTTTTCTGAATACACAAATCTTTATTACCATCCATTTTCATATCGCATTTGTGGTAACACGAACTATCTTTTTAAACTTAGTTGTAAATGAGAGCGTAGAGTGGACGACAAAAAATGTTTGAGAGGTCAAAAACTGTTTTTGTTGTTTTTTTCTAGTGGCGAGCACATGTCATAAATTTGGAGTTCTTTCCCCTTAACAGGTGCTCTTCGACTCGTGTCTTTACATGGGATAAAATAAATATGTAACAACTTTGAATATTTCTTAGCATGACATAAGTAAGTGATTTTTGTGAGTGCTTTCCGTAGACACAGGTTGTAAATGCAAAAGTAAACCTGTTTCAGCGTTCGCAGACGTTCTGCCCTCAACACACGTCGCAACATCACTGCACAGTCCGGCTAACGGGAGAGAGACCGCATCACAACCGTGGAGGAAATATAGTCCAAGGGACATTTAATCTCAACGCGAGTCCCGTTCAGTCGACATGCTGAGCAGTTTGTTTAAACTGACTCGCACCATTTGGATACCATTTCCTTGTTTCTAAATACGTACACTGACTGAAATACCAACGAACACACCAAAAACGTTTTTCAGTTGTCAAAAATTTGGTTCTAGATAATAATTTATTGCGAGGTAAAATATGCAAGTGCTGTTATAAACAAATATCACCCATGCGACAGTAATGCATATTAATAGAACCTACATGATATACTGTTACAAAGAGCCCGCATGCGCAAATTCACGCTCTCGTTTCTTTTTCATGTAAATGACCTATATAGGTAAATCGGTAAAATATAATGACACGAGTAAGGGATGCTGACTGACTAAGAATTACTAGATCTATACATCCATGTATCCATAGATGACTTGCCGCATTTTTTAACGTTGTGGTCAATATGCAACACATAATCTCGTGTTTTGGGGATAATTATTTCCAATGTATTTGGGACATGTATGTAGATCACATAGAAATATAGCCTAATCGCAATTAATGTCTTCCCAAAACTGAAATGTCGAGATATTTTCTCTTTTTAAACCTAACATCTCATCAACTAACATATATGCATTAGTTATGTATGTCTTGAGAAAGGGAACAGAATTTTCTATTTAACAACCATGTTTACCAACCATTTGAAATTAGGAATCGAAATCGGTATTTGGACAATTACAAACGTCACACCAACTATATTACCTGAAAATGTTGTACAAATAGTGACACAATGTTGCGTTGAAACTGAAATGAGTTATATTATGTATAACAGATAAGTATGTTAGCTTATATAATTCAAGTGTACACTATAAACATCATATCGACCTCGGGAACGAGGTACTGACAATATGTTTTAAGAACATATTCTTGTCAGTTGTATTCAGGGGCCGAACCCGCGTGTTTATTGTAAAACTGGACCACGGAAAATATAATGAAACATGCTTTAGTGTGAAAATGATATATAGATTTATTGAATCTGGGAAAGAAAAGGAAACCAAATCATATTCGTTGAAACTGAATAGGATACGAATTGTTGCTCATATTAAAAGCGTGGTGTATATGCTCAACCTGTTTTGTTTTTTGTTGATACAACAACTCAACATACCGTATTTCCTCTATAAGCCGGCCTCTAATAGAAGCCGGGTCAATTGTTCAGTGCAAAAAATAGAAGTCGGGCCTCTAATAGACGCCGGGTTGATCAATTGATACAATTATCCCTTTTTGGGACCTAAATTACATAATGAGGACTCCCTTACAAGTATTAATAGAAGCCGGGCCTCTAATTGACGCCGGGTCAAAGGCTTGTCCGAAATAAATAGAAGCCCGAGTGTCTAATAGAGGAAATACGGTACGCATTGAATTAACGCCACAGATGCTGCAGCAACATATATATAACTCAATCACCAGCCAACTGTGGTCGTATATTTCATTGTCATTCTAGACCTATTGGTATGACAGTCGCCGGATTAAATCGATTAGCAACCACAATACGCAATTAAGAACAACCATCAACTTCGTGTTGATCGGTAACAATACCTGCTTAATTTCAATTACTCGAGTGCAATTAAGTGAATAAGCGATTACGAATCTAATTAAAATTTGTAAATAATTTGTGATAATAGAAATTAGTACTGGTGTTACTCTGTAGCACAATACGTGGTTAATGAAACGTCTTGATCATACGATTTGTTGAAATTGATAGTTCTTTTGTGGTTCATGTATGGGTGTGACACCGCTCCCTCCTCAAGAGGTTGTGCAATATATAATCATGATTAATAGTGTTGGGCGGCACTGCTAATTAATCTGCTGTGTCATATTTGATTAAGATACCTATAGCACATGCACGTAATTCTACACATACCGTGGTTGTTCGTGGTGGGTGGATTTCCCGTGGGGTAAGAGTACCAGGGTAAGTCGGAACACACTTCTCATAGAGTGAGTGAGTGAGTTGGGTTTGACGCCGCTTTGAACAGTATTTCAGTTACATCACAGCGTGTCAGCTTGATGCGGGAGGAAAATCCGAAGGGATGCAGATCTTGAACATTTATCTTTTGATGAAACCCACAAGCACGTATGGCGCTGATATACCTTGAAATAGTATCAAGGCCAATCTGGGGTTCGGAGATTTTAGTGTGATACAGTAGACTACGGTTAAAACGAACTCGAGGGGACCACTAATTTTAGTTCGGAATAACCGTAGTTCGTTATAAGCATACATACAGCATATATACAACAAATGGTCGGGACTAAAAATAAGTTCGTTATATCCGTCAGTTCGTTATAAGCGTGTTCGTTATAAACGTAGTTTACTGTACATTTATTAATGAAACCTAAGCGGCGTTGCGGGTGGTCAGGCTCGCTGACTTGGTTGATGCATGTCATCGTATCCCAATTTCGTAGGTCGATGATCATAATGTCAATCACTGGATTGTCTGGTACACACTCGAATATTTACAGACCGTAGCTGGAATATTGCCGAGTGAGGAGTTAAAAAACAGACAAGCAAACTCCCCGGATCAAGTGAAACTGGCCACGTCCAACTGGGCTAATACTGAGTCACAGTATTCAATATTATGTACCTACAATACCGATGGAGGATGTTATGACCATAAACATCTGTATACACAGTAACTGTAACACAAGCATGTGGTTGAGTGAATTGAGAAAAACACTTCACTTCAACTACGTTGTCTGCACTTCATACCACGTATTATGTAACAGTAATGTCATATGTTTTGACACAACTACATTCGACTTATAATAATTGTTTCATAGGCGTTTAACTTATTGTTTACGATCCTAGTCATATTTCGTTTGACGATTCGCCTTTTACATATAACCATCTCCGTTTCGCGCTACGAAATTCTGCATCTTTCTTTTTACCTGAAATAAGCTTAATATTGTTAACATATTTCGTGTGTAAATACTATCTCATGTCACGTGTGTGAGCTGCTATAATAACCACAATACACGGTCGTCGATACTGAAGTGAACAGAGAGTATTGATAGCTATATATATATATGTCACGGTCTGGCCCGACTCGAAAACCGAGCAACTACATACCTTGTTCTCCTTCTGTGTTTTGTAGGCTTCGTTTAAATACACAACCTAGACAAACAATAACATATATTTTATATAACATCTTTGAAAATAAAAGTCAATGAGAAACGTCCATTATAATTTGTAGTCAGGATAATACCACGTACCTAGAATCAGAGACCATACAGAAAAGTTAGTTTCGAGTATTTAAGTATAGATCTAGTTTATTTCATGAATTAATATCGTTATTTTAAATCACCAGTTTTCACGTAGAATTCAATCTATATAGTAAAAAAATAACTTCCTCATTCATATTATAAAACATCAATTAGTACTTGTATCTCATTGTAGATTCTCCAAGGTTGTATTATAACCATTAATTAACATTCTTTTAAGGGTCCGGAAAAGAACTATTTACTAATGAAAATCATTACATCTTCGTTTTAAGAATGAGGGTCTCATAGAATTGTCAGATATGCATCTAAAACAGTTACCCCTAAATTAATATATTTTATAGCGAATTCGAGAAACCATTTGGTTGGAAAATAAGTCTTATATTCAGTAATAATACAGAAATGCACTTTTATATTTCAGTATCCGTTCATATAATGTTTTTGACATTTTTCTTCCTCAATTGTATTTCTAAACAATATTAACATCACTATTATGTAAAGTAGTTGTGGGCGTTACAGTTCGCCTGATCCAAACAAGATCTCCATAGTTGTGTCCGACGCAAGTAGTTCCGTGATATGTTATTACTACGCCCAGTGGCCTCCATCCTGGTTCTCTGTCATCCTGGTTCTTCCTAAACTACCCGGACGAAAACATCAGCACAAGGTCGGTCCTCTAAAACACGTGGACGCTGTCAGTCAGTGTGGCGTTCCTTAGTTCAGGATAGAAAGTGAATGGCAATTATGTTTCGTGAATTTATAATGATTGTGACTTTGCCAAAAGTCAAGAATTGCAAAATGGCGGTTGTTAGAACAGATTTGTCGTTGCAAGACACCGGTGTGTATATATCCAGGGCATGGAGGGGTCTATGTTCTTTGATTCTACACCTGTGTATACTGTAATCTTTCTTTAAACAATTATTGTGATATTTCATGTCACCAGGTTGGATAGGCAAACTATGTCTCTAAAGATGGCATGGTGGTTTGAGAATGGCAGTGTATATTAATCAAACCACAGCATTGATAGCAGTCATAAGCTGACAGTTCTTGGAAAGCTATGTTAAGATTGAGACACGAACTTTTTGTTAGCATACAGAACACAAATTGTAGCAAACATCTATCTATAGGCCTAGCTGCTGAGATGACAAAATGTATTTAATCATTTAGTAGTCAAAACAATACAGCATAAATAATCTGCCTGTCAAATTTTATTATACTTAGTCTATCTACTTATTAGGAATGAGCGTTATCATCATGATCATGATAAAAATATTACTGTGTGAAAAAAATGGAAATCAATATGGTCCAAGTATGTGTACATGGTGATGTTGCTTTTGTATGTTACATTTGTAAATTATCAGTGTACAAAAGTCTCCAAAATTTCAGTCAGACAACTGGACTGGCAACTTTGCAAAGTTAACAGACCATGCAGATGGACTGTTGCCAGTCCAGAATTTTCTGGAGATAACTAGTAAACATACAGACATGCACTTTCGGTAAGCAATAATACAAAAGGCAACATCACCTCGAAATGAAATAAATATCGGTTTACATGTGTAAAACCAGCTTTCGACTCGCATGTTAAAATTCTGCAATATATTTGACGAATTCTTAGGCAGATAAATGCATTTCTGCACAAATTTTGTGCCAGACCGGTCCATTTCTGCACTGCACTATTTCTGCAAAATATTCAGCGACCATGGAATGACAGAATACAGCGGGGACTGATAAACAAACTAAATGACATTAACCTTTTATTCATGACTCTTGTCAGTATTCAGTAGCGTGTCATAATCATGATAATGTTCCTGCCTCACATATCGATACACAAGGCTATGGATATTGCAATACTTAATGTGCAAGAAATTGTACATGTTCCAGGGCCCCAGATAAGCTGTATTTGCTTATCACCAAATAAATTACCATCATGACCATTGCAAGTATGCATGACAAATTTAAAACGACATTAGTATAATAACTCTCTAAGAAATAGGGGCGGTCAGGTAGCCTAATGGTTAAAGCGTTCGCTTGTCATGCCAAAGACCCGGGTTCGATTCCCTACATGGGTACAATGTGGGAAGCCCTTTTCTGGTGTCCCCAGCTGTAAGATTGCTTGAATATTGCTGAAAGTGGCGTAAAACTATACTCACTCACTCTTGAGAAATAAGCCAATGTATCCTTCTGCACTTGGGAAAATTGCGATTTAGGGGGCACTGTCAGAAATTTCCAATACATGAGGGTGATCTTATAATGGAACTTGATAGTGAGAAACAGAGGCCTCAACTGGACTGAGGGTCTTACATGTACCTACATGTCAAAGTACCACATCTTCTACAAGGTGAATGAGCGTAGCAAGGCAAAATAACGGTTGTCGATCATAATTATAAATTATGAAATAATTATAAAAGTGATATTAGTGAACAAGTCTTTTTTATGAAATCTAATAGAAAACTAGCATCATCCATGCACACAAAATGCACCTCACAGAGAGGACTGATGGTATGCTACATTGTTTACATTGAATAGGAGGGCTTGTGCCATATTCTGCTGTCAGCAGTGTACACGCTTCATACTCAAGATACCTGCATCATGTGACTTGACCAGCAGGAGATTATCACAGACACAAATTGTTGTAGCAGTGGTAACTTTATCCTAATTTGTTGTCAAATTCTGAAGTTCAAACAAATTCAGCAGGCAGGGGGTCCATGACTTGATCATGTGTTGATGGACAGCGCTACCCTAGGGACTCGTGCAGAGTTCGACCACAATTCGAAGCAACATTCATTTCCAGGTCTTCCAACCGATCCATTCAACCCAAAATGTCCCCAACTTCACTGTCATTACTTTTAAATTTGCTTTTACATTCATGCCAATATGTGTCCATGGGGAAATATAAACGGGAAAGCCTATAAAGTATTAATTACTGAAATAGGTTACACACAACCAAATGTTTTCTATAGTAACGTAATATTTTTATTTTTAAATAACTAAGCAGTCAACATCTATTATCTGCACATGTGTTCACAGTTTGGCCTTAAAGCAGCAATAAAAAATCACCACCAAAAATGACTGGCTTAGCCAGTTCCTTTTCCGAAGGAAGCTAAACACACCATACCCAGTTCTGCACCAAATGTTACTTGCTTGAAAATATCTGTGGTCAGATTCAGCATAAGTCATCGTGTTGAAAAAGACAGCACTAAATATAGAAAAACCATAGTCAGTTTTAGCAGTAAACTTAAAGGGATTTGAAATAGTTTCTTTTGGCGACATTTTTTTTATTTCTTGGTTTACGAATTTCAAACTCATTTCCAAAGTGAGGTAGGCTAATTAAAAAAAACAAACACTTGACTTTTGTCGTAAAATGTTAGGCCAGGTGTAAAAAAATATATTCTGGAGTACCGGTAACAAAAGTAAAAAAACAACTAAATTTTTCAAGAACATTTTATTATATCCCTGGCACACAGCTTGTGCACGAATGGCTATATAATAATATTCATGTCATGGTGAAATGCATGAAAGACGCCACCATTTTGGCAGCATGGGCGACAATTAAACTTGTCACTACAGCACTTTGCGTCGGCAAGGTTTGATGGTATTAGAGAAGGATCCCAGCGAGAAATATCAGAGTGACTTCCCTTTGCTTTACACTCAACGAGGAAACAAAACCTTTTTTTGTTGAACTTTTTATGCATTTTTTTTTAAGTATGAATCGTTGGTAATAAATAAAGGAGTAATTTGTATTTGTATTTTTTTTTCAACAATTGGACTTTAAACATGTTAAAAGAGCGGCGCATCCGTAAACCAAGAAATAAAGAAAATGTCACCTTAGCATGTTTAGCAGACCTGTGGATATTGACATGGGTGTCCAAGAACAAGATGTTGATATTACCGTGGTGACACTTCATAACATTAGTTTTTTTAAACGTTGTTAACATGGTTAACTTTGCAACTTTGCAGAATTCTGAGGTTTTGAATATTGTCTGAGGTCTATTATGTACGTGATATATACATGTTTTGATATGTTTACGCACATTATTTCCAGTCAATGGATGACGATTTGAACACAGAAAAGGACAGTGAAACGACAAGTGGATTACATACAGAAGCCAGCTCAACTCAAACCGGTACAGTCGTCACAGTACCTGCATCCAACGATACTCCGGCTCAACAGTTTATATTGCTATCACAGCCTGGAAATGGTGAGTAAACACCTAATCAGTGATTCCAGTTGAATATCTAAATATCAAATATCTGAATTGTGTTTAGTGTTGATGCTTGACCTTTACATTTGTTTTATTTTTCTATCAAGATAATCACTGATAAGTCTTTTGTATTTCATGTTTTGATTGAGGAAATTTGAAGCAATGATGCAATTCCTCAAGCAAGTCTAGTGTACACCGAATGCCATTTACAATTTATTTGTCTTGACTTTTGTGTTGTCAACATACCATGTGTACATGATGAACGTGGGTAACCAACCATTGCTGTATGTTATAGTCAGGCCAAACAAGAAGGAAACGATTGTATTTTAGCTCATCTAGCTATTGCTCCACGATGATATTTTGTGATAACTGTCATGTACAGGGATGAGAACCTTCAGCTGATCCGCGAATTTTAGTGAGCCCAAATTTGTTAAATTCTGATGAACCCCCTACAAACACCCCCAAATTATGGACCACGCTCCATTGAAAAGACGTTTCAGCTGAAAAGGAAAATATCCATTCTCATCCCTGCATTTATGCTGTTAAAGAATTTGAATAATTATGAAGTACATATTGATGATTATATACCACTAAAACAAATTTATTAAGAACACCTGATGTTTTCATGGCATGACAGTACCACCTCCGTGGTCTAGTGGTAGAGCGTCCGCCCGGAGAGCGGAAGGTCCGGGGTTGGATCCCCGGCCGCGTCATACCAAAAGACGTTAAAAGATGGTACTTGTTGTTACCCTGTCTGGCGCTCGGCATTAAGGGGCTAAAACAAGGACTGGTCGGCTCGGAGTCAGTATACTGTGTCTGAGTGGGGTATTCATGTTAAACTGCGGCATGGTATCTCAGTGGGCTAGCACTATAAATCGGCATCAGTCCGGACTAGTACAAGCAGCCATACACACACACACACACACACACACACGTATCTTGGACGCGACGTTAAACCCAATTTCTCCTCACCTCGCCTCACCTCGCCTCACCTCACATAACCTCATGGCATGACAGATTAACTAATGTGATACAAATTCAGGTGTTCTTTTACTTCATTTTGATTAGTATATTTAGTAATATCAGCTTAACCATGTTAAAAATAAACCAAGTGCCATTCTTCTTGCTGAGTGAGAAATAATTTGATTTATGAAAAATAGTATTTTGGGTAGGTATTGCATTGAACCATTTGCTCTTCATCAAGTTCATGGCAAACAATGTTTTGTGTTCCATGCCGTGATGTTGCTTGAAATTTGCTAAAAGTGGTGTAAAACTCGTTCATTCCTTTAAATTTGATGTGTTTGTCATTTTCATTGTGTCTTCATTATCTCTAAATGACTTCAGGTCCCCTAACAGTTGGTGTGCAAAATGATGCTGTTGGTGAACCAGCTTCAAAACTGATCCGCCTTGAGGGAGAAGATGGCCAAACATATGTGTTGGCAGTTGCAGGTATGCAGTATGAAAATACTTTAACTTTTTATGTCCATCATTGATTGGTCACCTGGTGTGTCCAGTCGTTCACCATCTGTCCACCATTCCACTCCTAGAGAGCTCACACTTTTACATGTTTTTTTTAACCTTACACCAGCTTTTAGTGTTGTCATTTAAAGTCCCAAACATGGAAGTGTTGAAATACAGTGTTATGTTGATCAGGTTACAGTGTTATATTGATCAGGTTACAGTGTTATCGCATTGATTAGATGAAACTGTTATCGTATTGATCAGGTTACAGTGTTATTGTATTGATCAGGTTACAGTGTTATATTGATCAGGTTACAGTGTTATCGCATTGATTAGATGAAACTGTTATCGTATTGATCAGGTTACAGTGTTATTGTATAGATCAGGTTACAGAGTTATATTGATCAGGTTACAGTGTTATCGCATTGATTAGATGAAACTTATCGTATTGATCAGGTTACAGTGTTATTGTATAGATCAGGTTACAGTGTTATATTGATCAGGTTACAGTGTTATCGCATTGATTAGATGAAACTGTTATTGTATTGATCAGGTTACAGTTTTATTCCAGGTGTGTCAGGAGATGCAGCTGGTATTACAGAGCTCCAGAAGACGGAAACTGTCAATGCTGACATCTCAGATGTGTCGGCCACTATCACTCAGGTAGGGGAACATTCCAACACTTACCGGTGTATGTCAGTTCCAACTTCTGTGGATAGTAAATGGAGTGTTCTGTCATTGCTGAACTCTTGATACAATCAAGGGGCTTGGCGCAAGTTTGAACACAATAGGTATTGTTGTAAAAGAATGTGATTTCTAAGTGTGTGTTTCATGCACTGGAATCTTAGCCATAATTGAATATTCCTGGTATAAACCTTCATGTAAGGAATATATGTGATTACTAATCCTGCAAGAGGCATGGTTGGCCCAGTCGTCTAAGGCTAAGCAATTCGCTGTGCAGAGTTGCGTCCCTTGGGCACGCCAGAAACCTGTGATTGAGGGTTCGAATCCCGGTTCACCCTGATTATGTTTCTTGGTTTGTCCGCTATATCCCCATGGTCGTGGGTTTCACCAAAGTAGTAAACGTCAGACCTGCATCACTTCAGGCTTTTCCCCACATGAAGTTGACATGCCATGATATAACTGAAATATTGTTTGAAGTGGCATTAAACACAACTCACTCATTACTAGTCGTGCAGAGTAATATGTTCCCGTCAATGTGACAAGGTGAAGACAGAGAAGTCTGGGATAGCTGGCCCCAGCAAGAAGTCGTCCAACTCGGCTGAAGATGTCACACAAGCTTGGTTCACAACCAGGGATGATAAGCGGGTCTTGCAGAGTAAAGGTAAGTGTGAGCTCACTGTAATATGGAGAGCAGGACAAAACCATGTCAGCATTCACAGAAATGAATAGAATAACTCATTTGTGTAAAGTTGTAAGGCCTCATTTGAATATGCAGTAAAAATCGGGGTCACAGATGGCCTAGTCATCTTTGGTGCCACAGAGCTGCATCCCATAGGCTTGCCAGATGTCTGAGATAGTTTGAATCCCATATTTGCCTTGATTATGTTTCTAGATTTGTGCTCGTGGGTTTCAATTGGTGAACATCTACATGTACTAAGACCTGCCTTACTTCTGGCTTTCCTCCCAAAAATTAGCATCGTGTGACCCTTAATACAGTAAGCTTTAGTCGTACAAGATGTTTTATCAACTTTGCTGGATTTTGGTAAAGGATGTGGGTAGTTGTGAAAAAAAAGACCGGATCAATTTATATAAAATTTGTGTTCTTTTCAAATGCCTTTGAGGATATTGAGGTTATGTCGGACAGTTACTTCCCTTATCAATGTGTTTTGGTGGCAGCTCTTTTAGCACTTTTAATAAAGGGATAAGTAGTTCTCAGCTTCAGACCTGATCTATTGAAGCTTCAAGACTTGATAATTGAAATCACCTTATTTTACAGGCCATACCTGGAAACAAGGGCAATGGACGAAGGACGAGACAGATCTGTTGATGGAGAATATTGATTCATACTGCAAAGTGAGTAACAGTGGTGTAACTCCCACTGTTCTTGTCTCAAATGTAAACATGTCTCACAATTAACTTTTCCAGCACTTTTCCATTGGCTTGAAATTTAATTCATTTGTTAGACTTAAATTTGTCTGTTTACAGCATCAGTATGGTGGAATCATGATTCTGGGGAAATGTCACCTGACTTTGTTTATACTCGATGACTTTCCATGCATGTACAAAAGACTTCCTTTTGTAATTTTATATTTGGATTAAAATAAATAAATTTCCTTGCAGAATGATCAGATGATAATTTTGATTTAGACTAGGGTTGGTTGGTTGGTTTGTTGTTTAACGCCGCACTCAGCAATATTGCAGCTATATGACGGCAGTCTGTAAATAATCGAGTCTGGACCAGACAATCCAGTGATTGATATCATGAGCATCGATCCACGCAAATGGGATTGATGACCGTGCATCAACCAAGTCAGCGAGCCTGACCACCCGATCCCGTTAGTCGCCTTTTACGACAAGCATGGGTTGCTGAAGACCTATTCTACCCCGGACCTTCACAGGTCTGTAGACTAGGGCTTTGGGTTAGTGGTTAAACTTGCAGATATGTGAGGAGGAGTGTGAATGCCAGTTGAACATGTGACTTGAAGTTGAACCTCCCAACAGGAACGCGGCATCAAGGACCCAACAGAGATCATCTTTGAGATGACAAAAGATGAAAGAAAGGATTTCTACCGCACCATAGCCCGAGGCTTACAGCGGCCTCTGTTCTCCGTGTACCGACGCGTGACTCGCATGTACGACCAGAAGAACCACATGGGCAAATATACCCCCGAGGAGATGGCGAAACTTAGGGAGTGCGTATAATACATGTTTCGTTTTCTCACATCTTGTTGTTGTATTAGGATAAGTTACGTTTCCTTGTGTTAAGATATCACAAGTAATTTACAGTTTGTTTGTTGTTTAACGCCATACTCAGCAATATTCCAGCTATATGAATGCGGTCTGTAAATAATCGTGTCTGGACCAGACAATACAGTGATTGATGTCATGAGTATCAATTCACTCAATTGGGATATGATGACATTCATCAACCAAGTCAGCGAGTCTGACCACCTGATACAGTTAGTACCTCTTACGACATGCTTGGTCGCCTTTTAAATTTACACTGATTAAAATTGTTAAGTTTATTTCTGAAGATTTACAAAACCTTCATGATGTGATGATGCAAATCTGTTAAATGTTAGTTTGCTTTGATGTTTTTTTTGTATACATATTAATGTGGGGGAACGGGTGGCCCAGTCGTCTAAGGTGCCGTGATTCGCTGTGCAGAGTTGCGTCCCTTGGGCACGCCAGAAACCTATGATTGTGGGTTCGAATCCCGGTTCGCCCCGATTATGTTTCTAGGTTTGTCAGCACCATAACCGTTCTCGTCGGTTTCACCGAAGTGGTAAACGTCTGAGACCTGCATCACTTCAGGCTTTCCTCCCACATTAAGCTGACACGCCGTGGTATAACTGGAATACTGTTAAAAGCGGAGTTAAACCCAACTCACTCACTCACTCACATACTAATGTTGTCTACTTCAGATTGCGTATGAAGCACGGTAATGACTGGGCAGCTATTGGAGCAGTACTTGGTCGAAGTGCATCCTCCGTGAAGGACAAATGCCGCTTGATGAAGGACACCTGCAATGCTGGTGAGGAATACAATCAGGAGCTGTCTCAGAAATTTCCTTTGGACTAATTTAATCTAACAACTTTTTCAGACAAATATTTTCAACTGACGATTTGTCTTTATCTGTATCCATATCTGTTTGAAGGAAAATGGCTCCCCGAGGAAGAGAGGAGACTAGCCTCAGCTGTATACGAGCTAGCAGGAGTCAAGATGGGTAGGTAGTGTTCTTGATAGTGTAAACTGTTTGAAATTGGTGTGAAATTTTCATCCTTTATTGTTCATAGTCTTTTTTCTGACTGATATTAAAAGTCAATAATGATCACTTGTCCTTTTGTGTGTATATTCAAGGGGTCGGTCAGGTAGGCTAGTGGTTAAAGCGTTTGCTCGTCACGCCAAAGACCTGGGTTCGATTCCTGACATGGGTACAATGTGTGAAGCCCATTTCTGGTGTCCCCCGCCATGATATTGCTGGAATATTGCTAAAAGCGGCGTAAAACCTCCCTCACTCACTCACTCACTCACTCACTCACTCTAGCCCAGCTTATAAGTCTGAGATTTTAAAATTCCACTTGATTCATTGAAAATTACGATAAACATGTTTTCTGTGTGACTAGTTACTGATCTGAGGAATTATTGCCTATGTTATTTTATTGATTAGTCACTTCGAATAGATAGTTGCATCAGGGAGAGTAACATATCAATCATAGGTAGTACCTAAGCAATCACCTGAACATCACTAGCTCTTCAGCATGTTGGAAGACAAATATTTGGTTTCTCTGCTGTTAATATCGATCTTGTTGATGCTAGCAACTCGCACTAGTAATATCTATAGGCTGCCACCTTTAAACAATCATTGTTTGTCGTAACTATTATTGTTAAGCTTTAACAGCGTTAGAAGCTAACATTTTTAGTCCACTAGTCCTTATAATAACATAAAGTAAATCCCTTAAAAATGGCAAATTTCAACTAGTCCTCAGGATACCTTAAGTATTGGGTAGTTTTGCAAGGACTACAGGACTAGTGCCAATTTCTGACGCTGTTTAAGTGAGTAAGAAGGGCATGACTTTAGCCATTGTCCGAAGCCCGATTATAGAAAAAAAATTCTTGTCTTGTATAATAAGCTTGTACTGGTCCATATGCTGAGACTTAAAACTACTAAAAATAATCCCGAAATTCTGTAGACGTTTTGGCACAGATTTGTAGTATGTACCTTCACTGGTTGAAAGGTTTTTAACCTTGTTTAAGAAAGTGTAAATGAGTTTCATCAAAACCCTGAATAACAACACGTGGTACAGTTTGTATAATGTTTCGTAGGCGAGAGTGTCACGCATGGCTTGTCCTGGGCTGCTGTGGCGGAGAGAGTGGGGACAAGGTCAGAGAAGCAGTGTAGGACCAAGTGGCTCAACTACCTCAACTGGAAGCAGAAAGGCGGGTCTGAGTGGACTCGCCAAGATGACATTAATCTAATACTCAAGTGAGATATGGTATTGTTAACAGTTTCACAACAGAATATCTCACAATACAACTATTCCATGGGGATTTAGGGTGAGAATAAAGGTCCCCAGTAACCTATGCTTGTTGTAAGAGGCAACTAAGTGGATTGGTGGTCAGACTCAGTGACTTTGTTAACTGATGTCATCATATCCCAACTGTGGGGATCGATGCTCATAATGTCAATCACTATGGTCATGGCCCAGACAGGTGGAATATTGCTGGAATATATTGGCACCAAACAAACAAGAAACAGTATAACCAATGTGACAAAATCAACGGTTTTGTTTCTGCGATCAACAAAATCTTGTACCTTGCTAAAGAAAATGTTTGGTTTGGAGGGCAACATCAGCTCATTCCATCATGCACAACATATCTTAAACTCTCTTCAGAAACCAACCCGTAAAGATCGGGGGTAGAATAGGTCTTCAGTAACCCATGCTTGTCCCCCGTAAAGATCCGGGGTAGAATAGGCCTTCAGCAACCCATGCTTGCTGTAAAAGGCAACTATGCTTTTCGTAAGAGGCGACTAACGGGATCGGGTGGTCAGCCCCGCTGACTTGGTTGATGCATGTCATCGATCCCAATTGCGTGGATCGATGCTCATGATGTCAATCACTGGATTGTCTGGTCCGGACTCGATTATTTACAGACTGCCGTCATAGAGCTGGAATATTGCTGAGTGCGGCGTAAAATAACCAACCAACCAACCAACTTCAGAAAGCACATTATACAGTCACTACATGGTTGTCAAGTTGCTTTGAGACTGATTTTAGCTTGTCGCACTATACAGTGTAATAGTTATAGTTTGTAGTCAATAAATAATCAATAAATTAGAATGAAAGACAGATTCAGGTTATCTTTCAAAAAGTCAGAACCATGGGTCAAGGTTAGATAAGTGGCAGCAACAATAAGTCACAGGCCCCAGAATTGATGTTCGTGTCCAGAATATTGTCACTGTTAAATGTTTTATAAGATCCAAACTGCACTTGGCAATCAGATTAGAAACAAGTCCAGTCGAAAAAAGCCTCAATTCACCCTCTTATCGTTCTTGTAAAAGTACAGCCAGTCTTGGAACTTTCCCAGCCAGAAACATCTTGCAGAGATGCTTAACATTACTCTTTTGAGCCTATTTTAAAATTAAGCTATTACGCTTGTCCTCCCCAAAGTACTATTTTCCCATTTTTTTTCACGAAACTGTTAATGCACCTGTCACATGGCGCATTCTACAGGGAGTTAATTGCATATACACTGATATTTCTTTGGAACTCAAAACACCACATTGTCTTTAAGTAATACATTTAATAATGTATTGTCACATGGTGACTTTAATGAAGGTGTGGAGCTTTGACTGCGTGTTTCAACAAGAATGCATTATGCCATGTATACTGGACGCCTTCTGCAAGTTTTTCCGATGCCCTATTGTCACTTAGCTAAAATGACGGGGTTTGGGGGGAGCTTGACCCAACATAAGAGCTTGAATTATATTCTTTCGTAAGTAAATGTGATGTAAATGCTGCCAGTGATAAATAATAGATATATTTACGACAGTTTCAACCACCACTGATATTACTTCCACATGAATGTAATGTTTGTTTCAGAATCGCTAGCCTGGGAGCCTCGGATGATACTGAGATCGACTGGAATGAACTTTCTAGTGACTGGTCAAGGTAACACAACAACTAATAGACGGTATTAAATTCACTGCTAGATAGATGAACTGTCTGAATTCTTTGCATATTTATGTGATCATATTTGAGCAGATATTTACATTGATCATACTTTGGTTGTCAGAATATTGTTGGTTCTCTAACACAAGATTGTTAAGTCTATGATCCTGTTTTCAGTGTGCGTTCACCCCAATGGCTACGAGGCAAGTGGTGGTCCCTCAAGAGACATGTGCCCGACTATCAGGACCTTGTCTTTGCAGGTAAGCAGGCTTAAAAAGGCATTGAATGTTCAGGTTCCTCCTGAAAAGCCTTGGAAATCGTCAAAATGTCTTGAAAAGCCTTGATAGTATGTACAACAAATGTAAACAAAGGATCAATATGCAGATGGAAATAGTGTATTGAGTGAAATTGAATATCCTCTGGTAACATGTTGTTTTTATTTTATAATTTTATTTTACAATGAATAAACATTAGAAATAAGCCAGTTTGAAAAATATCTTGATTTTGTAAAATGCTTTTTTGACTGATGAATCAATTTTTGGGGAAAATGTGCTTTTTTTAAAGTCAAATGATGTGTGAAATTAAAAATGTTTTGACTTGAATTTTCATTTTTCTGTTTTGTGTCATATCAATACTGTAATATGTCTATTTTAAAACACTCATTTAATAATCAAACTTTAAAATGACCATTTTATTGGCAAAATGATTTTATCATCCGGTGCCTCTAGATGGCGCCACTTATTAAAAAAATACCGTGGTGACTTAGTTTTTTTATTGCGTAATTTGATTCAGGACATATTTTCCCACAAAATGATACCAAATATACCCATTTTTTTGTTTTTTGTATGCAACCTCTTTAAGGATATTTTCTCAAGTTTTTTCTTACATATGTTTATCTAAATTTATTGGACTTTTCAAAAATGAAATAGATGAAAAATGTAATGTATTGAATGGGCTATGTAAGATATGATGAATCTCACTGGCCAGTGGCAGAGGTACTAGGTTGACCGCAAGGAACTCTGGTCAAAAGTCAGCGATAGAGGAGAGATGCCATGTTTGTTTGTAAACACTGAAAATAGTACCTACCCTATCTTTTATGTTTACATATTTATCTGAATATGACCCCCATCATCGGTGGATCCAGAGGGAGGGGGTGTCCAGGAGGTCTGGACACCACCACCCCTACCCCCCTACCCCTACCCCTCTCCCTCCTCCGCTTTGAAAGCCAAATGTAGTATGTTGTATGCAGTAAATTTGACTGAGAGAGGATTTTGATATTTTTGACCCCTCCCTTTTATAAATGCTGGATCCGCCCTTGTCCATGGATACTGTTTTTGTCTGTTGGCATTCCGGATTCCTCACTGATGTATATAGGTGTTAAGACGATAAAAAAATGTTTAACATATTGTATGTGATATGTTTTTCTTTTTGACCATTCAAAGATATCATTGAAATCCTGAAGACGATGCATTACCAGAATGTTCGCATCAAGAGCCCAGGGGTGAGGTTGAGAGTGCAGGGTCGACAGGCCAATGGTGAGATCGGCCTCCAGGTCCCCTTGAGTCTGCAGCCTGGCGTGTCTCTAGACGGGGAGGACTCCGAGTCTACATTCCAGGCCTACGAAGTCCTGCAACAGTGGACACCTGGCAACTCCAATGCACTGCTGATCACACAACCGCACAACAACCCTGCTGTCTCCTTCAGCGGCGCCAGCACCATGTCCACGGACCACATCATCGTACACACACTGCCAGTGTCACAGGTAGGACAACTTTGAGAGGCATTCAGAAATTGGAGTACTAAGTAAGGATAAGATATATGGATTAGGATCAACGTTTAAAGGAGCAACCACCCATCAACTGTAATCAAGGCTATTACAAACCCCTCAGTCATAATCCTTTTGTTTATACTACTGGCTTCACCTGGTAAGGTGTTTACCTTATATCACCCCCTTTGTGTACATAACAGGCGACCCGTGAAGATCCGGGGTAGAATAGGTCTTCAGCAAACCATGCTTGCCGTAAAAGGCAACTTTTCTTGTCATAAGAGGCGATTAACGCGATTGGGCGGTCAGGCTCGCTGACTTGGTTGAAGCATGTCAATCCCAATTGCATGGTTGATGCTCATGATATCAATCACTGTATTGTCTGGTCCAGACTCAATTATTTACAGACCGCTGTCATATAGCTGGAATATTGCTGAGTGTGGCGTAAAACAACCAACCAACCAACCAATATAACAGGCTTCTCCACTCCAGTGTAACTACATCCCAACCTACTCAACTGTATGATACTGTATAATAATCAACTGCCTCCTACATGTATACAGTGATCGCTCGCTATTGCGCTACCAATGGGGTCCAAATAATTGGTGGGCGTTATAGACGATGAGCCGTTTAACCGAGGCCGAGGCGGGGGAGCGCGCTCGGCAAATCTCAAATCATCAATAGGCCTATGTGTTTATCTCACGTCACGTCAAAATAGTATATATTTTTATGGACCTAGATCTACCTGTAATATCATTCATTTATTAAATCTGTCATATTTCACAATGTCTGAAATACGTATTCCATTCTAATTTATCATTTTTTATCAATAAATTAAAAAATTATTCACTATTTCCCGCGATGTTATTGAAAATAAAATTCTCGGACACACATTTCGACAACGGGTCCGCATCGAACATGTCAAAGAGCAAAATAAAGACTATTTTAAGCAAATCTTTAAATATATTATACAAAGTGATAAATAAAATCAACAAAAATATATCTAAAAGTAATCAAACTTACATCTAAGTTATTATTTCCATCGTTTCGTGCGATCGCGTGTAATGTAAGTCAAATGACATCTCGGCTTTCGTCGCCTTGAATTCTCGGCTCGGACACAACGTTTAATGCAAAAATATATGCATGAAAAATCTTTGTCACAGCTCGTAACCTAGCACGATACATTCGCAAAGTTCCATATTTTTAATATATAACGTGATTTCCTGCTTAAAACGTTCAGAATAACACGATTTAACAAAAAATCTTTCGCTAACTTCTGAAATTTATCAAACACGAGCTTTGTATCACAGCTTGATTGGCTGCCTGAGGTCACGTGCTCAAAATTGACCAATCACGAAACTTATAGCAGATTTCGGCAAGAAAGCGTCATTAGAAACAAATTTTAATCCAATGAAATCGCTTGTTATAACTACGGGGAAAAAAACAGGCGATGTTACGAAAGCGCGATTACGAAAGGAATGACCGCCGTGTTGTGACAGCAACTATGTGTGTGTGACAGTTTAGCCTTAAATTGGATTGCCCACTAATTAAGAATATAAACTTCACTTGTGGCTCTCTTTTATTGCATGCATGCGCTTCTAAGATCAAAGGATGTATAGTGTGAAAAGTTAACTAGTAGAACAATCGTATTTCCGGGACCTGCCGCGGATGTTTTCAAACAGATTATTAGAACTCCATTCAGCGATAAACCGTTGATTATGCAATGAGAAGCGTTATGTGCAAATAAACAACGAACAACAATACAATCATGTCTGTGTAAAACTCTCAATATTAAAAGTGTACATAAATTTTGGGAGCCATGCGTTACCGCGCGTAATAACCGAAGTAGCGCTTTATCGAAGAGCGCAATAGCGAGCGATCACTGTATATGCTTGTCAACCACACTCTGTACCTCACTTGCTCCATAACAGTTTTAGAACCAACACTAAAACGTTGCTCCTAATTGTAATAAAGAAGTTGTTCATCCATATATGTTATCCTTACTTCTCTATCTCTATATGGGATAAAATGCCAGTATACAGGATCTATATTGAATTGGCACCAAGTCAAAGAATCATTATGAACTCTACTTCTGTGTATGATATCTCTGTTGTCATTTTGAATGAGTATTTGGTTTACTGTGTTCAACATGAAGGCTAAAAGCTGCAGTGTCAATGAAAATTCAAAAGAAAAGCATTAAGTTTCATCAGACCAGTGACCCCCAAGAAGTGCCATAATTTTTAAAACGGGTTTATGTTACAAGAATGGTTTGTTCGTATTATGAGAATGCTTGTTTGTATGAGAATGCTGTCACTTTCTCCATCAGTCGGACGGCCATGTTAAGAGCGGGGAGAACGTGACGGTGCAGATGAACCACCAGCCTCATGTCATCATCAGTGCCGCCAGTGATGACGGCTCACTGGACGGGTCCGTCATTACCACTTCCATTCAGCTCCCGGATGGCATGGACTCATCAGAACAAGGTTAGCTTTCATACAGAAACAAATATATATGAATAAAAGAAACATCACATCATTGCTTTCTGTTCATCTTTTGAAACTCATCAGGGTTTTAGATATCAGGGGCCCGTTTCACAAAGCGATCGTAGTGCTACGACTACTGTAACTCCTATACTTTAATATAGACTTATGACCGTCTTAGCCCTACGATCTCTTTGTGAAACGGGCCCCTGTATATTTTCTAGGACACAGACAGACTGTAACCCCAAATGTCCCATGGAGTTTTTCAAACATAATAATGTGCTATCAAAAGTTGATTAGATCATGAACATGTCTAATGCCATTTGTCTCGATCAAAATCACCGAGTCATGCCTGACCTTTTTGTTCTTTTTAACTTGTCCGTCTTTCTTTCATTGAAGCCTGGGGAAACTTCAGGTTAGAATATAGGGCCCCATCAGCTGTATCATCAATTACATGGCATATTGCTGATTGTGGCATTAAACAAACAAAATAGTTTTCTGTGTTTCTGGTTTAAATTCGATCATGTTGAAGAGGGGGCACGGGTGGCCCTTGTCCAAGGCGCCGCAATTCGCTGTGCAGTGTTGCGTCCCTTGGGCACGCCAGAAATCTATGATTGTGGGTTCGAATCCCGGTTCGCCCCGATTATGTTTCTAGGTTTGTCAGCACCATACCCGTGCTCGTGGGTTTCACCGAAGTGGTAAACGTCTGAGACCTGCATCACTTCGGGCTTTCCTCCCACATTAAGCTGACATGCCGCAATATAACTGGAATACTGTTAAAAGCGGCGTTAAACCTCACTCACTCACTCACTCACTCACTCACTCATGTTGCAGATCTATGACTCATGTTGGATTCATTAAGAGTTGTAATAGATTTGAGGGACAACATGATCTGATACAGGTTGTTGCTCTGTCTGTGTTATGAATTGGGTGAATCTGTTGCAGAGTGCCACCAGTACCAGCTGTCCAGCGAGGCCTGTCAGATGATTGATAGTCAAGGGGAGATAATAACAGGACAGTTTTCAACGACAGTAAGAAAGTGTACATTATACTAGATACTACGGAAATAAGTGCTTATATATTCAGTATATATTTTACTTATTTTGGTTAATGTACATCAAGTACAACCAATTGTCACGCAAAGCGAGTTTGGAAATGCTTTTGTATTTATTGCAAACACTTTTCTAGTTTTTTATGTCTTCTCATGTCTTTGGCTCTTTCCAAGTACATGTAAGTTTTATCACATTGTTTAATAGTGTATGGAACCCGTGAAGATTCCGGGGTAGAATAGGTCTTCAGCAAACCATGCTTGCCGTAAAAGGCAACTATGCTTGTCATAAAAGGCGACTAACGGGATCGGGTGGTCAGGCTCGCTGACTTGGTTGATCCATGTCATCAATCCCAATTACGTGGATCGATGCTCATGATATTAATCACTGGATTGTGTGGTCCAGACTCGATTATTTACAGACCGCCGTCATATAGCATGAATATTGCTGAGTGCGGCGTTAAACAACAAACCAACCAACTAATAGTGTATGTAAGGAGGGTGATGTTGATGTTTGGTTACCTCCCTTGACAGGCTGTGTCAGCAGCAGATCTCCATGCTGATGTGGCCCAGTCGGTGTTGAGCTCTGGAGCATCGGGGGCTGACATCGTGGTCCTGGAGCCAACGTCCCCGCCGCATTTCTCACAGTCAAATAGTAACGACGGCAATGAACTCATGAGTGGCTTCTCAGGTAGGAAAAGTATCAAGAATTTTATCACCACTTTCAATTGAATCATTTCAGAACAACTTGACCCTAATTGTACCCCCGACTTTTAGGTCGTGGGTACACAGTTATACCAAGGTTCCATCTGTCCGTCAGAAAACTTTTTCCGCGCAATTTCTCTTAAACTATTCAGTGGATTCTTCTCAAACTTAGTACATATAATCTGTGTCATATGGAAGGGGTGCAGTCAAAAGAAAAAATTTAATTTTCCATTTTTTTATGAATTTTTCAAACCCTAACCATGCTAATCCTATCCTAGCTATTTAATTTGAAACTACTGACACACTAGGCAGGTCGGGGGTATTAGTGAGCCACGCTCACTTTTTTTTCTTGTTCCTTAATAGAATTTTGAATTTTTTTAATTCACAAATAAATTGAAGAGCAATGCTTGTCTTGTCTGATTTCAGTCAAGTTTATTCTCCCAATTAACCTGCAAATTAGATAATATTTGTGGTTCTAAATCAGAAGTAACTATTATCATGATTATGACAAGTTTCATACATGCTTTTCCTTTGTGTGCTACTGAAAGGATTCCAGAGCAGAACTTCCAAACTGTTGAACATTTCTTGATGAGACTTGTTATGCAGATCAGTCTAGTGGTGAATTGGTCCCTTTTCATGATTTCGGATTAGAAACAAATTGAGTGAGTGAGTGAGTATGGTTTTACGCTGCTTTTAGCAATATTCCAGCAATATCACGGCAGGGGACACAGGAAATGGGCTTCACACATTGTACCCATGTCATAAATCAAACCTGGGTCTTCGGCATGACGAGCGAACGCTTTAACCACTAGGCTACCCGACCGCCCCTAACTTGTATGGAATGGAGGGATTGCTACAGAGGGAAGGGGAGAGTAGGATAAGGGCCTTTTTTGAAAGTTATCAAATTTGTTCAAATGAATGAGAACTTGACTTTGTTCATTTCAACAATCGCATGTTTTGGATTTGTGACAACACTACAGGTTTTCTGGAAGTGCTTTTCTCTTATTTGAACATAGCCAAGTATGTTTGCTATTTGGGTAGATAAACCCAGTACAGACATATATAAACTTCAGGCTTGCTCATACTCTTACTCTTGAAGTCATAAAAATCCACTTTTTGTAACTCACCTTAGCTTATGTATTTGGTCATGTCAGAAGTCCAAAACATGCAAGTGTAAGAAAGAGAAAAGGCTAGTTGCCAGCCATTTTGAACGAAAGAGAAAAGGCTAGTTGCCAGCCATTTTGAACGAAAGAGAAAAGGCTAGATGTCAGCCATTTCGAATGAATGAGAAAAGGCTAGTTGCCAACCATTTTGAACGAAAGAGAAAAGGCTAGTTGCCAGCCATTTTGAACAAAGAGAAAAGGCTAGTTGTCAGCCATTTTGAACGAAAGAGAAAAGGCTAGTTGTCAGCCATTTTGAATGAAAGAGAAAAGGCTAGTTGTCATCCATTTTGAACGAAAGAGAAAAGGCTAGTTGCCAGCCATTTTGAACGAAAGAGAAAAGGCTAGTTGTCAGCCATTTTGAATGAAAGAGAAAAGGCTAGTTGTCATCCATTTTGAACGAAAGAGAAAAGGCTAGTTGCCAGCCATTTTGAACGAAAGAGAAAAGGTTAGTTGCCAGCCATTTTGAATTAAAGAGAAAAGGCTAGTTGTCAGCCATTTTGAACGAATGAGAAAAGGCTAGTTGTCAACCATTTTGAACGAATGAGAAAAGGCTAGTTGTCAACCATTTTGAACGAATGAGAAAAGGCTAGTTGTCAACCATTTTGAACGAATGAGAAAAGGCTAGTTGTCATCCATTTTGAACGAAAGAGAAAAGGCTAGTTGCCAGCCATTTTGAACGAAAGAGAAAAGGTTAGTTGCCAGCCATTTTGAATTAAAGAGAAAAGGCTAGTTGTCAGCCATTTTGAACGAATGAGAAAAGGCTAGTTGTCAACCATTTTGAACGAATGAGAAAAGGCTAGTTGTCAACCATTTTGAACGAATGAGAAAAGGCTAGTTGTCAGCCATTGGAACATGTCCAATAATTTTAAACCGAAATTTTTAATATTTGACATTTACTTAAGTTGTTTGATAGGCATTACTTAGAAGTTGACGGATGACAACAATTTTATGGATAACAACTTCTTTAATACTGTAAAAACAATGTTTTGGTATAGATCCTTATACCGTTGTCATATATTCTGTACTATGTCCCTCATTCAGTCCTGCTTGACAACGGGGCGGTCGGGTAGCCTTGTGGTTAAAGCGTTTGCTCGTCACGCTGAAGACCCGGGTTCGATTCCTGACATGGGTACAATGTGTGAAGCCGAAATCTGGTGTCCCCCGCCATGATATTGCTGGAATATTGATAAAAGCTGCGTAATACCATACTCACTCACTCACTTGCTTGACAACAGTATAAGGATCTATACCGAAACGTCGCTTTTTTACAGTATTAAAGAGGCTGTTATCCATAAAATTGTGTCTACCTTGAGATTTACTGTGTGCCAAATAGGGCCCTTATCATACCTCATGCTTTCATATCGTATTATATTGACAGATCCAATCCTCACGTCCGATGCCACCGAACTAATGGGGTCAGCGTCCGACTGTGAGAACGACAAGAGTCAGACAGGGCTTAGTGAAGACATACAGTGACACTTCCCCCTGGGTCAAGGTCACAGCACTTGAACCAGGCACTTTGTCAAGGCCACATACCTGATGGTCACAAGGAGGCATTATGCGAACTGATTAGTGATGAAGCGTGTCACGGTACGACAATTGTGATTTTGTTTTCTACATGTGCCAAGCTGGATGCAGGGATGGTAGTCTCTGTGCAGATGTTTGTATGGGTGTGGCTGTATCAATGAGAATGTTTTTTTGTTTTATAAAAACAATGAAGGTTAGCTGGGATCTGGGGTACTTTATGAGTATATTGTAATGGTGTGTATCGCCATTGACCTGCAGATCTGTGAACAACTCTCATTCATGATTATGCAGCAAACTTTCTGTGTGACAGATGTCTTTACTTTCGGTGTGGAAATATATCTTTCTGTGATATGCAGAAGTCTTTGTTGTATTTACAGACTTCTGTTGTTGGGCTGCAATGATTCGTGTGTCGTTAAGCTATGTGCGGGAAACGACAATTTTCATTTCCTTGCATACCCTTTGATGGTATCAAAATGATTATACATTAACCTGAGCAAAAGTGTTTCAACAATTTACCAGTCTTGAGACAAAGTAATGAGTTGCCTAGATCCATGTTGCTTTCACAACAGTTACAGCCAGTGGTTCCTTGTGATCTAGTGAATAAGCGATTATGATAAATGTATATGTTAAATAGGTGGATGTAAGGGGATGATTTTGCACCGTCCAGTGTCAAACTACAGTGTTTGTGGTGTTAACTAATCAAAACACAATTCTTATTTTGTATTTGTTGGCTGTTATAAGATTATAAAAGTTTGCCCTACTTAAATATTTAGGAACGAACATCGAGTTCTTACATGCAAGTTTGTACAGAACAAAGGTAGTATTTGTTATGGCCTTGGTGTCACAATCGCTATATATGTATGGAGGTGTTCGATGCGTACATGTCTATACTGCAGTGTCGGGTATTGCAGTCAGCTGTGATCCGGTCAAAGCTTCTGTATAATTGTGTACACTCTTAAGTATTTATTCGCGCATTAGGTACATGTGCCATGATATTAATTATTAGAGATACCCATTTCATGTTTTCTTTTAACTATTTACCATCTGAAAGTGCTGGAAATTACTAATTGTGTAAATTGTTCGAACTACCTGATGAAGATGTTTTTGTCATATGGTCATAGAAATATATCAATGAATTTTGTGATTGTAACATTTTGGCGAGATTTGTAAAGTAGATCAGGTACATGTTAATCATGGATTTGGTATTCAACCATCTCTGACGATGAAATAAAGATTTTGTTTACAAGTGAGGTGTTACCATGTATATGATGTTTTGTATATTTTTCATATACATTGTACATCGGAATTGTTTGCCTGTCAAAGTATTGCATTATCTTGTCTTGCAACTAGAAGTTTGACATTTTGTGTACTTTAATCATGTTATTTAAACATCCTTTTGGCTCTCCTTGGTTGTACTAGCAGCAGGATAGACAGTTGGTTGCACGTGCGCCAAGCTCCGTTGCAAGCTGATCTTTATAATGCATGGTACATGGCTCTTTAGAATGTTATATCAAAGTGTAAGAGTAGGGATGTGTTATGAATTGGGGATTATCCTCGTAACTCTTCATTCCTTAAAAATTCTGGGCTCCCTTTGTTTTAAAGGAATGGAGTTACTCGGACATTCCCCTCTATGTATACTCAGTGTGGTGGAGTTGTAGATCCGTGTTTATCAGTCATGCTAGAGTGCGACCAGAAAGGATTTGTTCATTTCATCTTGTTAACAATCACCCCTGTACCCACCTGCTACTTCATATTTATTATGCCCTCATGAATATCATTTTTCATACATATGCAAAGGTTCAAAATATTGAGTTTGTGTACTAATACATTTGATTTTGAAAATAAACATGTTAAACAATGTCCTGATATTTGTTGAGGTAACAATGTGCATCAAGATAGTTCAAATAGTAACTTTCTGCATGGCTATTTTGGGAAATTTTGACTTGTCATGTGTGATGTGACTTAATGCCAGATATTCCAGCTTCATGATGGCAGCCTGAAAATAGTCAGGGCCAGACAAAACAGTGATCAATATCACAGACATTGTCACATGCACCAGGGTATGGTACAAATAACCGGACCCGTAAAGATCCGGGGTAGAATAGGTCTTCAGCATCCCATGCTTGCCTTAAGAGGCGACGGGATCGGGTGGTCAGGCTCGCTGACTTAGTTGGTGCATGTCATCAATCCCAATTACGTGGATCTATGCTCATGATGTCAATCACTGGATTGTCTGGTCCAGATTTGATTATTTACTGACCGCCGTCATATAGCTTGAATATTGCTGAGTGCGGCATTAAACAACAAACAAATAAATACAATTAACCGAGTCTGACCAACCGATCCATTATGTCTCTTACAACAAGCACAGGCTGCTGGGGACCAGTTCTATGAGGGAATCCCCACAACCCAGAATGTTCTCAACAGTTACATTGAAACTTCAAGCATTGACTAGTTTTAGTTTTTACACTTTAATACAGAAGTAAGTTTGGCCACATTCTGTGATCATATATTGTTATGGATGAATATAAAAAAACACCTCCCTACCTACCAAACTGTGTAACTGGTTCCGGTGCCCGAAACATGTTTTTCTAATGGCCTTGGTAGACAAGTTTGTGAATAAAAAAAAAAGTAACTGAAAATATTGAAATATGTTTTCTTATACCAGGATACAGGAACATTATATTCCATGTACAGTCAAGTCCCATTAATCCGACATCTATGGTTGCATATGATTATGTCGGATTAACAAGTATGTCGGATAAACGAAATTAAGTAGTATCAACGTTCGTGATCGGAAATCGGACAACTACATGATAGAAAACGATTCAAACACGTAATAAAAAAAATATAAAATAAATACAAATATTCATATAGTTGTGTTACATTGTTAGCGGAATATGTTTTCTAATCATCCAGCCTCTAAAGTTTAACACAAAACAACTGTTACAGACTGTATGACCAGCCGATTCGTCTTGCAACAAAACACGGGCTGTGTACTCGCGGGCAGATGACCACGGAGTACGCTGATCATTGTGTTGGATTAACGAGACCGAATGAGTGGTTTCGGTAATTCGTTGCAAATTAGGTGTGTCAGAGTCGGAGTCGGAGTCGGAGTGCGAGACTCTCGGATTGACAGGTCTAAATAGCACTGATTTAATCGGTTCCCATCATTAGTGTCGGATAAAGCCAATTGTCAGATTAACAAGACTTGACAGTATATGTCGGTAAATGTTTTGGGGTTCATGCCGACTTTATTCATTCCCATCATGACGAACTGAGGTGGCTGATTGGTTATTTCATCGTCCCAGAAATATTTATATTTACCCAGGTAAAATAACAAAAACACAACCATCAATATTGATACAAGGTTTATGTACATTACAGAACATCAGAACGGAAAGATAAATACTGTACAATAATGATGCTATAGACTTAAGGTGACACTCGTCACACAAGTTATGTTAAATGGAGCGTATTATGCTTTGCATATCAAGCACTTCGTGGGTCTCTGCAAGCCATATGTTTGCACTCAAAGACAAAGGACATGGTAGAATATTGCTCTTTTGCTGCACACATTGAAAACGAGACGGAACTTAACCACAACGTGTATTTACAGCACTGTCATGGGTGACATGTTGTGAAAAAGTTCAAGGTATTGTTGCACAAAGCGTTTTAGCACTACGACTGTCGTAAATCCAATACCGTTACACAGATGTACGATAATTGTAGTGCCAGGATCGCTTTGTGCTTTGGGGCACTGAGGGGTCTTCTGTTTATCAATAATATAACAATTTTCAAACCTGCAGAAGACCGTCAACCTTTTCAGTGGCTGAAAAATGGGATACTTAACAAACATATAAAATGCTGCTTTGACAAAAAGAACACTTGGCATTGTGAACCATTTTCTTGACAGGTCATCCTGTCTGGCATGGTGTCTTTTTGAGCTGTCAACTGATTTACTCACGTCTGATTCAGCACTTGACAGAAAATATTTCATGCTAAATCCCAACTTTATGAAAGGAATCAGGAAGATGACATTGGGAAGCTGTTACCATGGTTACATGACCAAGGGAGGAGGAGCAATGTCCTGGCTGTTAGTGTGGCTTTTGAGTGAATGTCGTTGTGGGCTGTAGTCACAATATCCCAGCTTTATCACACAGCCTGTCAATATCAAGTCCGGACCAGACAAACCAGTGTCTGAAAACATGAGAAACAATCGTCGACACAGCAAAGTCAGAGTGCCTGACCAACAGATCCAATTTAGACATCCCTTGTGACCAGCAGTGGGATGCTGGGAACACACTCTCACCCTGGTCCTACAGTGAAAAGTGAGTGATTTGGGTTTATCATCCAAAACTGGCTCCCACAGGAGATATCCTTGGGTTAGATCAAGCGATATCTACATTGTAGATATCGCTGCAATGAAATTGCATCACAATGTTTTGCAGACCATTGTGACGTCACTGGTTACCATGACGTCACAATCAAATGACATCACTAATGGCTCTGCTACTGAAGCTGTTAGCAGTACTTTTTACACTGAAGACACTGCTAATTACTGTTTACAAACTGAAAAAGTTGGAAGAATGATGTTGGATGATAAATAAAATCTCACCCTCATGTCTTTTGATATCAAATATATCAACACTCGTTGATAAAAGTGGCAAAAATCCTCGGCCTCGGAATGTTTCCACTTTTATCAACTCGTGTTGATATATTTGATATCAAAAGACACTCGGGTGAGATTCTCAATTTAAAGCCGCTTTTAAAATTATTCCAGTTATGTCACTGCGTGTCAGCTTAATGTGGGAGGAAAGCCCGAAGTCATGCAGGTCTCAGACGTTTACCACTTCGGTGAAACCCACGAGCACGGTTATGGTGCTGACAAACCTAGAAACATAATCGAGGTGAACCGGGATTCGAACCCACAATCATAGGTTTCTGGCGTGCTCAAGGGACGCAACTCTGTTCAGCGAATCGCGGTGCCCTAGACGACTGGTTCACCCATGACCCCCCGTGAAAATGAAATACACACTCCTTGGCTGGCATGAAGTCAGCATGGACAATTCATGGATGGGTGATATTCTGAGAAAGTCGATATCAAAACACTTTATTTTTTGTGCCCTTCATGACATGAAACCTGCATCTTGTTTGGATACTAAAGTACTCACGGAAATGAAAAAAACCCTGTTTTTTCGACCTCAGATCTTAAATAAATGCAGTTAATATACAAAATAGGTAAATATTCAAACAACTAAATTAGTACTAATTGGGCCATGGCACAAATACAGCGTATCAAATGTTTTTATGCCTTTTTACACATAAAAGTGTGTAAAAATGTGAATAAAACAGACTATTGTGAAACAGGGCATAACCAGGTGTAAGTAGATCAAGGTGACCTATGACACCTTGACGACAGGTGAGAACAGGTGCATAATGCCTATAGTCTGTTTCTGCTATGTCAATTTGGACTTAGTTATATTTTTGAATGTTGAAAGTGCCGACAAATTACCTCCTGTAAAGTACATTTTGTATTGTTCACTGAGATCAGACTAGTACTTTTCGAGTTGTTTTGTTATTTCGTATTTACAGCTACGTAACACTTTGTGTCGATTTTTAAATTGAGAAACAGGTTTTTTTCATTTCCGTGAGTACTTTATGCTCCTACTGGAGCGAAATCGTTGTTATTAAAAGGATACATTGATACCCTGGTCAATTAACGCTGGCGTTCATGACATGAAGTCCAACTTACAATGAGATCAGAGGATGTAGTTCAAACATTCACAAGAAACCTCTAACTACAAGCATGCACAGCGAGTCACAATCACAGAAACATGCAACCAAACTGCAAAGGAAAAAAATTTATTTTGCTGAAGTCAAAATGTTTGTCAATTAATGTGCCCCTTCTAGCACTCGCATTGGAAAGGGTTGAACATTTGTAAATACCGTATTCGACGTAATAAGCGCCCAGGGCGCTCTCAAAATTATTAGAGCGGGGCGCTTATTACGTCGAATACGGTAAGCGTATAGTTCCATACAGGTTTCATTTCAGTGAACAACATGTAACAAGCTAAATACAGTAACAATGAGCTAAACCTCGGTAACAACAAGCAAAGCCTCGGCAACAACAGTCATCAATACCATGATATCCCAATAATCTCCAGTGTCACAAATTCATAAAGAAACAAACAAAAAGATGCTACTCCCATGGATGTTATGTTTCATGTTGTAGAAATATCTTACTTTCAGTGACTTGTCATGCCACAGAATTATACATTGCGTCCATGTAAAACTCTGACAAGAGTGGGGGTTCCGAGTGGTAGAGTCAGTGAGTATGGCTTTACGCCGCTTTTAGCAATATTCCAGCAATATCACGGCGGGGGACACCAGAAATGGGCTTCACACATTGTACCCATGTCAGGAATCGAACCCGGGTCTTCGGCGTGACGAGCGAATGCTTTAACCACTAGGCTACCCGACCGCCCCTCCGAGTGGTAGAGGTTCACTGTGCAATACAACATACGTATTGAAAGCCAAAATGTAGACAGGTGTTAATTGGAGGTGTTGACATGCACTGTCCATTTACTCAAAGCTTCTAACATATTAACATACCACCAGGTACTTCCAGTCCAAAAACATCACTTTGACCTTGACCTTTATCAAGCCATCTTGACAACTTAAAATCCAACAAATACAAAATCTCAAGATTGTTTAAGTGAAAGTGCAACAGTAACTGGCAACAAATGATAACCAATAACCTCAAACATGACCTTGACCTTTGATAGACATAATATTTGTGAAGATACCCTAGAGAAGGTACATACCAAGTGTAACGACAATTGTAATACTTTTAGAGAAAGTAAAACAACAAACTTTTGAGAGATTTTTCTATCATGACCTTTGCCTTTAACCTTTTAACATGTACCAAATGAACTTCCCAGGTAAATGGTGCTTGTGGGTTTCACCGAAGTGGTAAACGTCAGAGACCTGCATCATTTCAGGCTCCCCACCCCCCACCCCAATTAAGCTGACATGCTGCGATATAACTGGAATACTGTTAGAAGCGGTGTTAAACCCAACTCACTCACTAACACTCCCAGGTAAATGTCCATTGCATGAAATCCTTTAATTTCAATCTTTTTACAGTTTTCAAAAGAAAGTATTATACTTCTTTTGAGGGTGATCTTGACCTTTAACATAAATGCCACTGACATTTGATGTGGTCGGATTTATTTCAGAAACATGTAAGTATATCGTCCCATGCCTGTAGAGGTACCAATGCCTCAGAAGTTGACCCCGATACAACTATGTTTTCAAAATAACAGACTGATGACCACGACCTATCACTAATCTCAATCCAAACATATACAAAGCAGGGTCACATCCCAAAGAATGTATACACCAGCTTAAATGAGTATTTTCCTTTCTTTTGACCTTGACCTCTGACCTTTTTTAAATCCCCAGGGTCACTTCAAAGAAGTCCATGGAAGAAGAACCCCAAATGTCTCCTGACACAGACAGCAGAATTGTTACATTGGATCCATCGTTGACTGGGACATGGACAGGACAGATCTTACTGTCAACTCCATCCTAGCTGACTACACCTGACATACTGATCTTCTTCATCACTGATAACTGTGATACAGTGGAATAGACTGCCTCCGTGGTCTAGTGGTAGAGCGTCCGCCCTGAGAGCGGAAGGTCCGGGGTTCGATCCCCGGCCGCGTCATACCAAAAGACGTTAAAAGATGGTACTTGTTGTTACCCTGTCTGGCGCTCGACATTAAGGGGCTAAAACAAGGACTGGTCGGTTCGGAGTCAGTATACTGTGTCTGAGTGGGATATTCATGTTAAACTGCGGCATGGTATCTCAGTGAGCTAGCACTATAAGTCGGCATCAGTCCGGATTAGTACAAGCAGCCACACAAACACACACAAGTACATACACGTCGCTATATAAGTGCAATAATCTTGGACGCGACGTTAAACCCCACTTCACCTCACCTACAGTGGAATAAACACAATAGCACTTTCTATGACATGACTAGAAAAATAAAAAAATCTTCGAAAGGTGCAACACAAAATAAACATGTAGGTCTCTTTGATAAAGAACTGCAAGACATGACCAATGTTTGGAGTATACTGCTCTAAAAAAGTTAAGGACCACCCGATTCATTCATATTACTATAGTTAATCTGTCATGGCATCGGAGGGTACTTAACATTTTTTAAGCAGTATAAGTTGAGTGTTCATGAGGCTTGGACAAGTGCAGTTTGAACTGTTTGATCTTAACACAGCTCATCATCATATACGATTAAACGAACAAGCCTATTGTGACCACTGAACTCACATTTCCAACGTTTTGTTCCCAATATATACCATGGGTAATACACCAAATATCCCACTCCGAATCCTTGACTAGGCTCCCACCATTCCCTCCTGTCTGATCATGCCTTTCAGTTCCACTACACAGGGAATCTACCAATACAGAAGGCACCATTTCCTGACAGACATCACGGGTATAAGTCCTATAGAATTCAATACAAGCATGGGTTGCTGAAGGCAAATTCTAACTTCACGGGTATGTTTGTATGCAAGCGATTCAAAAATTTAATTGAGTTAGGTGGCTAAGTTTTCATATTTTCAGCAAATACACAGTTTACCTGGAGCTCTGAACTACAGCATCCCTAATCTGCCACATCTCGTCCATCTTCCCGAGGCAAGAGAGTTAACTGACTATAAAAGTCCAGTTTCCACCCTTGCTGAACTAGGCTGGTATTATGGAGTTACATTTTGGCTGGACTAACGAGTCTATGCATAGTCCAATCAAAATCGCACCGAAATCAAAATCCGGTTCGTAAACCGTCGTGCAGATTTCGGGTGAGTGCAGGATTTGCAAAGCAAGTGCACCACCAACTCGTTGTCGGCAGATTTTTCCAAATCTTTTCATATTTTTAATCAAGGTGCTCGCGTGATTTGATGCATTTCGCGATGTAAGACCCTTTTATCACAATATAGCTCTTGATTATCGATCGAATCGTCCTGACTGGGCGCCACCATTTTGGGTGAAGCAAACGCAAGTGATACGAGAGGTGGAATCTGATTGGTCCATAGGAGAGGCTTAGAAGGGACATACCTGGTAATAGCCACTGGCGGTGCTACGATCGAGCCCAGTAATTCCAGCCTAGTTCAGTAAGAGTGGAAACTGGACTTTTAAAGTCAGTTAACTCTCTTGCCTCTGGAAGATGCATCTCATCAAGCTCTGAGTAGTCCAGACATACGCCAGCCAAAAAAAACTATTGTTAAATAAACCAGCTCCTCTAACCTTGCTTGTAAACAACAACTGCATCTAAGTTTAAAAAACACTGACTGTCATGGAGCTCGCATCATCATGACGCTTCCTACTCATCCAAAATAATATGTGCAACAGTAGCTTTGATGACTAGTAATCTCGATAACAGGTTCTTATAAAACTTTCCAAATGCAGTAAGGCTTTTTGTTAGCCGCATCAATAAGTTCATATTTCCATCATCTGTGCATGTGATGCAGTGAGGTCGCTAATTTGGAGGGAAGCTTACGTGTGTTCAGACCAATTAGCACTAAGAATACGTTGGACAAACAGCAATACATGTATTCACAGTCTTGTGGCTATCTATTCTAAACATTTCTTGTTCAATATCCGGCAAAGGTTCAGTTCATACAAAATTCATGCACACAGTTAGGATTCGAGCTGAGTATTACTTTGTATGTTGCGATACAATTTGCATCACGACATGGACTGAGGATACTACTGGTATCACAACAAACCACATCAAATAGTAAGAAATGATGAAATCACTGAAATACAGCTTTAAAGCCTCTTTGTTCATACATTTATGTATTGACATCTAAAAAACTTGAACAAAGAAAACCACAAGAACAAAACAGTTTTAAATGAAGGGATGGTTATTAAATGTAGCAGTTAGTCCTCGTCTCAGCTACCACTCCTTGTGTTCTGCCATGCCTACAGGTGGCGCTGTGCTACTTCTGCCATAATGGGAGGTAACTCTATACTGTTCTAGTGATAGCGTATCGCGATCTTACAATCTGACGTGTGTACCTAACTATCGATGATATCGTAGGTATCTTGAATCGTTACAGCCCTATTTAGGATCATTTGACTTTAATTCGGGCCTCAATTCATTACTTGACTAATAACAGACACAGGTCACCACCTCTCATAGTTGGTCCAGTGAGGGGGGACACCAGAAATGGGCTTCACACATTGTACCTATGTAGGGTCTTCGGCGTGACGAGCAAATGCTTTAACCACAAGGCTACCCGACCGCCCCTTTGAAGAAGAAAGAATAACACACCATCAGGTTGTCAAGTTGACTGAAAACAGGGGTTGCTTTTCACCCCCCACCCCTACAACCCCAACCCATCTTTATCAGCCAGTGAGAGTCTCACAAACTGACATGTTCCTTCAACTGCACCACACTGGCCAATGATGGAGAATCCCTTGTTGATCCAGTGGTTGACATGGCAACACCGCCATGTATCCCCGCTCGTCGTCACTTCTTGCATCCTATCCCATATATATACAGATTGCCACACACACACAACAGAATTATGCTGAAGGCGTTGTAGTAAATCATCGATCGGAACCTTGGCTCTAGGTCCCCTTGACGGTACCAGTAAATCTGAAAAAAACCCATAAAGACATTATGATGTGTGATTCCCTAAGGACTCCATAAAATGATAACCTTCATTTTTTTCTACAAATAATAAAACTAGATTTGTGGTATTTTCTCAAGAGGTTGTTTACATCACTTCCCATGACCTGTCTGCTCACATACAAAATAATTACTTAATATGTAAGCAACGTTCAGAAATGAGTTTTCAACTCAAATTTCATTTTAGCACCAGTGTCTGACTTTCATATCAATCCACACCTTTTATACAGTCTGTGCAAAAATATACGGACTCGTTATAACCATAGTAACGTTATAAACATATATACAGCAAATAGCAGGGTCAAAACAAAACAGTTTGTTATATCCGTCAGTTCGCTATAAACAAAGTTTACTGTACCTCCATGATTTAAATAAACATTATCTACAAAGTTTCACAAGAACAACAACCAAAAGTTCCTATTTGAATATTTTTACTTGTTTAGGGAGTGAGGATTTTACAAGCTGAATGGTCTTGATCACCATGTGACGGGAGTGCAGGGATGTTCACATCAAGCATGGTGTACTGAGTACTATTCCTGACAGGACTTTGCAGTGTTTCAGAGCTCCAGATAACTTTTTGAGCAATTGAGTTTTTACTCAAAGGTTTCTATTTTAACTGGGTTACCACATTTTTCACTGGGTAACCAATATTTTAATAGCAATAGTATTTACCAACCAGTCACAGATCAGACACATGGAAATAATTTAATCCAAAATAAATTCCTTATTTTGAATTCATGCTTTGCTACATTTAATGTCAAGTAAGCAAACTAGGACTGGGATGAGTCCCAATATACTATCCAGGTACCCATCCCCTTATTACCCGACCCTACCCGGGTACCCGCTGTACGTCTCAAGAGGTAGGTACAAACTGTCCGATTGAGAAAAGTTTGACCGTAGCTCTGGCAAAATGTGTTTAGATACATGCTGGTGTATACACTGAAGTTGACTGAAGTTCTATTTTTATTCAAACACATAAAAGTCAGAAGGAATGGCAAAGTAGTCAGAAAGAAAGAAATGTGACTTGTAGTTAAAACATACAGTCCCAGATAATTTGTGTCTTTAAACAACATATCACGTGACTGACCACGGGTCGTCCTGTGGGTACCCGGGTTCTACTCATTACCCAACCGACCCGAGTACCCGAGTTACCCGTCCCAGCCCTAAAGCTGCAGCAATGTTCTTCCCCGAGAATGGAATCTGGATCGGGTATTTAGGCGTGCTGTTTTCATACATTTGAGTTTTTCATATAATGTGAGTGAGTGAGTGAGTTTGGTTTTACGACGCTTTTAGCAATATTCCAGCAATATCACGGCGGGGGACACCAGAAATGGGCTTCAAACATTGTACCCATGTCGGGAATCGAACCCGGGTCTTCGGCGTGACGAGCGAACGCTTTAACCACTAGGCTACCCGACCGCCCCTTTTCATATAATGCATGCAAGTACGCAAGTTAATTGAAAGTAACTGGGTTTCGAATATTTGGGGGGGGGGGGGTTCCCGCAAATACGCATCTTATCTGTAGCTCTGAGTGTTAACTGCTACATGTCAGGCAGGTACTGACAACTCACCAACACCAAGTGGGATCCACAAATAAGGACAATCGCACAGGCAAAGAAGACATTCACTCCATTAGGGGGCCATTTGGCTGCAATAGCACCAACTAAAGTCACCTGCAAATAGATACCTCAAGTGTCAATTTGACCAACATGACACATACAAACAGAGATGAGCAAGTATTGCAATATTTATACACAACAGTGTGCACCTTTGCATATTTATTGAAAGAGCAGCGTTAGAAATGGGCACTAGTCCTGTATTCCTTGCCAAACTGCACAATAGTAAAGGTATCATAAGGACAAGTAGAAATTTGCCATTTTTAGGAGTTTTGCTATATGTTATCATTATAAGGACTAGTGGACAAAAACTTAGTTTCTATGGCTGATGAGTAAACATTCTGCTGTTCCAGCATCTTGTTTTGTTCAATTCATAAACTTCAATTCCTACATTAATTTTTCAAATTACTTCTGAATTCAAAATTTTGAATTATACAATATATTATGATATGTATCCCAATACGGACTTGTGCACTGTGAAGTATTGTATACACTTTAAACATCCAATATCCATCCCTAGTTAGAACATCTAATGTTGACAAGTTATCTACAATAAACTCACCAAAACCACTAAACCAGTAAATGAACCGACCACAAGATTCAACACCCGGTCCTGAAACAGATTATTATTATTATTACACAGTTAGGATCATCATACAACGACAAGAGTGAGGGAGAGAGTTTCGTTTAATTGTCAAAAAGTTATTCAGATTTCCTCAGAGTAAATGGTTTGGATGCAAAACTAACAAGTGTGCTCCGAGTAGCACACTTGTTCAAACAAACGTAATTATCTGCACATACCACCGGCCTGGGTTCCCCGAACAATGGCTTCTCAGCGGGATCTTCATATCCTCGTATCATCCTTGTCTCCTGATCTCAACTCTCCGTCACTCACCCTGGCGCGGCTCACACAATACCTAGACAGAAAGTTCAAGGTTATTCTGAAAACCCTTTCAACAAGACAACATAAAAATAAATCACTAGTAGAGCTGGGAAGGGCATCTTCCCAAGGCAAGTGAGTTAACTGACTATAAAAGTCCAGTTTCCACCCTTGTCGAACTAGGCTGGTATAATGGAGTTACATTTTGTCTGGACTAACAAGTCTATGCATAGGCCAATCAAAATAGCGCAACAAAATCGAAATTCGGTTCGTAAACTGTCATGCAGATTTCGGTCGATTGCAGGATTTGCAAAACATGTGCACCGCCCACTCATTGTCAACAGATATTTTCCAAATCTTTTCATGTTTTTAATCAAGGTGCTCACGTGATTTGCTGCATTTCGCGATGTAAGACTCGTTTTATCACAACATCGATCTTGATTATCGAGCAGATCATCCTGACTTGGTGCCGCCATTTTGTTTGAAGAAAATGCAAGTGATACGAGAGGTGGAATCTGATTGGTCCATAGGAGAGGCTTAGAAGGGACATAACTGGTAACAGCCACTGGTGGCGCTACGATCTAGCCCAGGAATTCCAGCCTAGTTCGGCAAGGGTGGAAACTGGACTTTTAAAGTCAGTTAACTCTCTTGCCTCGGGAAGATGGGGACGGGTAACTCGGGTACTCCTGACTGGTGGACACTAAGTACCCACAGGATTACCCAGACATGTAGTTAGCAGAGCTACAGATAAGCAGCGTATTTGCTCCCGCCCCCCACCCCAAATATTCAAAACCCAATTACTTTCAATAAACTTGCGTACAGAAACTCATGCATGCATTAAAAGAAAAACTCAAATGTATAAAAACAGCAGTAAAAACACAATGAAGCTTTTTCATCATGCGTACAAAGGACCTAATTTCCGAAACATAATTACGAGCTAATTTAGTTTTCGAGTCTAACCTATATATTTAGAACAGTTATATACATCTAAAACATTATTTTTTGTTTATTATAATCTTAAAATGGTCACTAATTTTGGAAAAAAGCCCAATAGAGTGATGAATAGTTGAGTGAAAAAATGCAGAATACAAGAATCGCAGAATACAACAGGGACAGACTCACACCCCACCCCATAGGCTCACCGGGACCTTATAGTAATGTAAATAGTAATTATCTAAAGCATATTATCAACATATATAAATGGCTGTCCAAAACACTGAATATTAATATTGATGTGGGAAACTTGAACTACAAAATGCAAACCTTTCTAAGAATTGAAACAAAAAAAGGCCATTTATCAAGGATTCTACACTAAATGCCCCTGGCAGTCAAATTTGGGAGAGAGAAATCATTATTGTCATCTACATAATGATAAACGTGCCACTCCACAAGGAAATGTCATTATATGTAGTCCCTCCTGAACGCTACTCATCTTGGACAGGTGGACTAATGCTTATTTCGCACCCAGTGTTAGGTGCAGGGTTAAACCCGACCACAAGTTTGTTGACCATGTTACATGTCCGAGACTTGTAAAATTTGGTCGAAGAACTTTTATCACAAATCAAGTTATTGTACATAAACCATGGAATCGAAATGTGTAGCAGACTAGTCCAATATGATCATGGCATCTAACCCTGTCATGTATACCTATGTGTTTTTGTATTCCAGCTATATGAGACCGCCTCCATGGTCTAGAGGTAGAGCGTCCGCCCGGAGAGCGGAAGGTCCAGGGTTCGATCCCCGGCCGCGTCATACCAAAAAACGTTAAAAGATGGTACTTGTTGTTACCCTGTCTGGCGCTCGGCATTAAGGGGCTAAAACAAGGACTGGTCGGCTCGAAGTCAGTATACTGTGTCTGAGTGAGGTATTCATGTTAAACTGCGGCATGGTATCTCAGTGTGCTAGCACTATAAATCGGCATCAGTCCGGACTAGTACAAGCAGCCACACACACATGCATGCATGTCGCTATATAAGTGCAATAATCTTGGATGCGATGTTAAACCCAATTTCACCTCACCACCTCACCTCACCAGCTATATGACAGCGGTTGATTCTGGACCAGACAATCCAGTGATGACATCAGGAGCATCAGTCCCTGGAATTGGGATACAAGGACAAGCAGTGAACAAAGTCACCGAGCCTGACCACCCAATCCATTTAGTCGCCTCTTATGACAAGCACAGGTTGCTGGGGACCTATACCATATTCGACGTAATAAGCGCCCAGGGCGCTCTTGAAATTAGAAATAGGGGGCTCTTATTAGAATATTATTTTGGTTGAAAGTTGAAAGATAAATTTCATGGTTTATGCTGACACCCTGAAATGTTTATGTACGACAGATATATTTTTCTAGAATTTAACTGTCCATAATTAAGGGTGCATATAACACACGGATGCGTATTGTACGCGAATAAATAGGTCTTGTGAACATTGATCAATCTGAAGGGTGCTAATTGGGATTGTTCACTAGCCAATAATTAATATTTAAGCAAATAACGCCGTGGGCACTTATTAGAGCGGGGCGCTTATTACGTCGAACACAGTATTATCCGGATATTCCAAGGGTTGTCTACCCATGGACATATGGTATGATATGATCAACTGGTTTTTGCAATAATTGAAAATGTTGTTTTGAAAACTGCCAAACTAACCGATCATGTGTTCATCTCATCAGTCACAGTTTTCATTGAAGACAACTCTGTCTTGTCGTCTTGCCACACTTTCTTCACCTGTCAAAGCCCAATACGACCTGTCTTGCGTGTGACACACGGTATGTTATATCGCCGGTCTAACACCAGCAGGACATTGAAAGACAGCAGCTGTACGGTACGAGTTGGTAGCTCTGAACGTCAACGTTGCTCTGGGGTGATCGAGACTCGACAGACGATTAGCTTAATCGTCAAGCTAGAAATGTCTTTGTAGCGCAATAACATCAGCTAGAAGGCAAACTGCCAAGCGCAGTTCAAAGTGTAGATAAGACTTGTGTTCAGAGTAGATTCTGTGAAGAGGAAACGCTTGTGCAAACTGTTTTCATGTATTTTCTGCTCACAGGCACATGATTTGGGAAACCCCTGTGTGATGTCAAATATTATGTCAGAACGAGGCTGAGGATTCCCTTAGAGCGTAAACTGGTTTCAGAGATGTAATACGCAGTCATCTAGGTATTTACTTGTTTTAGTAGACAGGGGACAAGTCAATCGCCTGCATGGTCCCCGAACCACAGGAACTCGTTATTGGTAAGTAAATAAAAATACATACCCCCTTTACTTACATATAGGGGGTATATATTTTTATTTACTGACCAATAACGAGTTCCTGTGCCCCGAACTTACACCAAATCTATGCCAAGTCAAATATCTCTGTATCGTCATCGCTTTTGTCTTAGTATTTGGTTTGTTTGTCGTGTTAGAGTTCAACAAGTCAATTTAGAAACCGGTCACCATGACAATTTTTATTAGGCGATACATTAACTTACGTTAGGGATTGGGCCAGTGAGAAAAATATATATTGAAGGAAAAAAAGTAACTGTGCTTCATATAAGCAGAGACCATATAATATATATTATATGGTCTCTGATATAAGGTTCAATAAAATGATTTTGTTCTGTTAATATAAAATGCATCTTTCAATACATATGCATGAAGACACCTCCCCGACTTTAAGGTCGTGAAACATAATTTGCACGTGCATGTTAATGCACGGCGCACAATTCTTTTGGAACACAATACTCATAAACGTATTTTTTTAATGTGAACTGCCCACAATGATTGTTTAGCTATCAGTTGCTCATAAAAACACTTTTGTTAAACCTTAAAAAGCGCTTACGCAATGCCACGGTTTGCTGAAAATAAATGTCTACGCGCCGCGGGTATGCTGCAAACAGGAGTGGTTTAAAACGAAGTTGCCAGACATTTTGAAGCACACTATTATCGTTTTGAAGGCGTTATCATGAGCAGGACAAAACTCATGACTTGCCACGGGTCGGTCGTCCAAATGTAACGTCATATTAACAAGACAACCATATTCGGTTGGTGCATCTACGGAATCGATACCAAACTGCCACATTAACAGCTCGGGCAATTCCTGGGTTGAGACCCGTACGTTACCGGTTGATTCGGCACAACAACCGGCTCCGACATCCTGCGAAGCGTATGGCAAGCCGTTTTCACATATATTACGGAATTACAGATATCTTCAATTGTTATAAAGATATCTTGAAATGAATTGAAGATATCTTGAATTGAATTGAAGATATCTTGAATCGAATTGAAGATATATTGAATGGAATTAAAGAGATATCTTAAATGCAGATAATTGTAGATATCTGCAATAAAATTTAAGATATCACGAAATGAATTAAGGATATGGTGAAGCGTATTACTGATATCTTGAAAAGAATTGCTGATATCTTTAATTCGATTATTGATATCAAAATATGATTTAAAGATATCAAAATGTGATGTTTTGTTATGTCATTAATTCAATTCCTGATATCTTGAAACTAAATACAGATATCAATAATTAATTATTGATATCTTCAATTGTTGCCATTATTAAAGATGTAACATTAATAATGTTACTTAAATTAGATAACTGATATCAATAATTGATATGAAGATATCATCAAAATTATTAATGATATCTTTAATTGGATTTTTGATATCAGTAACGGTCAGAATTAATGATATCTTGAATTGAGTTAAAGATATCTCTAATTGAATGAAAGATATCTGTAATGCATTTGTGGATATGTATAACTTATTTCAAGATATCTTGAATTTATTTCTAATATATTTATGTACTGTAGGATGGTAATTGTTTAATGATATCTTAAATACATTTAGAGATATTCCAAACTAATTTGTTGATATCACCGTAACATTTTAAGATATCAGTAATTGTATTATGGATATCAGAAATGAATTTAAGATATCTTTAATTATTTTTTTATATCTTAAAAACATTATTGATATCTTTAAATAAAATAACGATATCTTTAAAACAATTGAAGATATCTGCCATTCCGTAATAAATGTGAAAACGGCTTGCCATAGAAGCGCCCAAATTTCGCCTGAATGTCACCGCCAGTCTCGCCAAGCTTGGGCAGATGGGACAGTACACTGTACACAATTGAGTCCAGGGCCCACTTGCACAAAACGATCTTAGCGCTAAGTCTATTGTAAGCCTATGTTAAAGTATGGGAGTTAAGATCATCTTATCACTAAGATCACTTTGTGCAAGTGGGCCCAGGTTTCATCTGGACAACTCTGATAGACGGGCAATGGTCTACAGGGGAACGTTTTAGCGACGCTTGCGTTGCTCAACGTTGTCAGTTTGAGGGTGGAAGTGTAATAATATGGGATGGCATTACAACACATGGGAGAACACGACTCATCATTGTTAATTGCAATGGCGTACGCTACCGGTACGACATATTTCGAGATCATGTTCCTTTTGTGCAAATGCAGGGGCGTTGCAGCAGGATATTGCCCGATCACAAGTTGCACGTGTTGTAACAGACTTTTGGAGGTAGTACAACATTGCCGAACTGCCATGGCCGGCTGTTTCTCCTGACCCTCAACCCCAGCCCAACCCCGAACAATTCTGGGATGCTACGAAACGACGCCAACGACAGGACCAGAACCGGGCGATGTAACGCGAGCTCAGCTGGACCAATCTTTGATTGACATTCGGAACAACCTCCCCCAGGGTGTTTTCAATCATCCGGTGTCTTAAGTGCACTGCCTCTCCTGTATCAACGCAAATGGTGGCCACACCCTATATTGACATTGTTAATTGAGTTGTTACACCACCTCCCTTTTAAGACGTCGCCCTGTCTCCCGTTACCAGGTATTTGTCAATGAATTTGTTATGATAAAACATTGATCAGGCGAATGACCAAAACCTGTTATGTTCAGTAACATAACATTTACACCACTAAGATGAAGCACAATTATTTTTTTCGGCTAGTATATATAAACATATAATGCCTATTTTGATATTTTTGTGTTGTGAAAGTATAAGGCAAATGTTGTCATGAACGAATATTATCCTCATAATTCGATAACTTCATTCAGTTATCATGGTTATAATCGATCCTTATGAGACCTTTTAAAAAAAAGTGAATTAAAGCCACTATTGAAGTTGAATTCTGTAAGTTAAATCATGGATACTCAAAATACTTCATTATATAGCGTCCATGGTTACATGCATCTGGTACATGTTGATGATAAGCTGTTAGAAATGTTTCTCGGGTATTGGCGCGTCACTTTCAAACCTGCACGATGGGCTTTATATTTTTTATTAAAAATAACGCCTCCTTGTCGCGATCGTATATCCAGTGTCATGTTATGTCGTCTGTTTATAAATAGTATCTTGATGTGTTGTTCTCAATTAATGTTTTGGTGATGGACCCTTACGAAGGTAACGGGTAGGCATGGTGTCTCGTGACTTACGAATGATCCCGATCCCATTTGGCACACTCGTCCCATTCCGTAATCTACAAGATACTGAGTGGCGAGGAATGATCCGATATGGCGCGAACTGAAAACGGTTCCAGGCGTCAGACGTCGAACACGAGAGTACGCATGAATGACGTGTTATTTAATAATTCGTCGGGTGGATTTTGTGACAGAAAAGTGTGGTAGGGATACCCAGATTTTGTCTGACGCCTAGGCCGTTTTCAGTTCGCGGCATATCGGCTCATTCCCCACCACTCGGTATCTTGTAGATTACGGAATGGGACGTGTGTGCCAAATGGCATCGGGATCATTCGTAAGTGTCCGTAGACTAAAGTCGCGAGACACCATGCCTACCCGTAACCTTCGTAAGTGTCCGTTACCTATTCGACCCTTTTCGTTCAGTTCCGTAACGTCATAGGCATGACTAGGTAAATTTGCACTATGTTTAACAGTGTGGACGTAGCTCAGTCGGTTAGCTGTCAGGCTAACAATCCGAAGGTCGTCGCGGGTTCGCGTCCGACGGATTCTCACAAAAACTGGTTGCTTGTCTTTGAGATATGGCAGAGAACGTCCTCACGAGAAGTTGTGATACTGTATTCTAAAGGTGCTCTTTTAGTGACATTGGTAGACTGGAACATTTGTTCCTCTGCGTCTCAATATCATGTTGACGTAAAACTGTGGAGGTTGGTGCTAGGAGATTAGAACACGACTAGGCCACGATGCGCATGTGTAACGAGCGCCAAGACGTCCAAGAACCACCAATATTACGTGATTTCCTTTCCTCTCGCGAGATCATGTCTCCTTGGTGACGTTTCAGTCAAACGACGCCATTTTGTTGTTGAATTCACTGTCTCACATCACTTGAGTTTGTTCCATCTGTTACTTTCTATCTTGATTTGTGAGTCATTTTTGCGAACGTAGCAAGCATTCGCCACCAAATTATTGAATTAATGTCTTTTAGGTTCTTTGATTTCGGTATTTATTAGTTTTCCGCTTGGATAACTTGAAAACGGAAGGTTTTGTTTCTAGTTGTCGAGAGTTTCACCACAGGAACTCGTTATTGGTCAGTAAATATAAATATATACCCCCTATATGTAAGTAGAGGACCAGAAACCTATGATTGTGGGTTCGAATCCCGGTTCGCCCCGATTATGTTTCTAGGTTTGTCAGCACCATACCCGTTCTCGTGGCCTGGGTTTCACCGAAGTGGTAACATCGGAGACCTGCATCACATCGGGCTTTCCTCCCACATTAAGCTGACACGCCGTGATATAACTGGAATACTGTTAAAAGCGGCGTAAAACCCAACTCACTCACTCACTCCTACAACACGCTGCACATCTTAAAGCCAACTCGTTGTGCTTGTCATCTTCCTCATCCACCATACCATTGTGGAGAGCAGGTTAACGGATCCTCATCAGGTTGTGCAGGCAGACACAGCATTCAACGATGTCCAGCGCAATGGAAGGCATTGGCTGCATGGTGGTGAGGAGGACTTGCCATCTCTGGGGCAGGATTCCAAATGCATTCTCCACCACACGTCTGCCCCTGGAGATCCTGTAGTTAGATCTCTCGTCCCTCTGGAGATTCATGTGACCATATGGCTTCATCAAGAAGGTCCTTATTCCAGAGGCATCATCTCCCATGATAAAGTATGGCACAGGCTCGTCATGTTGGGGTATGGGGGATGTCTCAGGAAATCCTATGCTCCCGTCCTCAAAGCAGTCCTTGAGCTCGTAGAAGATCTGAGCATCAGACACACTTCCATATGCACTGATGTCCACCCACAGGAACTTGTAGTCTCCATCCACAAGAGCAAAGGGGACCACAGAGAAGAACCCCTTGTAGTTGTGGTACAAGGGGGCACGGGTGGCCCAGTCGTCTAAGGCGCCACGATTCGCTATGCAGAGTTGCCTCCCTTGGGTACGCCAGAAACCTATGAAGGTTCGAATCCCGGTCCGCCAGATCATGTTTCTAGGTTTGTCAGCACCATACCCATGCTCGTGGGTTTCACCGAAGTGGTAAACGTCTGAGACCTGCATCACTTCGGGCTTTCCTCCCACATTAAGCTGACACGCCGCGATATAACTGGAATACTGTTAAAAGCGGCGTTAAACCCAACTCACTCACTGTGGTACAAGGAGTCGCTCTTGCCAGGTTCCTGATGGCCACATGACTGCCATCTAGAGCTTCACAGCATGAGGAACATTCCACCTGTTTTTGAAGACCTCCCCAATAGGTGTCCTGTCGTCTGGAGTGGTGGGGCAGGTGATGACATCATCCTTGTATTAATCCACAATGACTTGGCAGACTTCAGGGATGATGAGGCTGATGGTGTTCCTTGCCACACGGAAGCTGTACATAGGCTGGGGTACTTGTCACCTGAAGCCAGGAACCTCACAATGATGGCCAGCTTCAAGCCTGGAGGTAACGCCTTCTTCATCTTGGCATTCTGCTTCTCTATCCATGGTCCACTCTCTGCACCATCTCATCAAACATGGCAGGCTCCATCCATAGACCCGTGAAGATTCCGGGGTAGAATAGGTCTTCAGCAACCCATGCTTGCCGTAAAAGGTGACTATGCTTGTCGTAAAAGGCGACCAACCGGATCAGGTGGTCGGGCTCGCTGACTTGCTTGATGCATGTCATCGATCCCAATTGCGTGGATCGATGCTCATGATATTAATCACTGGGTTGTCTGGTCCAGACTCGATTATTTACAGACCGCCGTCATATAGCTGGAATATTGCTGAGTGCGGCGTTAAACAACTAACCAACCAAACCAACCAACCTGAGGGAGTTGAATAATGACTGTGGAGTCTTCTACTCTGAGCTCCTCCATCCGTCTGGCGTTATGTCCATACAACCTCCTCCTCTCCTCTGCCAGCCATGGTCGGGTCTGATATCTTCTGGGTCATCTCCTCCTGTTTCTTCTCTTGGCCTCCTTCACATCTCTTTCAAGCAGGTCTTGCTGGAGGACAGCAATCTCGAGCACAGCAACATGGTGCACGGGGTCCATACTCTACGATGGTTGGGCTGAGGCTGAGACTGATGAAAATGCTAGATTCGGCCGCATTTTATATCCTATCGGGGACCATTCTGACGGCATTCTTGATACGCCTGGGACATTCGCGTTATATTCTAAGTACTTTCGAAGTACATTCTAAGTATTCGAGCTGCATTCTGTTTGAATTCTTGGACGTTCGAACCATATCCGGCGCCCATTTCGGGAGCGTTCTGACTGCATTCGAGGTGAATTCGTACAGCATTTAAGGCACCTTCCAACCAGACTACGGTCGGTATTCGGTCAGCAATCGAACCGCACTCGTATGGCATTCGAAGTGCATTCTAAATATTCTGAATGCATTCTAACAGCATTCTAAATATTCCTATTGTGTTCCGACTACATTCGAGCTGCATTCGAGAGCTTAATACACCCGGAATGTGCAAGAATCATTTGAGGCGGGTTCGAAGCGCATTCTAAGTATTCGAACGGCATTCCTACAAAGCTTTGTCAATTTGAAATTCCCCCCTGTCTGTCGCTCTGTTGAGTCTATGGCAATAGTTAGATGGGTTTTTTTAGGCTTTATTCAAATTGTGTATTAAATGACACACATACCCAATACCCTTTTACGGCTCAAATCCTAAAACCACCTGCCTGGCTCAACTCACGAACACCGCTTGACAACCTTTCTGCTGCGGTGTGACATCGAAACAGCAGTCCACATTAAAAGGATGACAGTGCATCCCCGAACATGAAAGACGTTCCCACTCAAATAACAATATGTAAAATATTGTTCAATTATTTTTTAATTTATCAATCTGAGTGCGCGAAATGTTTTTGTTTTTTTTTATTTAAAAAAAAGAAGTTTTTTTGTAATGTTCTCCGTTAGAATACGAGGAAGTCCTCTCTTTACGTGGATTACAATGTTCTTATCAGGGATGCGATGACCGTAAATTTTTTGAGCATTATTTCAGCCATACAACGACGAGAACAAGTTGTTTTATATCTACAAGCATGTCATGAATATAAAGTTATATTTTAAATAAAAAAGAAGTTTAGCATAACACTAGTATTTACAACTGCTTAAAACACGGGCTAGTTGAACCTGTACCGTTTCATGAATGTATTCCAGTCACCTTCATGGGGCTATGTCAGACGCACTGTGTCCGGAGCGGGCCTGGCAGTGAGAGCGGCCCGCCGTAAAAGGCGACTGTGCTTGTAAAAGGCGACCAACGGGATCGGGTGGTCAGGCTCGCTGACTTGGTTGATGCATGTCATCGATCCCAATTGCGTGGATCGATGCTCATGATATCAATCACTGGATTGTCAGACAAACCAAACCAAACCAAACAAGTCAGGCAAACTGGTGACTCATAAATAAAACCAGCCCGTGTTGACAATTGCAGGCCCGCTATAGTAATAGCTAAAAATAGATAATCATATACATATTTCTCATACTTATCACTGTGGCTGTAACATTTATACATATATAATCACAAAGGTAGCTCTTACTCTCTGGAAAGTGAATCACAAATAAAAATTAAAATTGTCAGTGTCGGGTGTAGCCATGGAATTTCCAACTAAACAATCGGGCAGGTAGGAATACATTTCACCTGTCCCTTTTCAGATAGTTACCGGGATCGCAGGCAGGTATTTCGTACACTAGTTACACGTACCAAAAGATATCAATTATTTACGCTTATTGTTTACGAGAGTGAACGTTAACATGTCGGGCGCAGGTAGAGGGTTGTAAAAAATATACACGATATTGGGCAAGGTCATACAAATACTGGTCACTGAATAAATATAACTAGTATTGATTTAGATTCAGGACACACCGTTTTTTATACTCACACCAATTTATAGTATGGGTTAAATCAACAATGCACATACTGCCCTTGTACATGGTATAATATACAGATGCGTTGGACAGCTTTAGTGAGTGAGTGAGTGAGCATGGTTTTACGCCGCTTTTAGCAATATTCCCGCAATATCACGGCGGGGGACACCAGAAAGGGGCTTCACACATTGTACCCATGTGGGAAAACGAACCCGGGTCTTCGGCGTGACGAGCCAACGCTTTAACCCCTAGGCTACCCGACCGCCCCGTTGGACAGCTTGAGGATTGGGGAGGTTCAGAAAAAAGAAAGAAATAATTAAATTCTCAAAGATTGTCTCAATATCAATATGTAATATTTCTATAAAAACCGTAACATATCAGCTTTGCACACATATTTCTCTATATATGAAAATATTGGAAAATAATATGCCCATAACATATATTTCTGGTGAAAATAGGATTCCACTTACATCTGTGTTTTTTGACATGTCACTCAACGTCCTTAAAACGTTTATGACACATGGCATTGTGCTTTAGGCATGAAATACCTCTGGAGAATCCAATTTTGAACAAAATAACGATTTTCCCAAATTTGCCTACCAAGGGTAGATAATCCACGAACTGATTTGACAACCTCTTGCCATGATCTTGTGTGTCTCATCTCCCCCGCTTTTGCCAAACTGACCTCGTGGCAGTCTACACTGACGCATACAATTATTTTCTAAACAATCTCTCGTATGTTTCTGGGGCGTTGGTTAAAGTCCTCTCTCATCTGGAAGAAGGTGAAATGGGGTTTAACGTCGCGTCCAAGATTATTGCACTTATATAGCGACGTGCATGTACGTGTGTGTGTTTTTGTGGCTGCTTGTACTAGTCCGGACTGATGCCGATTGATAGTGCTAGCCCACTGAGATACCATGTCGCAGTTTAACATGAATACATACTCAGACACAGTATACTGACTCCGAGCTGACCAGTCCTTGTTTTAGCCCCTTAATGCCGAGCGCCAGACAGGGTAACAACAAGTAACATATTTTAACGTCTCTAGGTATGACGCGGCCGGGGATCGAACCCCGGACCTTCCGCTCTCCGGGCGGACGCTCTACCACTAGACCACGGAGGCGGTCCTTTTCGGGTTCGATTCCTAACATACATACAGTGTGTGAAACCCATTCGAGGTGTCCGATCCATAATGTTTCCCGGATCTGTCAACACGAATGGGGGTACTGGGGTCTTTTCCAACAGCAGACATTACATGCCCGACTCCCCACCCCATTTCTAAGACAGACACAGAACTACATTGGAATCCTCATCGGGATCTGCAGAATGAGCGTTTGACAATAACCATCTATATAGTATTTAGTTTTGCGTCTGCTCTTATTTACTGAACCAGTGAGTTTGTCCTTTGAAGTAGAAGATTCTAGTTGTGCATACCCAAACCCTCCCTTGTAGCGTCCTTGGTGTTTTGTTTACAAAAAACCCAACTCGATATACATATAAACATCAGTGTATTTCAATATTGACATAAAATACACAAGGGAAGCACAAACAATAACATGTGCCATCGAGTATTTGGTAAGTTTTGCACAGCCAACATAAAGAGTTAGTAATATAATCAACAATAACAAAAATGTCCACATGGAAGACACAGACACACACAGACACACACAGACACACACACACACACACACACACACACACACAGTCTGCGCTTTAGCACCGTTGCCTTACACTTTACGCCTATGTTCACGACGCGTGTATACAAATATTTGTTCTTTTGGTATGTCATTTGTCGCCCCTTTCCGTAACCATCACGAGTGACAACAAATGACCTGGTATTCCATTGCTGGTAGAAAATACTGATGGCTGGTAGGTATGACTTCTGATACCCCAAAACAAACTTAGATCGGTTGATTCCTTGAAAGTGTGGGACAACTCTGCATCCGAGACGTTTAGGGAGGCAGAAAGGGTCACATTCTCTCAAACCACTCTTCTTGAAACTATATCCACCACATATTTTAAGCACCGTTAATACAATGGTGGTATTTTATTTTGATATAACACTGTCAGCACCAATACGTTATTAGGATTGTTCCTCTGAACACAATACTTGATAACCAAGTCGACGCGTGCAACGTCATCAATCAAATCTCGTCTGGAAATAGGCATGTGTGCCTGCACCAATACGTCTGCTGCAACACACTTGAGTCTTAAGTAAACGTTCAAGTATCCCAGTATTTCATGACGTCACTTCCTCCTCGATGACCTTCAGAGGCTGGTGTAACTTCTGAGCACGGAGCTCCATGAGATGTTCCATCACCTTGCTACCGAGACGGGTCAGTTTGGCGGGTACCTCTATAACCTTCTGATCCACACCATCCTGGAACACCTAGAGTTGCACAAAATACAACATCATCTCAAGGTTCAGCAACATGTGTATTTATAAATCATACTAATATAACGTAACTACTACCTCGTGCTAAGCTTAAACTGCCTTACTTTAACACGGGGAACTCCGAACGATAGTTACGGGTTTAACGACTGAATCCATACAATCTAGACCATCTGTTAGCGATTCCAGAATGTTCTTTTGTTCAGGTTTCAAATTTGTAATCGAGAATTTGTCAAAATATGTTTCGAAGCGTTGTCGCCAATTTGAAAATAATGCCGTAAAGCACGAGAAAGCTGCCTTCTGATTGGTCATTCCATTGGTCGGTCAAAGTTCGTGCAAGGTCGGTCTGATGTGACCCGTAATGAGATGTCCTCAGATCTTTGTTTAGCGGTAGCGAGAACTAAAATCTGATTTTAATGAGATTGACGGTAAATGTCACATTTCGTAATCCAATGACCAATATTTTTTTAAAGAAAACCACCTTTTCATCTGTCTCGGGATTCAGAAAAATAAACCAAAAACTCATTTCAGTCATTTTCCCATCCACGACTATCCTTTAGTGACAATTCAAAATCGTGGGATCCCTTGATGTTGGTCTCCCACCAAACCCAATACTGCTAAACGCCCGTGTTAAACAATAAACAACCAAGATAACTAACGCTGGAGTCATCAATTCATCATCACTCAACACTCACACACAAACAATGTCATGTTAACACCACGCACCCATATTTACAACTTGAAGATCCGGGGTAGAATAGGTCTTCAGCAACCCACGCTTGCCGTAAAAGGCGACTATGCTTGTCGTAAGAGGCGACTAACGGGATCAGTCTCGCTGACTTGGTTGATGCATGTCATCGTATCCCAATTGCGTGGATCGATGCCCATGATGTCAATCAGTGGATTGTCTGGTCCAGACTCAATTATTTATAGACCGCCGTCATATAGCTGAAATATTGCAGAGTGCGGCGTTAAAAAACAAACAAACAAACAAACACTTACCTGTTCCATTCTTGACACCAAGAACCCCAGCGACTTCACCATCTGATACAGCCTCGGACTGCAAGACGTCTGGTCCACCAGCACAGCAGTATATTCGATCACATGGTGGACCTAAAACGCAGGAATAAGTTTAATTTGTTAAAACTGAGGTAATAGTTTTCCCACCTGAACCAACCCTTTTTGCGATAGATTTTTTTCCACATTTGTTATTATTGATTGATTGTTTAGAATAATGCTTCTTTTGCACTTCTAATTTTGCCAATGTTACAAGCACAAGTTTTCAGCTCTCAGGCAATTCAGTTTCGGAAAAGATGATTCTTAAACATATTGTCCATTGTACTTCAGTAAAATGATCCTGTCTACCTCGAAAATAAGGTTGAGTGCCCAGTCAAGCAAATGACGTCCTCCTCTCATGTCCGTGTCCTCCAACATCCGGGACAATTCCTCCAAGTCATGTGACTTCCGCTCTGACAGAGGCTGATATTTCGAGCGTGAGGACTGAGCTCTCCGATGTCTGACGGCCAGTACCTGAAAAAACACATATGATTAGTCTACCTTGTTTTAGAAACCTCATTCCTTTGAAAGATCAGTGCCTAACCAAATATACTGAGAAGATCAAAGGTGGTATACCATCAGAGCACTCAGTGTGACAAGTAGTCTCACTACTAGCAGCATTTGTGTATGACGTCATTTGTATAACGTCATGTGTATGACGTCACAACTTTGGGTGTTCCGCCATCTTGCCGACTGAGTAAAGTATGTCCACCAAACTCTCACTGTTTGTGGTATCTTAGAACCCCAAGATTCATGTCTTTGTCTAAGACAGACATGAAGCCTTAAACATGGTGTCAGAAGTGTAAGCGGACGTCATTCATCACGTATTACAGTGAGGAGAGTCGTACGTTCGTTTTCAAACAGCATTGGATCGTCATGGGAGACGAGGAGGCGCAAGAGATCATAGAAAATGGCGGCCACCACGTGAGTGTTGTGAGAGGACCCATACATCTCAAACCTCCAAATCAGTTGGATTTTCACTCCCCTAATCTTCAACACAGATGGAAGAAGTGGAGAGAAGAGGCGGAGCTGTACCTTGATCTTTCTATGGAAGGCAAGTCTGCAGAATCGAAAATAAAGTACTTTCGATATCTGATCGGGCCCCAAGGTAGGGAAGTGTATGAAACCTTCACCTTGGTAGCGGGTAAAAGAACATTACAACATGTTTTTGATGCGTTTGAACTGTATTGTAATCCAAAGAAATCAGAAACTGTGGAGAGGTATAAATTCTTTACCAGGAATCAGGACACTAGTGAGAGCTATGATGTATACATTACTGACCTGAAAATCCTAGCTACCACATGTAACCTTGGTACATTGAGTGAATCACTGATTAGAGACCGCATTGTCTGTGGAGTTACAGACTTCGTGAACGACTCTTGAGAGAGGATGGTTTGGATCTGGAGAAGTGTGTACGCTTATGTAGAGCATCAGAAATTTCTAAGGAAAAGTTAGAAACCTTGGACAATGCGCAAACAGTTCACACAGTTAGAGAAAAGAACTGGTCAAATAAACCAATGAATTGGAACACTGGACATGCCGGCGGGCATCACTCACAGAAAAAGAATTATAGATTGCACAGTCAACGGGCCACTCAAGTGAAACCAATTGTAAGTAGCAACACAATACAGTGCAGATTCTGTGGGCGAGAACATGAGAGGAAACGAAGTGTCTGCCCTGCATTTGGAAAAACTTGCTCCAGATGTAAGCAGAAGAACCACAGTCCAGCCATGTGTCGCACAATGCAATCACCTCGCCACTCTAGACCACGTGTAAATATCATCCATGAAGATGAAGACTCGGATGAATATTTCACCATCAACTCACTCACTCTCACAGAGCCAGTGATAGATGTGCATCAGGTGCAAGAGGAGTCCCAGACAAATATTCGCATCCATGAACATTGCAGGTAAACCAGTTTCATTTCAAGTAGTCACGGGAGCCACCTGATACCAAGTTCTCTACTACCTCCTACTACAGAATTACAGCAGACATCCCAGTTGTTGAGAATGTACGACAAGACTGTCGTCAAGCCTTTAGGCAAATGCCCTGTAAAAGTAGTCAACCCCAAGGATGGAAGAAAGTACAAGGTAGACTTTATTGTCCTCAGTGACCCTTGTGCTACGCCAATATTAGGCAGTCACGCGTCTATGAGTATGAAGTTGATAAGAGTGGATCATGAACCCATTACTATGGTTGATAAAGTAATGACAGCATCCATGCACTCAATTAATATTCCTCAGAATCTAACATTGAAGGGAGTAAAAGAGGAATTCAAAGATGTCTTCACGGGAACAGGAGAGTTTGAAGGAGCATACAAGATCCGACTTGACACATCGGTGGCATCAGTCGTTCACCCTCCAAGGAAAGTGCCACTAGCACTGAAGCCGAAGCTGAAGGCTGAACTAGAGCGTCTGGTGAACCTTAAAATACTCGCTCCTGTCACTGAACCAACACCTTGGGTATCTAGTCTCGTCATCGTGGAGAAACCCAATAAACTTAGGATTTGCATTGATCCAAAAGACCTAAACCGGGCAATTCTCCGCAGTCACTACCCACTACCAACTATTGAGGATATCTTACCGGACCTTGGCAAAGCTAAAGTGTTTAGCGTTGTGGACGCAAAGAATGGGTTTTGGCATGTGGCTATGGAAGACAGTAGTTCATACCTCACTACCTTCAACACCCCGTTTGGACGTTTTCGTTGGTTACGTATGCCGTTTGGTATATCCTCCGCTCCAGAGGAATTCCAGCGACGGCAAGATCAGGTCATAGAAGGGCTCAAGGGTGTACGAGGAGTTGCGGATGATATTCTCATCTATGGCGAAGGAGACTCCATTGAAGAAGCATCTGTAGATCATGATGCAAACTTCAGAGCGCTCATGGAACGCTGCAGAGCTCGCAACCTGCTGATCAACCCCAACAAGATAACATTCAAAGTACAGGAAGTTACCTTCATCGGACATCGTCTTACATCCAATGGCCTAGAGCCTGACCCAGCAAAGACCAAAGCTGTTCTCGATATGCCGAAACCAACAGATGTACAAGGTGTACTTCGCTTCGTTGGATTCGTGAACTATCTAAGCAAGTTCCTCCCACATCTAAGCAGTGCCTGTGAACCGCTAAGGCAGCTGACAGGATGTTGAGTGGCATTGGGAACAGATTCATGATGACGCCGTCGATGATATCAAGAGGCTTGTAAGCAAGTACCCTGTGCTCAAGTTCTTCGACACACAGAGTCAGGTCACGATTCAGTGTGATGCATCTATGTCAGGTTTGGGCGCAGCTCTTCTCCAAGATGGTCAACCTGTGGCCTATGCTAGTAGGGCATTGACAGACGCCGAAACCAGGTATGCCCAAATCGAGAAGGAATTGTTGGCAGTTGTATATGGGCTGGAAAAGTCCCACCAATACACGTACGGAAGGCCAGTTGACGTTCAATCTGACCACAAGCCACTTGAGACTATAGTTAGGAAGCCACTACACAGTGCACCCAAGCGTCTCCAGAGAATGTTGCTAAGACTGCAGCGCTACGACATACAGCTCGCATACAGGCCTGGGAAACAGATGCAGTTAGCCGACACATTAAGCAGAGCACCACTGCCTGAACTTGAAGATACAGGAATGGACCAGGAATTCATCAACATGATAGACTACGTCCCAATTGCTAAACCAAGAATGGAACAGATACGGGAGAAAGTCAAGTCGGACGCAGATCTACAACAAGTGTATGACATCATTTGGAAGGGCTGGCCGGATCAGTTGAAAGATGTTCCTGACGCTGCAAGACCATACTTCCACTGTCGAGATGAGTTGACTGTACAAGATGGAATTATCTACTGAGGTCAAAGAGTAGTGATTCCCCGAATCCTGAGAAGAGACTTGTTAGTGCAAATTCATTCTTCACACATTGGAGCAGAAGGATGTCTCCGACGTGCAAGGGAATGTATTTACTGGCCTGGGATGAATGGGGCAGTCAAAGATTATGTCGCAAAATGTGACATCTGCCGTGGAAGCGACAGGGAACAAGCTAAGGAACCCTTGTTGTCACACGCAGTAGCAGACCGACCATGGTCCAAAGTTGGAGCAGACCTGTTCGTTCTAGATGGCAACAACTATCTCATCACTGTAGATTACTTCTCAAACTATTGGGAAATTGATTACCTTACAGATACCAGGTCAGCCACAGTAGTGAACAAGCTAAAAGGGACAGTACGCACGACATGGCATACAAGACACTTGCATATCTGACAACGGTCCACAGTTCTCAGCAGAGGAATTCAAGAAATTAATCATGTAACATCCTCTCCAGCCTACCCTCAGAGCAACGGAAAGGCAGAACAGGCAGTGAAAACTGCAAAACAATTACTGAAGAAAGCCAAACAGGCCAAGAGTGACCCTTACTTGGCCATACTGAACTTTCGTAACACACCAACACAGGGTCTTGACTCGAGTCCTGCTCAAAGGCTCATGAGCAGGCGAAGACGAACATTGTTACCTATCCCTGAAAATCTGCTGATTCCGGAGACTGTTTCAGGAACTACTGAAAAGATGAGAAACCTCAAGTACAAGGCAGCTCAATACTACAACCAGGGTACGAAACAGCTTCCTTTTCTTCAGAGAGGTGATAGCGTGAGAATCTCACCCAAAACAATTGGTGACAAACTGTGGCGGAAAGCAGAAGTCTTGGGATCAATCAAAGACAGACCCCGTTCCTACGAGGTCATTACAGAGGACAATCAGATCCTGAGACAAAATCGCAGACATCTGAGAAAAACATCTGAATCACCAAGTCGTGAAACACTCGAGGTAACAAGGAAATCTCCAAAGCTGACAGACATCAGCTCACCTGAGACGACAAGTGTAAATGTACCTTCCAGAGGTGTGCATCACAGTCCTGCACACACACCTGCGAAGTCACAGACAGAACATGGGTACCAAACCCATGAACCCCAGCAGCGTGTTACAACACGGTCAGGTAGAGAGATACGCAAACCAGAATATCGCAAGGACTACACAGAATAGGACATATCAAGTTAAAGTGTTAAAAAAATAAAATAAAAATGTTAGCAGTTAAACTTAATTTAAGTGGGTCAACTAACCGACTTTCAGTCTTACGTTTGTTGTCCATTCTGTTAAAGTTAATGTTTCTCATTGTTATGTTGGACAGTCACCAGAGACATGAAGGTGTTCATAATCTTCCCTACTGTGCCATGATGACTCTTGAGCAAGTGAAAGTTAACAACAGTGACATACAAGAAATGCGATATACAAGGAACAGTTGCGCCAAATATTTTGACTTTAACTAATGACTCTAGTCATCCATCAATACACCCTACATTCCATGCGAACTTTAATTTGTTTATTGAAAGGGAGATGTGACAAGTAGTCTCACTACTAGCAGCATTTGTGTATGACGTCATTTGTATAACGTCATGTGTATGACGTCACAACTTTGGGTGTTCCGCCATCTTGCCGACTGAGTAAAGTATGTCCACCAAACTCTCACTGTTTGTGGTATGTTAGAACCCTAAGATTCATGTCTTTGTCTAAGACAGACATGAAGCCTTAAACACTCAGCAATGTTCGAGTTATATGACGGTGGTCTGTAAATCGGTCTGGACCAGATAATCCAGTGACATCATGAGCATCGATCCACGCAATTGGGATACAATGACTTGCATCAACCAAATCAGCGAGCCTGACCAGCCGATCCCGTTAGTCGCCTCTTACGATAAGCATAGTTGCCTTTGAGGCAAGTATGGTTTGCTGAAGAACTATTCTACCCTGTATCTTCACAGGTCTCTTTCCTTCATGTTTTTGGCAACTAGGTAGGGTGATGGAATATTGCTTATCACATTGTTTTGTTGAGGCAGGATGGGGTACAACTACATTTGGATACAGATGGTAACATGCACATCACATGTTGGTATTAACCATTGAGTGAGTAGGGCAACACCGCTTTTAGCAGTATTTCATTAATATCACGGCGAGGGACACCAGAAATTGGCTTCACACATTGTACCCATGTCGGGAATCTAACCTGGGTCTTCTGCGTGATGAGCGAACGCTTTAACCACTAGGCTACCCGACCGCCCCTAATGTGAGAGCAAAGCAAACCACTTTGGTTAAATCTATGACCGAATAAATAATCATCGGAGCGAATCGATGCTCATGATATCAATCTCTGCATTGTCTGGTCCAGACTTGATTATTTACAGATAAACAACATCTTACCTTCAGTTTCCGCTTCATCTTAGTCACGTGACGTGCCATGCCATATCCCTGCGCCGCCTGTTGGTTCCGCCTGCTTCTCAGGGCCAACATGTAGGCTGGGCTCCTGGACTCGGGACGCTCAGAAATGGTATCAAAATACACGTCCTGCATGAGCTGCAAATGAAAACAAAAGCTCATTTTCTAGCGTTGTCACAGATCAGACTTAAAAAACTGTAAGATAGTATAAGCTGTTAAAATAATCTGAAAGGGGAGACAACTATATGAGCGAGTGTTTAGTGCATATGGAGTTAACTCCCTTGATATCACCCTTCATGTGCATGGTCACGGTATTCTACCTCAATTACAGTGATTCGTAACAAAATGGGTCCTAAAAGATACAATTGTAAACAGCTCTAATCCCTGTGCTTGACCGACCACACATCTTGAATGGGGAAGAGGATGATTTCCGGCCCCAAGTGTGCATAAATGTCAATAAAAAAATCCAAAATTGGAATAAAACTATATTCCCAATTCATCTAAATATATGAATGCAATAGTATTATACCTCTTGAAAATATGAAATATTTTTTCTCAACTTGCCCGCCAGCGAAATATGAAGTGGTGTAGTTAATCCCTCTACCATGATTAAGGGCCCTACCTTGGAGTCCTCATCGTCTTTCTTGGAGTAACAATCTCTGGTGATGTGCTTGTCCCACGGTTCTAAGCACTGCCAGCAGAAACTGTAGTCACATCTACAGACCATGTTGGGACAGCCTCCGTTCTTCTGGATGAAATGTTTGCACTTTGGACACCGTTTACCTTTCACTTGAGGACCCGCACTTGGTAACCATGACACCAATTTGTAATCATCTGTAAAAATATGTGAAGTACAGGTAAATAAAACAATAAAAAACAGTGGTGTACCCATGAATTGGAAGTCTGAACTTATGAATAATCATAACAGCTGCCTTACGTGAGTATGAGTTAGTGAGTGAGTGAGTTGGGTTTAACGCCGCTTTTAACAGTATTCTAGTTATATCACGGCGTGTGAGCTTAATGTGGGAGGAAAGCCCGAAGTGATGCAGGTCTCCGACGTTTACCACTTCGGTGAAACCCACGAGCACGGGTATGGTGCTGACAAACCTAGAAACATAATTGGGGCGAACCGGGATTCGAACCCACAATCATAGGTTTCTGGCTTGCCCAAGGGACGCAACTCTGCACAGCGAATCGCGGCGCCTTAGACGACTGGGCCACCCGTGCCCCCTACGTGAGTATGAGCAGGTGGCGATCGAGTTATAAGCAACATACGGGGCGGTCTGTAACCTAGTGGTTAAAGCGTTCGCTCGTCACGCCGAAGACCCAGGTTCGATTCCTGACATGGGTACAATGCGTGAAGCCCATTTCCGGTGCCCACACCGTGATATTGCTGGAATATTGCTAAAGGCGGCGTAAAACCATACTCACTCACTCACTATAAGCAGCATTCACAAATATTTCAGCTTTATTACGATGAACAGTAAGATTACTGGATCTGGATCGGGCAAACCTATGGTTGGTAACATGAGCATTGACCTACCTTATCCTCAGCGTACGACGACACACAGACGGCGATTTTTGACCACAGTGGTAGAAACCAACAGTTCTAGTCAACTGGTCCTTATAATGATAACATATAGCAAAACCTTTAAAATTGGCAAGTCCTTATGATACCTTAACTATAAGGCAGTTTGGCAAGGACTACAGGACTAGTGTCAATTTCTAACGCTGGAGCACCCGATCCTCATAGGGACTTCATTTCATTCATGATAATCTGTCTATTTAGAAGTCTGAGTAGAAGTTTGGCGAGTGACCAATACGTACTAAAATGTTTCAGGTCTGTAGTGTATCTTGCCAGGTTGGAGCAGGCGGCCGGCCAGTGTGGATGACTGTGGCACTGGACACAGAAGGTGGCGCCACAGCTGCACTGGACACATCCGGTTTCAGCGCCACCTGTAAGAGACAAATACGTCATATAGATCTAAATCAGGGCAGTGGCATATTAGTGTGATCAGATCATAGACCATGTGTCTGTATCAGTTCAGAAGTACAGTATTCGGATGTGAAATTGTAATTTATCAATGGTAAATAGTCTTCTGAAAAATATGCATCTTCCCGAGGCAAGGGAGTTAACTGACTTAAAAAGTCCAGTTTCCACCACCAGTGGTAATTATGAGTTATGTCCCTTTGAGCCTCTCCTATGGACCAATCCCATCCCATCACTTGCATTTGTTTCAAACAAAATGGCGGCGCCCAGTCAAGAAGATCTGATCGATAATCAAGATCTATATTGTGATAAAACGGGTCCAACATCGCGAAGTGCATCAGATCACGCGAGCACTTTGAATAAAACATGAAAAGGTTTTGAAAATATCTGTTGACAACGAGTTGGTGTTGCACATGATTTGCAAATTATGCAATCGACCGAAATCTGCACGACAGTTTACGAACCGGATTTCGATGCGCATTTTGATTGGACTATGCATAGACTCGTTATTTCGGCCAAAATGTAACTCCATAATACCAGCTAAGTTCGGCAAGGGTGGAAACTGGACTTTTATAGTCAGTTAACTCACTTGCCTCGGGAAGATGGTATATATGTGACATATAGTCAGGGTAAATGACGGACTACTCCAGACACCAGTTAACAGCTGAACTGACTACTATCCCAACGTAATGAACCACTTGTCCCCAACTCAACGAAATGTGGATTAGTTGGATTACAGTTATAGTGTCTACACCTGACTTCACATCAGTGATAAATACTGTGCAGTTTTGTGTGCAATATTTCAAAAGTAATATAGTCATTACTTACATTAAATACACAGTCGATGTAATTAACCTACATTGTCTCATTGGTTTTAACAAGTATTTAAACTATAACTTTAAACTTTAACTGTAATTGTCTTATTGGGTTAAAAGTGAGTGAGTGAGTGAGTATGGTTTTACGCCGCTTTTAGCAATATTCCAGCAATATCACGGCGGGGGACACCAGAAATGGGCTTCACACATTGTACCCATGTCGGGAATCGAACCCGGGTCTTCGGCGTGACGAGCCAACGCTTTAACCACTAGGCTACCCGACCGCCCTATTGGGTTAATAAAGTGCAGTGACGGGAACCTCAAGTTCTGATTAAAATAATGAAAAGGTATGACTTTCCACAACCAAATACCTTCTTTAAAAACAGAAACATATGTAGTGATGGGTGTTAAATAGTCATGAGGCTACGGATGGGACGCCAGAAACTTATGATCGAGGGTTCGAATCCCGGTTCGACCGATTATGTAGAACCATGAGTGTCAGCACCATACCCGTGCTCGTGGGTTTCACCAACTGGTAAACGTCTAAGATATGCATCACTTTGGGCTTTCCTCCCCCATTAAGCTGACACCGTGATATACGTTTAAACAAACTCACTCACTAACACTAACGAGGCATGCAATTTCATTCTTTAATCAGAACTTGAGATTCAGGAGATGAACTCGACGTGCATTGTTTCCATGCTCAATATTGTGTACTGGCATAAGATGTTCTCATTATATACTGTGTACTTGACGAACATAGTTTTGACAGTAAGCGTATTGTAATTAACACGGTTATTAATTGTACGGTTATCGTTACGGTTACCTACCTTTTGGAACTGATACAATGCGAGTGCATCCGGGTCTCGGGCACCATGACTTGGACCCGGATGTCTCAACCTCCACATCGTCCAGGCGGGACATGTACACCTTCAGTTGGCGCATGCTCATAACGGATGTCATCGTGCCGACATCCAGACGGACTTTACAGCCGAATTCCTAAAGTACAAAAGAAATACCATTGAAACATACATTTCTGAAAATATATACACTTTTTAAATGGAATACGAATAAGTTGGAATAACACGATTTTAAATCGTCCTTCCTGGTAGACATATTTCTGTAGCAGTTAGAATTTTATTTGAGAGCACACATAATTATGTTATAAGACTTTGATACACAAGTAGACTGGAAATAATCTTTCATTTTTCCCCAAAAATATAATTTAGAATTAAATTCGCTCTTATATTTCCTTGAACGTTTACATCCTTACATCTTCAGCCTCCTGGGTGCTACATAATATCTTAAACTGTTGCAAATATGTAAGAACAAAGTGAACTTCGAATAACTTGGGATTCCAGATCGAAAACAAAATTAGTACCGTATTCGGCGTAATAAAATTAGAAATAGGGGGTTCTTATTAGAATAAATTTTTAGTGGAAAGATCGTAAATTTCGTGGTTTACGTCGAATACGGTATATGGGTTTAGGAAATCAAGATGGCTGCCACCTCAAAAACACCATCAGTTTTTGTTTTAGATAAAAAAAATAATAGAATTATTTGTTCAAATGTAGGGAATCGAACTAAGATCTTCTGCATTGTTTGGACGCATCTACTCGACTACCGGTAGATCATGAAATGAGACATACTGGGCATGTCATGTGGATAGAGCCGCTCTCCAGGCTGGCGGTCACGTGACCCTCCCAACAGGTATGACAGAACCAATGTCCGCACATGGCGAGTGCCATTCCTCTAGCGTTTCGTGAGGACATGTCTATGACGTCATAGCAAACGTTGCAGCAGTCAGGGACATCGGTAACCTTGGAAACCTGATAATGATATGGAAACAATAAACGTATGAATGATCAGTTTAATAACATGTCAACATGTCCGTATACAGTAGAAATGCATCTTTTCTTATATTTTTGTGATGAAATACTATGTATATTGCGCATGTAAAATTGTTGTTTCACTGTAATGAAATAATTCGTGACCTATAATTAAAATTGACAGTTTCGGGTCACACGAGAAAATAAAACAAATATGTCAAGTAGTCTCTGCATTTACACTCTTCGTGGCAAGGTAAAGAAAGCTAATAATCGGAATCCTTTATTCTGTTCACACTCTGAAACAGCTTTGGCGAGTTTGCAAAACACATGGTATCCAATCTCATTAAAATCAGACCTCAGTTCTCGCTACCGCTAAACAAAGATCTGAGGACATCCCACTAGGGGTCACGTCAGAACGACCTTTCATCCAACCAATCGGAGCATCGCTTACCAGATTATGAAAGTGACAGTCGGAATGTGATTTCTAATCATGCAACCTCGAAAACTTTAACTCCCAACGATAGTTACTGGTTTAACGACTGAATCCATACAATCTAGACCATCTATTACCCATTCCAGAATGTTCTTTTGTTCAGGTTTCAAATTTTTAATCGAGAATTTGTCAAAATATGTTTCGAAGCGTAGTCGCCAATTTGAAATTAGTGCCGTAAAGCACGAGAAGGCTGCCTTCTGATTGGTCATTCCATTGGTCGGTCAAAGTTCGCGCAAGGTCGGTCTGACGTGACCCGTAATGGGAGGTCCTCAGATCTTTGTTTAGCGGTAGCGAGAACTGAGATCTGATTTTAATGAGATTGCATGGTATCTGATGTTCAACGTACTGGCTCCTCCCTCGACGGTATGGCAGGGAACGTGGAAGGGAGATAACTCTCAGTCTTGGGCCAGCTCAGGAGATTACTCAAAGTAGGGAACGTGGGGCTTGGTCGTTCGACACTGAAGGGTTTGAGTCTCGTGCTGTGAACAAATATAATGGTACTTTATAAGAAATTGTTAGAGAGAAAAGGAAAACAAAAAAGTTATTATTCTGAAGAATGTTGAATAACCTGCAGTCCATGTGTTCCCTCTACCGTTGTGTCCCCCTCCGTTCAAAATGTCAACTCGTACACATAACATTACAACTTTTCCATTCATGGGAATATTCATTGCCGTGTACCGTATTGACATGTAATAGGCTATTCCCGATTTTGAGTTATTTTGCAATTCATCGTTCTCAGTTGGAGCCAAGCGGACTTAATCAATTACAAGTATAGACGCCCATATAATTTTATGTATGTCTATGTGCATCCCATCACTGAAGCATATATTTTATATTCGGTAATAATTATGTCAGCAAAAGTATTTGTTTATTATTAATTTCACTGTATATTTGTATTGAATGCATTGCTTGTTCCAAGACTACCTTGTGCTGGTGTGCTTTTGGAGCAGATCGCACATGCAGTCGACCAGAGCCGATGGGGACCAGTTTTCCGTCTCCTGGGCTGCCCCCACCCACAGGGGCTTGTTCAGATCTGCATCAGTCTCCAGCCGGAAGCTGCAGCATACAAGACAAGAATATTTGAATTGTGTAGTCTTTTGAAAATGTCATGTCTGAACTTTTATCTTTTTGTCATTTAAAATAACGATAGCAGATCGCCGTGTTATCTGTAGCAGAGATTCGATATACGACCACATAATTATATAGCTTCTGTGTTGAGCCTGCCGTCCCTGTTTGCCCACTGGGAATTCATAATTTAAAAAACAGGAAACCCTTTACAAATATTTATGAAAGATATCAAATGCGTTCATTCATATGAATGAGACGCGGGAAGATTCGGGGTAGAATAGGTCTTCAGCAACGCTTGCCGTAAAAGACGACTATGCTTGTCGGAAGAGCCGACTAATAGGATCGGGTGGTCAGGCTCGCTGACAAGATTGATACATGTCATCGTATCCCAATTGTGTGGATCGCTGCTCATGATGTCAATCACTGGATTGTCCGGTCCAGACTCGATTATTTACAGACCGCTGTCCTATAGTTGGAATATTGCTGAGTGCGACGTTAAACAACAAACAATCAATCATATGAATGAGAATTAGACTTTGTTCCCTTCAACAACTGCAAGCAACCATCTTGATCTCTTAGGTAAGGCCATCGTCAATACTTCACCATCTTGTATACACTACGTTTACTGATGGAAGAGTGGAGTACACATTCAAACCCGTGCAGTATATTGATGAAGCAAGGCTACATTCAAATGGGTAAATTAGGCTGATTTTTTAGGTTTTCGGGTTGCGTTTTCTATCATTTGAACACTAACATTTCTTAGGAGATAGGTAAAAACAAAAAACACAAACAAGTAAATCTACTTTGGGTCACGGCTCATGATTGCATTCCTCGATGTCCTCTTGGCGTTGGGAAACATCGGCTTTTCCCACAAATATTTGAAAACTTTTCCGCGCCTTTACAATTTGACATTTTCAGTGGGCTAAACAGGGACTTAACTCTATGTATCCTCCTTGCACATGAGAAACACTTGGCAAAAAGGAGTTTAACACGTCTCTCTAGTTGCCATGACTTTTTGTACTGATGTATAAAAAGAATGTATAAAACAAAAACAAACTCACGGTGCCGCTTACCTAAATTTACCGTCATCCTTTTCTTCAAACAACAAGAAGCCAGTTTTCGTTACGTTGCGGGTTGTCTGTGAAAATGAAGTGACGAACCTCCACCCTTCATTCCTGGAGCGATTCTTTCTTATATGTGGGGTCAAAAGCAAGTGGGGAACTTCGCGGATAGCAACCAACAGGAAGCGACGTGGGTGACATGCGCACTCGACGTACCGTTCACCAAAGATTGCAGTCAACGCTTCAGGTGCAACATCATCCGGTTTGAACACCACAGTAACATCATCCTCTTCTGGCACAACATTGTTCGTTTCTCCAATTACATCAGTAGTTCCAAGACCAGAATCTGAATCTTCATCAGTTTTTGCTTCTGTGACATCTACACCTTTCATTGCAAATTCATCCTTGTCAGTGTATATGATTTTACCCTTATTTGTCCGAGATAGCACGTTTCTGGGATTAAGAGTTCTTTTCCTACGGGTGCAAGGTAGACTCTTCACGAAAAGTTCTTCAAACTCAACATCCTTACTGAACTTTGGATGTTCATTATTCTCATCTTCATCCTGTGACTCGGCATGCGGGAGTTCAACATCATGATCTGAATCCCACGACAGAACTGGTAGTCGTTTCTTGTTTTCACTCTTTGGCTTAGATGTGGTCTTTGGTTTGCTTTCAGTCGACCAGTCCGGCCAAACTGTATTCGCTGGAAAGTGTGAACACACTCAGGTGTTATATATATTTAATTAGTTAGTTACAATTGGTCCCCAGCAACCTATACCGCTAGTAAGAGGCGACCAAACAGATCGAGGGGTCAAACGCGGCCATTGTGCAAGGTCGAATTCAGTGTTTAAAGTTAGTTAGTTAGTCATATACAATAAATTTTATATTTATTTGAATGCATCATTAAATAAATGTTCAAAATAAAACTAAAGTGGAGGTAATTAAACACTAAACAGTAATATTTTGTCACATATACAGTGTATATGAATTTGAGAAAAAACAAACATTTGTTTTGTTGACGTTTTTCAATATTCTTGATCCGAAACATAAATCCGAGTTGGAAAAAAACCTAAAATTAGTTGAGCACACGCATTCTTCGGTGAACTGACCAATAATGCGACTGACGTCTAATAATATATATTATCACTCTTTTGCTATACCCAAGACTACATTGCTCGATATGTGTGAATGATTAGTAGAATATAAAGGGAACTGTATAATCCGCTTGTTAACTCTTATCCCCCTTCAGGCTCAGATGAGTTTATCCGTTTGCAAAATCCAGCGTGACCTGGCATGGCTTTTTTTATATACAAAGTTTCCGATGTTGTTGATCGTTGCTCATTCAATAACCACTGGTTTGTCAGTAAGACGTCCTCGATTTTATAATGGCAGCCACTATATACATGTACAGATGTATATACGCTTCGCATAAACATATTAAATTAATCTATCGCGATGAAGCATTATTCTATGAAAAGTATTAAATTAATCAAATCCATTACAAAAACAAATAATCCATCCGTTCGATCACGCATTTTTTCATTAAAAAAGTGTGACGTAACAATTAACCGTTACCAAAATGGAACCTACTGAACGATTGTCTATGTATTAGTGAGTGAGTTGAATTTAGTGCTGCGTTAAACAGTATTTCAGTTATGTCAGGGCGTGTCTGATTGATGTGGGAGGAAAGCCCGAAGTGATGCAGGTCTCAGACGATTATCGCTTGAGTCGAGAGGGGTTAAAGTCTTTCGTGAAGTGGGACACATTTCCAAAATTGAGATACAAATAAAGTATTTTTAACAAAAAAAATTAAAACAAATCCCGTAAATAAATGATTTGGTATGTTTGTGGAATATAATACGTCAACATGATTATTATCCGTATTTGGTAAAACCCACGGTATGGACCTAAACCGTTAAACATGATCAGGAAGAGTCTGGGATTCGAGCCCACGGTTACCATATATGTATTAACGGGGTCTTACCTTCAATCGGTTTTACGGCATTGTATTCTGCGCGTCTGCGTCTACGCCTCGTTGTCACAGGGGCCGACGACGTCCTAATCTTCCAGTGAGGTTGAACTACCTCTATCCGTATCTCGGGCGTGGCGGAAGGGATGTCACTCTCCGAGGCTTGGGGTGAGACAGACTTATCTCCCCCTGCCTTCTTTTTACGTTTACCGTTCACTATGTCTTTCGGCTTTCGTAAAAAATCATCGGCATTAAAAAAACACGAACCGCCATAGTAAGTTTTTTCACTGCCTTTGCTCCCTGTTATAGACTCGCAGTTGGCAGCCCCGTTTATCCAGAGCCTCTCTACAACATACAAGGTAAACTCTTCCTCGTTGTAAACATCACTCTCCATTTCCTTTTTTAGAGACTCGATTATTTTCCAGCGACCCTTTTTGTTCAGTGACAGATTGACATTCTGGGTGGCGGTTTTCCACGAAGAAAGACCTGTCATGTCTAGAATTGTATCAACACCGGCATCGTCGATGCCGTTGGTGTTGACAGTGAAGAGGTCGGGCAAGCGTCTCGCGCCTCCGGGATAGGGAACTTGGGTGTATTTCGTTTTCATCTCGATTATTAGCAGCTTACGGCAGTGGCACGTTCAGCACATCAATACCTAGTCGTATTTAGATTCTATATGGTGAGAATATCACACACCGGGCAGTTTATAGCTAACGATAATCTCCTGTAACGGTTGTGCAATGCCTATTTCACGACCAACCATCATACCAGCGTATAGCTAATGTCTATTTATAACTGGGGAATCCCCTTTCATTAGCGGTTAACCGCCTCGCACAGTGACGTAGGATAAAAATTTGGATGTTTTCATGCTGTCAGACATGCTGGGGTCGTAGCACTGTCAATAATAGTTTGTGAATCGTTACCTAGAACTATCGAGAATTACAAGACTATATACTTGCTCTTACTTGCGCAATATACATAGATGGCGAATTTCGTGGACACCTCAACAGTCAAATTCACGTAAATGGCACAATACGTATCTATGTACAAAAGGCAATTTTGTTTTTTAGATAAAGGAATAATAACCCAATGCATATGTACTCAGATATGAGTAGTGTTATTATTTCTTGCAATATATTGACATCAAGATCAAGATGTTTTATTGCAGCTACTGTTGACATCAGGAGCATCGCGCGCGGATATGTAGGCTCCTCGCAGCATTATCGTCCTTCCCCGCCAGCATAATAAATGTAGCACGCGCTGACACTGAGCTTGACAATCACGAGCCGATGTGAAACACCTCAAATCACGTGACGTAAACAACAATGGCGGTTATAACTATATTTAGCTTCCTCTGTACGTAAACGTTGTCCTGTCATGGACCTAGAATGTTGGGGACCAGATTTCTGACTGTTCCTTACTCAAGTATAAGTGTTGGTCTATGTAAACAAATATGTTTATCACATTGTCAAAGAATCAGAACAATAAGACACATCAGCAAAACCGTTGCAGCCCATCGAATATTCGACGTCCCAGGTGAAAGCGAAGGTGAGGTAGTGTTTACAAAGTACCACACGTACACACGACAATTCGGGGCATATTTTCTCCAACACCTGTAATCGGTAACCTGAAAAGGTCACCAGGGATGTGTGTTTTTCACATTTTACTGGCATGCCGATGCATACACTGTGTTTTTTAGCGATTCACTGTGAGTTGCACCCGACTCGCCTAAAAACATGTGACTCGACTCGCCTAAAAAATATATATATAATATTTTGGTATGCGTTTGGCAAATATAACTTAGGTTAGGCCTAATGATCACAGTTACTAGTATATTCATACACAAGTATGGAAATAATAAAAAAAATCAATCTTGGTCGATCACAGGGTGTTATTCTATCTGACCATCTAGATTAAAATGTGCTGAATAGCATGAGTGACTGATGACTGAGTGCGATTTTTTCGACAGTCAGCACATTTTAATCTAGATATATATATATATAGCATGAGTGACTGATGACTGAGTGCGATTTTGTCGACAGTCAGCACATTTTAATCTAGATGGTCAGATAGAATAACACCCTGTGATCGACCAAGATTGATTTTTTTTATTATATATGCTATATATATATATATATATATATATATATATATATATATATATATATATAGCATGAGTGACTGATGACTGAGTGCGATTTTTTTGACAGTCAGCACATTTTAATCTATATATATATAGGGACCTGTTATAAAGTCTGCAAGAGATGATTCGGAATCTGATTACAAATCATTTTGTAAGTTTTAGCAGCAGCAATAGAATATGTTCGCCACAGTTTTCCTTCAAGGAATCCAAGGACTAAGGACAGATTAGGGGTAACCTACCATATCCCTAACACAACTAACCCAAAGGACCGTAAATATGTTTATGTTTTATGTATATGTAAATATGTATTTTGTATACGTAATGTGTAAATAACTATATATGTAATATGTAAATATTTATTGTGTGTACATAGTATGTAATTATGTATACATAAGGTGTAAATAACTAAAATATGTATACATATGTAAATATGTATCTTGTATACATAATATGTAAATAAATTATGTATACGTAGTGTGTAAGTAAATAAATATGTATAAAATGGGAATAAATTGTATGTTAAATGTTATTTTTCTCTGGTTTCAAACATGGACATTTACATTCTCTCATATCGCAGCTGTTTTGTATAATTAATCGTAACATCGCATAGATTACCCCCTGGCTATGGAGTTAATTTTCTGACGTACATTTATTTTAACACTGGGTCTACCATTAACTATGCAGAGATGTAGAATATTGAATTTCCTATCTCTGTCTTGTTTACAAAGTAGACACAAAGTAGATAAATGATTTCCAAGATTATGTTTGGACATGTTTTGGTCATATAGAAAATTAAGCTATTTCTGGATTAATTTAGAAAACTTGACATTAAATAAAACACAGGTCAAAAATATAATTACTAAACATATTGTCTTAATAGGTTATCCAGCCCATAAATGCACTAATCATTGTATAAAATTATATGATTTATGGATATATTGTTTTAACAGTCAGGGTGGCCTCTTGTCTACGCGAAAAATTATATTCCCATAACTCTGTGTAGAAATTCAAATTGGCTTGTTTTTGCATTTTTTACACTTTTTGTTATAAAAAAAGTATTAACTTACTTGAAGAAAGACAAAATAGTAACATATATTCATTATGCATGTATTAATGTGTTTTTGAAAAATAATTAACAGTAATCTTGACTTAGAAAGGGAAAATGTTTTAAAAAATCATGCAAAAAGGTAGGGTAATTTCATCTGGTAACTGAATTTTGTTATGAAACATATATCATTAGAATCGCAAATGCTTAAGGAACACTCTAAAATCCACATCCCAGAGAGGCCACCCTGACTGTTTAACGAAACTGCCTACATTTATCAAAACCAAATACACTGTATATGCTAACACAGACTTTTTAAACAAATTTTGGACAAATTGTCATTCATTGTTTGTTTGATAACTGTTTATATGTGTGTGCTTTGTATACATATCACAATGTTGTTATTAGTTATAGAACCATGATACTTGTATATTGATATTGCAATATGCAACAGAAACAAAAAGGGAGAAAAAAAGAGCAAGATTTTGTGTAATTAAAAACAACTAAGGTCATAGGTCGCATTCATCATGTTCATTAATGCATGTTCTCTCCATAATCATTGTGCTAACACACGCGCAGGCACGCACACACACACACACACACACACACACACACATCCATAATTTTCATTAATTTCTGTCATGATCAAGTATTCAGAAGCTAAAACTAAGTGGAACTTGTCATCTCCAAAAACCTTATTCTTGGGAGTGCTTGGGTATTTAACGGTAATATATCAAGTATGGTAACTCCAAGCTCCAGATAACTTTTTGAGCAATTGACTCGAAGATTTCTGTTTTAATTGGGTTATTACATTTTTCATTTGGTAACTTACCTATTCATCTCTATTGGTTTTTTTTGTATATAACGGTTCTAAATATAGGCTTGACTCGGAAAGTAAATTAGCTTGTAATTGTGTTTCGGAAATACGCTCCGTTTTACGCATGCTGAAAAAACTTCATTGGGTATTTACGTGTGCTGTTTTTATACAGTTGAGTTTTACCTTTAATGCATGCGTTTCTGTGCGCAAGTTAATTAAAGTAATTGGGTTTCGGATATTTTGTGGGGGCATTTTACGCAAATACGCAGCTTATCTGAAATTCTGTAACTCATGCAACGTTTCTCTTACAGTGATCGACCTAAAGTCAAAGTATCCAAATCCTAAAGAACTTGTCACAGACTTACTGAGGCCGTTGGAGAACTCGAATGATATCCTGGAACAGAGAACCAAGTTTATTCCGAAACTCAATGGGCAATACTGGAAGGCGAAGGTCAAGGTGAACTGGCCTTACGCTTTGACCTTCACTGGAGTCCACAGCTGTGTGACCCAAGCAGAAGAGAATGCATATCTCATTGCATGCGAGCTGTACAAGGTTAGTCAAGGAGAATAGGTGGCCTGTACCCCATGCTTGTTGTTAGAGTGAGGGACCCGCTTAACAGGAAAGTGATAGTGGTAATTGTATGATGTATGGATAAGTCAGTTAAGTTCTGTTAGTCTCTGTCCAGTTACAACTGGGCCTGCATATACACGAAGTAGGGCTGGGACGAGTCCAAATTTACTACCTGGGTACCCTACCCCCTATTACCTGACCCTACCCGGGTACCCACTGTAGGTCTGATTGTGAATTGTTTTACCGCAGCCCTGGCAAAAACTGTTTAGATACATTATCAAACGCTCAGATCACTGAAACTTCATCTTTTCTCAAACATATACCAGTCAAAAGGATTTTGTCTGGGGATCAGTTAATTTTTCAGTAACAGCTACAAGATATATTTTTAATTAAAATTATGAACCTGAATATCTTTTCAAGTAAAACACCTTGCATCAGTGGAATTTTTGTGGCAGTCAAGTTCTATTTTTTTTTGACAGTCTGAAGCATAATTACTTTTTTCAAGAATTTTCTGGGACAATTTATTTTTTTCGATAAAATCCCAGGCTTCCACCAGAATATCAAATGGTCAGTCCCCGACAATATCACAATTTACAGGATGTCACAGGAAGAATAGTCCTGATTAACAGGGCTTCACCAAAACAAAAGTCCTGATATTTAGAAGATGAACATGTACAGTCCAGGTCTGAATTAAGACACTATCATGTAGGGTTGACATTCTGTACTTCACAGAGTGTTGGTCTGCTGTATGTTGATGATGACAGCATCGTCCACGCCGCCTCCCAGGCCCACGTTCTACAACTGCTGGAACAGCTGGCCAAGAAGAACGTCTTCGGGGCAGCCGACGTGACGAGGGATGTTTACCACCTGGAGACCAGCAGGGTGGGCAGCAAGCAGGGAGATGCTGCGTGGACGTCCAGGATGACCGTTCCTTGGCCACAAAAGTTTGCAGTGACCGCAACAGGGCTTACAAAGCAATCCTCCGTCTACATTGCGTGTCTGATGGCTTGCACGAAACTCAAGGTGACTGCTGCTTAGCACTTAATAGCAACATGGTGAGTGAGTGAGTATGGTTTTACGCCGCTTTTAGCAATATTCCAGCAAGATCACGGCGGGGGACACCAGAAATGGGCTTCACACATTGTACCCATGTGGGGAATCGAACCCGGGTCTTTGTCGTGATGAGCGAACGTTTTAACGAGTGCTTCCGGAGCTGCCGATTTCGCCATCGATATCCTGTCATGAGTTCTGTGAAGTGCAACTGGCAACTGTATTGATCAATAGCATGAGGTCAAGCTTACCACAAGGTATTTTTATGTTTAGCAAGAAAAACGATTTCCTTATGAATCACTCCGGTATAGAGTTGTAAAGTATATATACATGGGCTAGGGCGAGTCCAGATTCACTTCTCGGGTACCCAACCCCCTATTACCCGAGTTCAGTACAAAATGGGAATTGAATTGAAAAAGTATTTAGACGCATGCATAAAACCATCTGGTGATACGTACACTGAAATTGACTGATGCTTTATCCTTACTCAAACATGAAAGTCAAAAGGAATTGCTGCATAGTCAGAAAGAAATGCAAACATTAGTAGCTGGAAGTGTAACCATGGAGTTATAGTGAATTTTTGTCATTAAACACTATATCATGTGACTACCACAGGTATTACTAAGTACTCACGACAAGGGCGGGCATTTTGAAAAGTGAGGGGTCCAAAATATCAAAATCCTCGCTCGGTCAGTTTTACTGCAAAAAACATACATTTAAATTTGGTTTTCAAAAGGTTGGTTGGTTGGTTTGTTGTTTAACGCCGCACTGAGCAATATTCCAGCTATATGAGGGCGGTCTGTAAATAATCGTGTCTGGAACAGACAATCCAGTGATTAATATCATGAGCATGCATGCAATCGGGATTGATGACATGCATCAACCAAGACAGCGAGCCTGACCACCCGATCCCGTTAGTCGCCTTTAACGACAAGCATAGTCGCCTTTTACGGCAAGTATGGGGTGCTGGAGACCTATTCTACCCCGGAATCTTCACGGGTCGGTTTTCAAAAGGGGGACCTCCTGGACCAACCCCCCTCCCTTCTGGATCTGCCTATGCACTCGTATCGAATGCAAGAGTTACCCGTCCCAGCCTTAGTGCATACATCACAATAAAGGATTGGAGAGTTCTAGCATTTCATGATTTTATTTCAGCTTCTTCATCTCATGACCGCCAAAAATAACCTACACGAAAACATCCACCCGAAGTACTCCCCTCTTCCGCCTACACGTGTAAGAGTCGAAGACTTTGATCCCCACTACCAGATCTACGTGGACGCCTCGCTGATCGGCTTTGGAGCGTATCTCCTCACGAAGACCGACAACAGAGTACGATGGATGTCTGAATCGTGGACAGATCACTTCAACACAGCTCTTCCATGGGGAGACCGAAAACATTTTGATTCTTCTTTCTACGAGTTCTATGCCCTCCTCACAGCGTGTTACACATGGAAACACAAGTTTGTCGATCAACGAGTACTGTGCTGGACAGACAATCTCCAGGCCGCCACACTGGTCAACTGCCGACTGACCGGTTTACCTCTGATTCTACACGGTCAGTACGGCAAGTTGTTCCAGGTGATGGTGAGCATGTGTCAGACGTACAACATCCGTCTCAAGGGATCCCACGTCTACCGTGTTGATAATGTCGCTGCAGACTTTCTCTCCAAGGTCCAGATTGAAAAGTTCAAAAAGGTTTTCCCAGGAGCGGAGGTGAAATCGAAGAAAACAAAGAAACTGCATTTCTTGAAGCCCATTGTGCCAAATGTTACTCTTCCCGCCAAGGACAAATCTTGATGTCAGTTGAATTATAATACTTTGTTATGTATGCTATGTATACAGTTGTTAAAACATTAAGGGAGAGAATGAAATATGTTTTCTTGTTTATACCAGAAATAAATGGTCAGTAAAAACCTCTTTTCCCACCATCAGCTTTTTCCAGCATTGGGGGCCGGTCAGGTAGCCTAGTGGTTAAAGCGTTCGCTCGTCAGGTCGAACACCCGGGTTCAATTCCCGACATGGGTACAATGTGTGAAGCCCATTTCTGGTGTCCCCCGCCGTGATATTGCTGGAATATTGCTAAAAGCGGCGTAAAACCAAACTCACTTACTCACTACAGCATTGGTCCTGTGTGTACACTGTGTGACAGTGTTCACGTCATAGTATTAACCAGACAAGGGTAGAGATTAGCAGTTTATATCAGAGCTACAGATAAGCTGCGTATCTGTGTTAAATACCCCCCAAAAATATTCAAAACCCATTTACTTCCAATTAACTTGCATACAGAAACGCATGCATTAAACTCAAATGTATAAAAACAGCACGCATAAATACCCAATGAAGCTTTTTAAGGACCTAATTTCTGAAACACAATTATGAGCTAATTTACTTTCCGAGTCAAGCCTATATATTTAGAACATTATTTCATTTTTTTTAAATCTCAAAATGTTCACTAATTTTGGGGAAAACCCAATAGAGTGACAAATAGATGAGTGAAAAAATATTGGTCACCCAAAGAAAAATGTAATAACCCAATTAAAATAGAAACCCCAGAGTAAAAACTCAATTGCTCAAAAAGTTATCTGGAGCTCTGTTATAGTTGAGGTTTCACATTTTGATCCAAAGTTTGTTAATTAATGTAAAAAAGAACTGCATGAAATACATGCGTTGCTGGAGATGTTACCTTAATTTGTAGACTGAAACTTAAGGTGAGGTGGGTGAGGTGAAATGGGGTTTCACGTCGCATCCAAGATTATTGCACTTATATAGCGACGTATGTGTGTGTGTTTGTGTGGCTGCTTGTACTAGTCCGATTTATAGTGCTAGCCCACTGAGATACCATGCCGCAGTTTAACATAAACACTCCACTCAGACACAGTATACTGACTCCGAGCCGACCAGTCCTTGTTTTAGCCCCTTAATGCCGAGCGCCAGACAGGGTAACAAGTACCATCTTTTAATGTCTTTTGGTATGACGCGGCCGGGGATCGAACCCCGGACCTTCCGCTCTCCGGGCGGATGCTCTTCCACTAGACCACGGAGGCGGTGGTCGGCAATACATGTATAAGGAAACTTACAAGGATGGGCATAGCGTGGACTGTGATACTGGCCCGACCAGGGGACACAACTCTGCCTTCATGAGCCTAAAGTCAATATGTGAGGGTTACGGAGACAGTACTGGAGACAGACAGACATCAGTAATCGTGATTGAGTGAATGAATATTACTTTGCATCACTTCAGCAACTTCACAGCTATTCGCTGCAAAAATCAAGTGAGTGAGTGAGTGAGATGGGTTTTACGCCGCTTTTAACAGTATTACAGTTATATCGCGGCGTGTCAGCTTAATGTGGGAGGAAAGCCCAAAGCAATGCAGGTCTCAGACGTTTACCACTTCGGTGAAACCCACGAGCATGGGTATGGTGCTGACAAACCTAGAAACATAATCGGGGCGAACTGGGATTCGAACCCACAATCATACGTTTGTTGCGTGCCCAAGGGGCTTAACTCTGCACAGCGAATCGCCGTGCCTTAGACGACTGGGCCACCCGTGCCCCCGCAAAAATCAAGAGGGGTCACAATTTCTACCCATTTCTTAAAACACACAATACGTAGTCATGAATCTTTATTCACAAATTGGTGAGATGCCATGTACAGTTCAAAGATGAGGCAACAATATGTCATGTATTCCTGGCTGTAAACACCCTTCATGTAACTATGACAACCTGTGACAAAACAATTACAGCCACAAATTTACAGTTATTTGCTGCCAATGGGTAGATTGACTATAACATCCCACCGATTTTTGATACTATATATAGACTTAGAGTCTGCTACACTTGATAATAATGTTATGCAGAATAACATTTTCAAGCTCAGTTTGTGTCATAACAGCTACTAAAATGTGGCAATATGCATAATATTTTTTGCAAATGTCTTATTCAATGCAACCACATTTTGCAATGATGTTGCAAGCATTAATTTACATCAAGAAAGAACGCTCTTTACATCAGATCTGAAACTTGACATGCCTAATATTCATGGTAATTGTTAATAACTCAAAGATTTACAAATAAAAATTTGCATAGACAAATATCCCCTCCCAGAATTTGCCTATTGAGGCAATATTTATAGACTTAATATGAGATCAGTACCTGTTTTTATGGACCTGAAAATAGCAACATCGATCTCGTGTGAGGTTGATATTTAGAGGCAGTTTTCATATCAAACCTCATATCAACCCAAGAGCCCCATATCACCCAGAGGACCGATGGCAAGTGGGTTGATAAGGGGGTCAAGGGTTGATATGGAGTATGATATGAAAACTGCCATAAAATAACCTTTTTATCACAGATCATAATTGTGAAACGTATCCATTCATACAATATGTCTTAAATTCTGTGCAAGTCCGTAAAACAGTCAGAAAAAAACATGTTCACCTTGTTTGAAGACATTGTCACAGGGGGAGATCACCAATGCACCAAGGGACGTAACTCTAAATCCTTACCACCCGGGCTGATATTGATAGCTCATTAAAACTGCATTGACAAGCCATATGAGCCCAGCAGGGGGTATAAATACAGGTCTGGTTATTACAGACCCTGTGATATGAGTGAGTGAGTTGTATTTAATGTTGCTTTTCAGAGTATTCCACTTATATCACGGCATGTCAGCTTAATGTGGGAGGAAAGCCCAAATGCATGCAGGTCTCAGACGTTTACCACTTCGGGTATCGTGCTGACAAACCTAGAAACATAATGGGGGCAAACCGGGATTCGAACCCACAATCATAGGTTTCTGGCGTGCCCAAGGGACGCAACTCTGCACGGCAAATTGCGGCGACTCCAGTCAATATTGTAAATTATCAGACCTGAGTTTGGAGTCAATATGTATTTCTTTAGAATGACCCGGCCACTTCTTGGCAAATGAATATGGTGAAAATTTGCATTACTGTATTCGACGTAATAAGCGCCCACAGCGATATTTGCCAATATATTGGCTAGTGAACAATCCCAATTAGCACCCCTTTCAATAGATCAATGTACACAAGACTTATTTATTTGTGTATCATACGCACTCGTGTGTTATATGCACCCTTAATAATGGGCAATTAAATTCTGGAAAAATATAATACGCACAGACTTTTCTTTTGTATCATTTCAGACTGGCAGCATAAACCACGAAATTTACGATTTTTCCACTAAAATTTTATTCTAATAAGAACCCCCTATTTTTAATTTTGAGAGTGCCCGGGGCGCTCATTATGTCGAATACGGTATATAATAATTATTGTCATTTGAAAAAAGAACAACCTGCTGGCAGATCTATATATTCGATAATTATTGCTTTGTTGCTCTCAGGCAGACTAGTCCTATCACAGACAACCACACAGAATTAGACATGATCAACATAGACACGATGAGAATGTGACGATCTCACACTGTTCTGTACAAACTTCAGAGTTTTATCCACAGAGAAATAAACAGTATCACTATATCTGTACAAATACACAATAACCAGACACCAACAGACACGACATCTGTCCGATCTCTGGCTTCAAACAGGTAGCAGATGTCTTCAAATATATTTGCTGACGTCGCTATATTCTGTTCATCGGTGCCTGTATGTCGACAGAGTGGTCAAGCCACATCTCCCTGTTGGGTTTACGATGTTAGCCGTCATAATGGCGCCACACTAGCGCCCTCTGTCTTCACACAAGCGAGTTATCTCCCCTGCTGCTCGTCTCTCAAACTCCACATACCTTCAAGTCCTGCACATAGTACCATGACGCTATACTGAAAGACCATGCTTGAGTATTAAGATCAACTCAGTAAGCAAATAACAAAATCACAAATACTGCCATAATATATGAACCTTTTTTGTATGTTTTCCTGAATAGTGCCAATATTTTTCTACTTATTGATTAACAAATATGCAGGATATATCAGGACCTAAAACCACCACCAAACATGTTCTTTCTGAAAAACTACAAAGGGTTTGGTTTCTGGTCAAATTTCACCCTAACCCATAAAACCGTTTGTTTTTCCTGAATAGTGTTGATTTTTTCTTATTCATGTGTACACTTATTGATAACAAAATATGCATGATATATGAACCCCAAAACCACCACCCATAGCACGTCTGTTCTTTCTAAAAGAACAGAAAAGAGTTTCTGGGTTTTCGGTCAAGCATTATCTTCCAGTCTTGTTAACAAGTTCCGCCGGCCATGATACTGGTGCTGTCTGCAGGTACAGTGTTAGGAGTGAGAGACGTTAGCAGCAGGGAATTAACCTCAGCAGCCCGACACCGCGGTGTCCGCCCCGCTACGTTTTGTCACGCTCAATGTCGTGAAAATCTGCAAACAAAAACAACAGTATAAGTAATTATTGTTTCCTATGCCTCAATCTTAACATTAAAAGAAAGTGACTGAATTTCCAAAGATCAAGTGAGGGAGTGAGGTTGGTTTCATGCTGCTTTCAATGCCATCACAATCTTAATAATGCTCCAGAAATGTTTCAAGTTGTTACAAAATAACTGTTTTATGACACCTGATAAAACCTATTTTAAACCCTCGACCCTGATTGACTGATAAGAAGTACGCCTTCATCAATGCTATCATAATATCAACATGCTCAAGAGATGTTTCAAGTTGTTTCATGACTGTCTTATGACACTTAAGTTAAGCCAATTTAGAAGCCTCGAACCTGATTTGACTGATTAGATTTGTTTGTTGTTTAACACCACACTCAGCAATATTCCAGCTATATGACGGTGGTCTGTAAATAATCGAGTCTGGGCCAGACAATACAGTGACTGACATCATGAGCATTGATCTTCGCAATTTAGATACGATGACATGCATCAACCAAGTCAGCGAGCCTGACCACCCGATCCCGTTAGTCGCCTCTTATGACAAGCATAGTTGTCTTTTACAGCAAGAATGGGTTGCTGAAGACCTATTCTACCCCAGACCTTCATGGGTCTTGACTGATTAGAAGTACACCTGATCAACATCCTATGGAGGAGTCATCGGATCCTCACGCAGAGAGGTATTGTATCGGCGTAACAGATCTGATGTTAACGAGATTGGTCTGTAATCATGGTTATAGGAAAACAACCTATTTTTCAACATCTTTGATGCAGCACAAGCAGGATGAGGACTCAATACTAAATTAGTCATAGAACAACAGACTGGCAGGAATTACATTGCATATGCCGCATTTCAAACCTAATAGGGCAGTCCCAGACGAATTCTGCGGTACAATTATCAAAATTCTGTCATCATAAACAGTTATCATTGGATAAGACATAAAATTATGCAACCAAATATGCATAGTGTCACTGATGTTAGATAAAGTGAGTGAGTGAGCATGGTGAGTTGGGTTTAACGCCGCTTTTTACAGTATTCCAGTTATATCAGGGCGTGTCAGCTTAATGTGGGAGGAAAGCCCGAAGTGATGCAGGTCACTGACGTTTACCACTTCGGGTATGGTGCTGACAAACCTAGAAACATAATTGGGGCGAACCGGGATTCAAACCCACAATCATAGTTTTCTGGCGTGCCCAAGGGACACAACTCTGCACAGCGAATCGCCGCGCCTTAGACGACTGGGCCTGGCGTGCCCCCTGTTAGTTTAAGGTTAGATGTAAACATTGTTAATGTAGTCATAACAAAAGAACCTTTGAAAGACAATTATTCATTTCAAATTTAAATTTATTATGATTCATATCTTTCATATTTGAATCGTATATTAAATGTTTGGGCATAATACAAGTGCAAAATTTGATAGAACAGTTTGAAAATAATGAAAATTAGCGCAGAGTGATTAAAAAAAAGAAAGAGGCAAATTCTGCAACATCACAGAATTCGTCTGGGACTGACAAGCATAAAACACTGTTGATAGTTTTCTAGCATAGCAGTTCGTTCTTATCACAACACTGGTACAAGCAACCAAGTACCCAAACATACAAATACACCTCACCTCCGAACATGTTGGATGAATGCCTATCGCATTGTCAAAGTCTTCCTTCGTCGCCCCCTTCTTCATAGCAATGGCATATCCCTGAGTTATCTCCCCTGCATTAGGTCCAACAACATGGAATCCTATCACTCTCTCCTATAAACAAAGAGGTTAATGTGGTAAGGTTTGCCAGGACATTGGTCTTCAATGTTGACTTCATCTTACCAACAAGTATGGTTGGTTTGGTTTGTTGTTTAACGCCACACTCTGCAATATTCCAGCTATATGACGGCAGTCTGTAAAATAATCGAGTCTGGACCAGATAATCCAGTGAATGACATCATGAGCATCGATCCACGCAATTGGGATCGATGACATGTATCAACCAAGTCAGCGAGCCTGACCACCCGATCACGTTAGTCGCCTTTTACGACAAGCATAGTCGCCTTTTACGGCAAGTATGGGTTGCTGAAGACCTATTCTACCCCGGAATCTTCACAGGTCACCAACAAATACACCATTATGGAATATATATATCACCACTTTATAATATGTTTTTCCTCAGTATTGTACTTCTATTTTATCCAGATATTACTGATAGGGTTTGTTGGTTTGTTTGTTGTTTAATGCGCACTCAGCAATATTCCAGCTACATGATGGCTGTCCATAAATCATCAAGTATGGACCAGACGATCCAGTGAGTGACATCATGAGCATCGATCTAAGCAATCAGGATACATTATGCATCAACAAAATCAGCGAGCCTGACGACAAGCATGGGTTGCTGATGACCAATTTTAAGCCAAATCTTTGTACATTTCCTACTTACATTTTCTGACAAAAGGCAGATAATCTTGGCATAGCAGGCATTTTCTGCCCGACCCGGCACTGTCCATTCCAATGGGTTGAAGTTGGAATGGTACACCTGCATTAGAAATTTGCATTGTCATAATGGCATTACAACCAGAACTATTTTGGAAGGGTGTTCTCCAATAACGCCGCCCCAAGGCAAACATAACAGATTTTACATTAGAGTGATGGACATTTTTTTATGGATTAGACAAATGTCACATCACAGTCAGTGTTTGTTGAAACAAGTCTTTGTCATTTGACCTCTTAAATCGGCTGATTTGTTGTTTGTTGTTTAACTCCACAAACAGTACTATTCCAGCAGTTAAAAACGTGACCTTTAAACATTCAAATGATGTCTGCTAGTTCCTGAGATTGACCTTACTTTCCTAGTGTTAATAACATGATTACACCAGAATATCTTAAAATATTTGTAGACCGCCTCCGTGGTCTAATGGTAGAGCATCCGCCCGGAAAGAGGAAGGTCCGGGGTTCGATCCCCAGCCGTGTCATACAAAAAGACGTTATAAGATGGTACTTGTTGTTACCCTGTCTGGCGCTCGGCATTAAGGGGCTAAAACAAGGACTGGTCGGCTCAGAGTCAGTATACTGTGTCTGAGTGGGGTATTCATGTTAAACTGCGGCATGGTATCTCAGTGTGCTAGCACTATAAATCGGCATCAGTCCGGACTAGTACAAGCAGCCACACACATACACGTGCATGCAAGTCGCTATATAAGTGCAATAATCTTGACGCGACGTTAAACCCCATTTCACCTCACCTCACCTTAAATATTTGTTGAATGATAAGACAAATAACTGCACTGTCCCGTCATTTGAGACCGAACCAAAAGATCAGAAACATTACAATTTCCCTAAATTGATTTTGTTAATTAAGTAACTCATCAAAACCGCCTGATTATCATATGATATAAACATATTTATTTCCATAAGGTGGTGGGATTGGCAAACAAGCAAATTTTGCTTATCTGAATGCCTTTCCCAAACATGATACACATACAAATTACAATGTATTTGACATTAAAGATAAGTATTGTTCTGTAAGTTGTATTGTATTGTTCTAGACCAATGTAGATCCCAATACTGTAGATACACATCTAGACCCATGTAGATCCCAATACTGTAGATACACATCTAGACCCATGTAGATCCCAATACTATAGGTACACATCTAGACCCATGTAGATCACAATACTATAGGTACACATCTAGACCCATGTAGATCACAATACTGTAGATACACATCTAGACCCATGTAGATCACAATACTATAGGTACACATCTAGACCCATGTAGATCACAATACTATAGGTACACATCTAGACCCATGTAGATCACAATACTGTAGGTACACATCTAGACCCATGTAGATCACAATACTGTAGGTACACATCTAGACCCATGTAGATCACAATACTGGTGGTACACATCCAGACCCATGTAGATCACAATACTATAGGTACACATCCAGACCCATGTAGATCACAATACTATAGGTACACATCTAGACCCATGTAGATCACAATACTGTAGGTACACATCTAGACCATGTAGATCACAATACTGTAGGTACACACCTCAATATTTTCAAATCCAAACTTGTCAATGGCATCTTCCTCCGCGTAGCCGATGGCACCATACTCCAGAGGAGTGAACACTGTTGTAGCTACGTTCACATAGTCACACTGAAACGATATATATAACACTGTTGTAGCTACGTTCACATAGTCACACTGAAACGATATATATAACACTGTTGTAGCTACGTTCACATAGTCACACTGAAACGATATACATAACACTGTTGTAGCTACGTTCACATAGTCACACTGAAACGATATACATAACACTGTTGTAGCTACGTTCACATAGTCACACTGAAACGATATACATAACACTGTTGTAGCTACGTTCACATAGTCACACTGAAACGATATATATAACACTGTTGTAGCTACGTTCACATAGTCACACTGAAACGATATACATAACACTGTTGTAGCTACGTTCACATAGTCACACTGAAACGATATATATAACACTGTTGTAGCTACGTTCACATAGTCACACTGAAACGATATACATAACACTGTTGTAGCTACGTTCACATAGTCACACTGAAACGATATATATAACACTGTTGTAGCTACGTTCACATAGTCACACTGAAACGATATACATAACACTGTTGTAGCTACGTTCACAGTCACACTGAAACGATATATATAACACTGTTGTAGCTACGTTCACATAGTCACACTGAAACGATATATAAAACACTGTTGTAGCTACGTTCACAGTCACACTGAAACGATATATAAAACACTGTTGTAGCTACGTTCACATAGTCACACTGAAACGATATATATAACACTGTTGTAGCTACGTTCACATAGTCACACTGAAACGATATACATAACACTGTTGTAGCTACGTTCACATAGTCACACTGAAACGATATATATAACACTGTTGTAGCTACGTTCACATAGTCACACTGAAACGATATATATAACACTGTTGTAGCTACGTTCACATAGTCACACTGAAACGATATATATAACACTGTTGTAGCTACGTTCACATAGTCACACTGAAACGATATATAAAACACTGTTGTAGCTACGTTCACATAGTCACACTGAAACGATATATATAACACTGTTGTAGCTACGTTCACATAGTCACACTGAAACGATATACATAACACTGTTGTAGCTACGTTCACATAGTCACACTGAAACGATATATATAACACTGTTGTAGCTACGTTCACATAGTCACACTGAAACGATATATATAACACTGTTGTAGCTACGTTCACATAGTCACACTGAAACGATATATATACCACTGTTGTAGCTACGTTCACATAGTCACACTGAAACGATATATATAACACTGTTGTAGCTACGTTCACATAGTCACACTGAAACGATATACATAACACTGTTGTAGCTACGTTCACATAGTCACACTGAAACGATATATATAACACTGTTGTAGCTACGTTCACATAGTCACACTGAAACGATATATATAAGGTAAGTCTCATAACATAAACAGTTATATCAACACAAAAGGTGCACACTGTTATTTACGATCATACCTCCATAAACATGCAAAAATACTGAGGTCGATTCTTATAAATAAATACCAACAACAGTAACTTCACAGACTGCTTGTTTAGCCATTAACACACACAAAACTGTAGACAACAGTACGACATCGGTGACATCAGTCAGCACAATAATGGAACACATGCCCCTACCATTCTAACATAGGCCAATCAGAAAACAGTAGAACATTGGTGGGCGTGGCCTAATTATTTTTATCAGTTCATAGAAACATAATGTGAAAATAATTGCTTGGTTAACCAATCCAATGCCAAAAATTACTTGCAACATTTCTATTCATTGGTACAACCCTAAATTCCCAACACAAAAACTTTCTTTCACAGTCTGTCTGCGTATATTTTAAATGCATTCATCGAAGCTTCATTCATGGAACATGACACTGCAAGGCCAAAGAAGGAATGTCTGGTGGCGGTAGCTGTGTAGGTCCTCCAGGCGATGTGGAAGAGGTCTGGGAACCAGGTTCTTGTCGACCAATGCAGTGCCAAAAGGATCATGGACAGGTTGGTTGTTGATCATTTGGATCACCCGGGTAGGAGCCCTTGTGGGGGAAACTCATAGGCGCTGAGATCTTCTCAGTTTAAGGGCAGGGCATCGACAGTCCAGGCCTGAGGGTTAGGGATTGGAGACATTAACGTAGGTTACTGAGTGTTGTGCCTTGTGGCACTGTTTTTCTCCTGCAGACCACAGCCCTGAGACGCTTTGAACACAGGCGCATCATGAAATCTCGTTGAGAAATGAGTTGTTGTATCTCTAGGTGGTTCATGGGGAGGATGTACGACATGAAGCCGATCCCCTCAGGTGTAGGTAGAGACGATCGGCGTACATAACGTGCGTACAACCACGTGATCGGCCCAGTGGTAGTGGTGGTTGTTGAAGGTGAATCTCAGGTACCTCCCGTTTATGGATTGGGACATGGAGGTAGGCATCTCGGATGTCTGGGGAGATGAGATACTCGTCAGGAGTGATGGACAGACGTAGCAGCAGAAGCGCCGTCATCCTGAACCACGCTGGAGGCTCTAAATGGCGCTGACTGAACATTGTCATGTTGTGAATTATGTATAGTTTCTCTGAATTATTCTTGCGGACGAAAATACTGGGGACCGTAGTTGTTGGTCCAGGTCATCTTTGGCCTCCTTCTCCAGCAGGATGACTGATTTTGGTGGCAAGGAGCTGGGCGTGATCTGAACTGAACCTGAAATGGGGGTGTCATCTAGGAATGCGAGTTGATAGCTGTGTTTTAATAACTTTATTACAAGTGGTCCCCAAGAGGAATCCAATTTTGCCAAACCAGAGTCTTACAGTGAGTTGCGCATAGGGACGGCCAGGGGAGGAAGTTCCTAGTCTTGCCTGTCCCCTGGTAAGTCACTTCTTCGAGCCTATCCTCCCGGAGAACCCCGATCAGCAGCTATGGCTAGATCCGCTCCTGGGGTAGACGCCACAATCCTTGCCTCAAAAAGAATCCTTGTCGTGTCTCTCCTTAACCCGTTTGGTAAGATTACGGTGTGGCTGGTTGCCTTCATGGCGGCTGCTGAAATTATCCTTCATAACCTTGAGGTTGGAGAGAGTGGCCTGGCGATCTTCACTTCTCTCGACTTGTTCTGCCACTGGCGCTGTGGCATTATTAAAGAGGGTTGAGGGTACGCCTGTCCGGTGAGTTGTTGGTTTTCTAACTGCTGCCACCTTAGGTAACAGCGTTTGGAATTGTCCCATCAATTGTAGAGCCCAGGTGACAGGCCTTTGGTAGGCTTGGATCATGTCTTATGCCTGGGCGACCCGTGAAGATCCAGGGTAGAATAGGTCTTCAGCAACCCACGCTTGCCGTAAAAGGCGACTATGCCTGTAAGAGGCGACTAATGGGATCGGGTGATCAGGCTCACTGACTTTGTTGATCATGTCATCGATTCCATTTGTGTGGATCGATGCTCATATTAATCACTGGATTGTCTGGTCCAGGCTTGATTGTTTACAGACCGCTGTCATATAGCTGAAATATTGCTGACCGCGGGGTTAAACAACAAACAAACAAACAAACAAACAAATCTTATGCCTGGGCTCGGACAGGAGTTGAGGCGATGAGCCTGTTGTCGTTTCCTGGTATTAGGGAGGAGGTCTGTAGCGCACTTGGGACTTGGGAGGATAGACATAGCGTTAAGCAATCCAGGAAGCAGAGGTGTGAATCCTTCGCCATTTCTTGCCATTACAATAACTACAGAATATCAGTCTCTCAGCAAGAGAAACGCATTGATGGTTAAACGCCTGAAATGTTTGCAAAAACAAGACTATGACTACTAACCAGGAGTTTCGAGCCAGCATACAATCTCCGAGCCAGGAGCTTCCCTGCCTGGATGGCCACGGGAGTCAGCTGCAGCTTCCCGTCTACAATATCACCAATGGCGTAGATGTTGGGGACACTGGTCTGTTCCCGGTCATCACAGATCACTCGCCCATTTCTGGAACAACAACACAATCATGTCTTTAACTGAAAATAATTAGTCAGTTGATACTGATACTTTTGTTGTTTGTTTGTTGTTTAACGCCCCACTCAGCAATATTCAACCTATATGATGGCAGTCTGTAAATAATCGAGTTTGGACCAGACAATCCAGTGATTGACACCATGAGCATTGATCCACGCAATTGGGATCGTTGACATGCATCAACCAAGCGAGCGAATCTGACCACCCGATCCCGTTAGTCACCTCTTACAACAAGCATAGTCGCCTTTTACCACATGCATGCTGAAGACCCATTCTAACCCGGATCTTTATGGGTATGTTTTTTTTAATAATATGATGTATATATTTTTACTGTAATTATTTGTGATAAAATCATACTGGCATGCACCTCTACATCCATCCTGAAACTAGCACAGGTATGGTTGCCACAGACCAAGGATCAGTGCTAACCCGATATTCAACCGAGGACAAGCACATCTCAGTGATCCACCAATTGGCTACCTGTGCCCTACTTACTTGGGGTTGACTTTAACACCGACGTTCTCCAGTCCGATGCCTGAGGTACAAGGGTCTCTGCCAATAGCGTACAGGATCTGCAACAAACAGCGATAACTCACACAAAGCAGAATACAAATAGTATTGTATTTATAAGCGCATTGCCATGACAATAATAATGATCAGAGATTTAGCAGGAAACATAAGGAATTTTATTACATACAAAATTTGAAACTACTCATTTTGACACCTTGGATCAATATCACTACAATTGCCTGGACCTCTTGTCCAAGGGCAGTAACTCCTCGGGTCTAAAGTTATCAACCTACAATCGCCTTGCCATCTCGACCAAGGGCAGTAACTCCTGGGGTCTAATGTAATCAACCTACAATCGCCTGGCCCTCTCGTCCAAGGGAAGTAACTCCTGGGGTCTAAAGTAATCAACCTACAATCCCATGGCCCTCTCGTCCAAGGGAAGTAAGTACAGGGGTCTAAAGTTATCAACCTACAGTGTTATACTCCTCCACAATCTCCTGGCCCTCTCGTCCAAGGGCAGTAACTCTGTACCTCCCCGGTGTGCCCTCCTCGAGTCGCTCTATCTTCTGTGGCACAGCGTTCCAGACAAACTTCATTCCGCCCTTCTCCATAAAGATCCCAATTTTCTCTGCCATCTGTTGGTCAAACCCTCGGAGGAGGATTGACCTGACCATGACCGTTGTGTCCAGTCCCAGCCCGTGGAGGAAGCCAGCGCACTCTAGCGACACATACGAGGCCCCAACACAGAGTGTCTTGCCTGGACAGTACGGCAGCGAGAAGAGATCGTCACTGAAATGACGTAATCAAATGTGATCACATGATCCATGGTAATATCGTCATTGGTTACATGAACATTTATGTAGCATCAACAGTTCACCAAGCATGAACTCATAGGAAACCACCTATTTTACTCAGAAACAAGCATTTTGATTGGTAAATAATTTTTAGCTTTGTAAATTTGTCCTGCAATATAAACAAGGGATAATTTAATATGCAGTTGCTATAACCACCAAATATTTTGTTGAAATCTTTGATAGGCATTTAGAAGTTGGGAGAACTTGAATACATGACACTTTTTATGGATAGCAACTTCTTTTATTCTCTGTACAACGTTTCAGAGCTACTTCTTGCTCCTTCATCAGGTGAATGCCTAGCAAGTGTTGTTGTTGATGCATTAAGTGTTAAAGAGGTCGCCTTCTGCCTAAGCAATTTAGGCTGACCTGTCCTGTGTGTGAGTAGGGTACACATATCTATTGTGAGTTTGGTATTCACATAATTTCTGGTTTTGTATTGATATGATTTCTATTTTCTTATATTGGTATGATTTCATTTTTATCCTTGGCTGCTCTGTTTATATACGTTCGACTAGCTGTCCATCTCTAGGAAATAGAGTTAGTTTGGCCTTCGCTATTGCATCTCTTAGCTTTAGGAGATCTATGACAGATAGCGGATCTAACTGCAATTCTTGTTTTAACCTAGCCCGGGCTGGTGCATCGTCTTGACATTCTAGTAACACGTGAGCAATGGTTTCAGCCTGATTGCAAGATAAACAAACCTTGTCATAGTGCTTTTTGTGACCGAGTCTGAGGCGTGAGATGGCAATTTCAATTTCTCTTTCATTTGAGTATAAGTTTGGCTTTTGGTGGATCTTGGGTTGAATGTTGTATAGGCATCTGCCGATCTTACTTGCGTCCCACTGGGCTTGCCATCTTTCTGCTATGGAGGCTTTGATTTTGCTTTTTATCTCTAGTTTACTAAAGGGAATAGGCTGTATATCTGCTTTGTCTAGAGCTAGCTTCGCCAGTGAGTCTGCTTTATATTTTCCATGAATATCTATGTGCCTAGCAAGTGCATAGAGTACTTTATATATATCATGATGTTAACACAACACAAGATGGGATGAATGTACAAAGATAACAACATAATGTACAATGGTAACAATATGATGACGAAGACGGTGAGATTAACAGGAGAGGATTAACTAAGTTCAGTGAAGCTGTAGTGGATCTGGCTATTGTGACACAAGCAGTAAGGTTGTCCCGATGTCTCCCCTGTACCTTGTTATACTGTACTCCTTGACCCCAGGGATGTCCGGGTAGCGAGGTCTTTCACCCGTGGCAATGACGATGGTCTCTGTGGTGATTTCCTGGACTTTCCCTCGCTTGTTTGTGGACTGTAAACAAACATCGGCACCCCATCAGAAAAAACTTTCACAACAATCTGAGGAGCCTATCATGCATCCGTTATGAGATAAAACTACCTCCTTGAAACTTAAATGTAAACCAGCCTGTCAACAATCATGGGCTGGGCTGGGCTGCGATGCGATGCATTGGATTGTGATTGTGTTGCGATGCGTGTGGTGTGGTGAGATGTGATGACGTGTGTGTGTGTCTGCTTGTACAAGTCACGACTAATGCCGACTTGAAAGTGTAAGCCCACTGAGATACCATGCCGCAGTTTAACACGAATACCTCGCTCAGACACACTTGTCCTGGCCCCTACTGCCGAGCGCCAGACAGGGTAACAACAAGTACCATCTTTTAACGTATTTTAGTATGACACAGCCGGGGATCGAAGAACTGTGTGCTATAAAAGGAAATAAAAACGAAACATTCGGCAGACCTTCTGATTATGTGGGCGGTGCCTGAGAACGAAGACTATTATTTTTTTCAGCCTTAAGGACTGATTATTCCGTGGTAAATAATTGACACTTGCAGGTAATATGTGGGAACAATGTTTCTTGGAAAATATAGGATAACCCAGATCTCCAAAGTTCCATTTTCACACGTCACGGTATGCTACTACAACATAACAAGAACAAGATTTGATCGATGTTCAGGAGACAAACCTTGATTTTGTGAGGGGTGAGGATTTCCCCATATCCGTTGATGTAGGTGACGTCCTTTTCCCGGAGCTGCACCCGGTAACCCCAGTTGAGAGAACCGATGTAATCCTGAAACATTAACAATGAGTGAGTGAGTGAGTATGGTTTAAGCCGCTTTTAGCAATATTCCAGCAATATCACAGCGGGGGACACCAGAAATGGGCTTCACACACTGTACCCATGTCGGGAATCAAACCCGGGTCTTCGGCGTGACGAGCGAACGCTTTAACCACTAGGCTACCCGACCGCCCCGAAACATCAACAAAGTAAATGTCATATCACAGATCTGTTAACAAAGACTGATGTGAAACCCACGAGGACAAACTGCTTAGATTGGTTGACCTCAACTTTGAACAGTATTTCAGTCTATTCCCAATTTGTCAGGTTCAAGTGGGAGACAGAGGTAGGTCTTGGGCTGTTACTATCTAGGGGAATACACTAAACACTAGGGCTGGGACGAGTCCAAATTCACTAACCGGGTACCCGCCCCCCTATTACCCTACCCTACCCGGGTACCCACTGTAGGTCTCAGGAGATGTCTCAAAACGTCCAATTGGGAACTTCTTAAGCATAGCCCTTGCAAAATGTATTTAGATACATGTATTAAACAATCTGGTCACCGCTTTTAGCAATATTCTAGCAATATCAGGGCGAGGGAGTACAGAAATGGGCTTCATACATTGTATCCATGTCAGGAATCGAATCCGGGTTTTCGGCATGACGAGCGAACGCTTTAACCAGAAGGCTAATTGATTGCCCCGTTGATCAAACAACTGCCAAATCAGCGATATAATACCCACTGCATAGTGTTCACTTCACAAATGTACTTTAACATGCTTAAACCTTCCTTAGGCTTAAAAAAATGAAACAAATTGGTTCTCAGGCAATGTCTTTTGAAAATACAGTGCGGGCAGGCAGTGTTTTTGTTTGTTTTTTTTTTTGTTCAAACTAGTACTTAACCAAAGAAACAGTTGTGTACAATCAACTTGGGAAAGGGCCACCCTACATAAATGTTTTTCTTGATGCGTAATAACTGGAATACAGTATCTGACAACTGTTGGACTTGGAATCTTTAAGGATTTTCTTGTTTTTCTTAAAAATGGAAATTAAAAGAAACATGCTGCAAACTTTATGATGATGTGGGCGGTGCCTGAGAACCAAGACTATTATTTTTTATAGCGTTACCAAGCAAAGCTTTGAGCAACCACACAATAGTTACCTGAATGCCGTCCCGCATGACGTCCCATTTGTGATTTGGCTCTGCAATAAAAATATTTGAAAATGATTTATTATCATGCTGTCCATGGATCAGAATCGTTTGTAATAAACATGGTCTGAAACGTCTTACATACTTTTAACCACTAAATTTGTAATAACTAAAACAACTATTCACAGCATTTAAGTCCAGTTATTTTCAGCCGACGTACTTGTTTCCCCATAGTCCCAGCCGAACTTCTTGGAGTCTTCGTGTTCCTCTCCTGCAACAAGGAATGCAATACACATGTAAGTGCAATACGTCTTGAGTGGATGTGAGTGCGTTACATGTTGCTATTCCCAGTATTTCAGTCATATCATGGCAAGCCAGATTTTGATCGATAGCTGATGCTGGCTCAGGCCTTCATTTGGTATTGTGCAACCAAATCAGAGCAAATCTTCCAACACCTGTGACCACTGGATCCTGGTGTAGCTAAGGGAGACAACTAAGGTTGAGTTCAGAACATTGCATTACTATGCACCCCCTTCACCCTAGCTGTCAACATTATTAAGTCATTTCAATGCCAGTTCTTCTAACACTAAGATTTTTGCTTGTTTGTTTGTTGATTGACACCACCCTCTGCAATGTCACAGTTATATGACGGCGGTCTGTAAATAATACAGGCTGGACCAGACAATCCAGTGATTGACATCATGAGCATCGATCTACACAATCAACCAAGTCAGCGAGTCAGACCAGCCGATCCCGTTAATCGCCTCTTATGACAAGCATGGCTTGCTGAAGATCAATTCTAACCCAGAATCTTCGCGGGGCAAAGAAGTTGTTGATCAGAACACATATCAGAGAGAATAATACCTGATCTTGTATTGATATCAATATGATCAACATGCGTATTGGTGCATGTCACATTGTTACACGAGTTTGAGGTAGAGCCTTATGTTACCATGGTTACAACATTGATACACCAATACATCAGCAAAGAAACGGCAACCAATAAAGGACCCACTTTCATTATCAAACAGCACATTATCATGATTATTTGGAGAGCTAAATTTATGCTTTCCATCACAAAATCAACAGTTTAAATCAAATGTTGCACACACAAGCATATTGCATCAGTAAGCTTATGTCCTTTGTTATTAAGAGGCTAGGTTAAATCATGTGATAAAATCATAGCCCTGACTAGTTATCACAAGGAGTGAGTGAGTTGGGTTTAACGCTGCTTTTAACATTATATCACGGCATCTTTATCAGAAGGAGAACAAGTATTTGTCACAGAGTGACGAAATATCCCCCGCCATATACACCATAGTACCAAATATGAAGACAATCCAGCGATTAGTTCTTGAGATATTGTGGCAACACCGTTTTCCAACTCCAAAAACAGATTTGCCTGCTGTGACCTTGAAAATGGGGTCAAGGTCACCAAATCTGACAGGTGTATGCGGTGTCTGTATATACACTATAGTTCCAAATATGAAGACAATCCAGTGTTTAGTTCTTGAGATATCGCGGCAACACCGTTTTCCAACTCCAAAAGCAGATTTGCCTGCTGTGACCTTGAAAATGGGGTCAAGGTCACCAAAACCGACTGGTGTCTGCGGTGTCTGTATATACACCATAGTTCCAAATATGAAGACAATCCAGTGTTTAGTTCTTGAGATATCGCGGCAACACCGTTTTCCAACTCTAAAAGCAGATTTGTCTGCTGTGACCTTGAAAATGGGATCAAGGTCACCAAAACCGACTGGTGTCTGCAGAGTCTGTATATACACCATAGTTCCAAATATGAAGACAATCCAGTGTTTAGTTCTTGAGATATCGCGGCAACACCGTTTTCCAACTCTAAAAGCAGATTTGTCTGCTGTGACCTTGAAAATGGGATCAAGGTCACCAAAACCGACTGGTGTCTGCGGAGTCTGTATATACACCATAGTTCCAAATATGAAGACAATCCAGTGTTTAGTTCTTGAGATATCGCGGCAACAAACAGGTGGGACGTACGGACGGTCGTGAATACTATATCCCCCGCTTCGCGCTTTCGCGCGGCGGGGGATAAAAATTGAAGCATATTATAAACAACCTTACCTAGTACCGACGCCCGGTGCATCAGCTTCTTCGGGATGCATCCGACATTTACACACGTTCCTCCCAATCCTGGGCACAGAAGAACATGGTATATATCACAAGCATCTACAGGAAATTGTTCTCATATTCAATACAAAGAAAATATTCCAAACAATACATAAACTTATTTAATACCGATAATGTTATCAGTGTCATAAATCCTTTTTTAATCCCACTAACGAGGAGGGCTGGTGACTCATGAATGTAACTAGCCTGTCTAAAATTCTGCATTCATGACCACAGGTAGCTCTTGTGCTCTTGAAAGTGAGTGACATTTCAAAAACAGTTGGGCATGTACGATTAAATTTCACCTATTCCAACATAACATGTTACCAACCATTGGACAGCAGGCAGGCAGGTATTTCAGACACTGTATGTTATAGATCATGACAGTAGTTAGGTTTAACAATACCTTAGTAACATCCTAGCACTAAAGCCTGTATTCACAACACTATTTCCTAAATGTGGGAGAAAGCAAAATAAATCATCACAATGCCAGAATCATGACCATGATGACGCTACTGTCTGTGAGTGTTTATTTTGTTTGTTGTTTATCGTCGCACTCAGCAATATTCCAGCTATATGATGGTGGTCTGTAAATAATCAAGACTGGACCATGAATACACAATACCATTTAGAAAGTGGTCAAATGTAACAAATGTTATATTTGGGATAACACTTTCTCAGTAAAGTACAGATTCTCGTACTTTTGGGGGGTTGAGTCCCGTCCGGGATTCAAACCCACACTTGCCAGAGTGAGGCACCTAATCGCCAGCACACAAAGTCAGAGATCTAACCCACTCAGCCACCGAGGCTTCCACAAAAATGAAAGTCTGACAAATGGTAGTCTAGATCACGTACTTTGAGTACCCCTCTGAGCCTCACTCTGGCAAGTGTGAGTTCAAATCCCAGACGGACTCAACCCCAAAAAGTACGAGAATCTGTACTTTACTAAGAAAGTGTTATCCCAAATATAACATTTGTTACATAAGACTGGACCAGACAGTCCAGTGATTGACAACCGGATCCTGTTGGTCGAATCTTACGACAAGCATAGTCACCTCCGTGTCATCACAACACCAGAGTCCTGACACTACTGTCCGTGACAATAGAATGAAATTCAATGACGAGTCTATGTGGTTTATCATGATTATGGAATTGTTAATATCATTATTTTTTCCCCTTTTAATACACATGTACTCACCCCATGCTGTTCCCTGCGGGCTTGGTTTTACAAAGTCTAGAAGGGCAACTTTCTTTCCTAACTGTGCAGCTTCCTGGAATACAAGTTTAGGAAAGGTTGAGGAGAAATGGGGTTTAACGTTGCCTTCATTCTATTGCACTTACACATAGCTACATACAGTCAAGTCTCGTTAATCCGACATCGTTGGTTGCACATGATTGTGTCGGATTAACGAGTATGTCGGATTAACGAAATTAAGTGATTTGTGATCGAAAATTGGACGTCTTCACGATAGATAATAACCCTGTGTACCTTGTAATAAAATCATTAAAAAAGGAATATTTATATTGTTATGTTGTTTATTCATTCATTATAATTAATGACATACATACAGGATTGAATAGCTTTTTCCTGTTAATTGTTAAGTTAATCTCTGCAGCCAGTGCGTGTCAAAACATGGGGTTGTGTACTCGCGGGCAGATGACCACGGACTACGCTGACCACTGTGTCGGATTAACGAGACTGATTAATGAGTGATTTCGGTAATTGTTGCAAATTAGGTGTGTCGGAGTCGGAATGCGAGAATGTCGGATTAACGGGACTAAATAGCACTGAATCAATCGGTTCCCATCATTTGTGTCGGATAAAGCCGAGTGTCGGATTAACGAGACTTGACTGTAGATACATTTTAACTAAAAATTCTGTCCAATAAATTTACATTTGAAAGTATTTAATCTTCTTGCTTATACTATGCGACAGTGAGTGATTCCATACACACTGTCACCAGAATAAGGTCAGTGTTCGAAATTAACCATGAAAGTCGAGGGGTCAGAACCCCGTTGTTAAAAGTTAAAAATTAAGGCGTTTCAATTACCATCCTAGATCCAAACCCTTATTTTCAAACAGTGACTTTAAAACAGTTAAAATTGCTGCCTTTGCCTTGGTAAAATTGAACATTTCTATTTTTCTTGCATAATAAAGATAATACTGAAGGTTAGATGTTTTTAAAGATAAGTGTTCTCAGCAGGAGTAGAAAATGAGAACTCATTGTTCAAAATGAAAAGGGGAGTCCTCTGGGTCTAATGTAATAGTTTTCAAATCCATGGAACCTTTTATCTTAATTTTTAACATTAAGTTTATCCTTGGACTCCTTGACTTATTTCCTTTAACACTGTAAACTGGTGCAACAACCCTGTCCCACAATGATCGGTCCTCTTACCTTGGCAGCAGCGAGTCCACCTGACCCCCCTCCTATCACAACCAGATCATATTCATAGGCAGTGCTTGGTGTGGACACCGTCACCATCAGCCTGTTGTCGGAGTGGAGCTTCAGCACAGAGTCACACCCACCTGGCAATGAACAGAGCCTTCAACATACACTACATCAACACTATATATACCAACAGCTTGTGATGGGTGTTGTCCTGACATTCATATTGCAATAATGTTTGTTTGTTTGTTGTTTACACCGCACTCAGCAATATTCCTGCTATATGACAGCAGTCTGTAAATAATCGAGTCTGAGTGAGTGAGTGAGTATGGTTTTACGCCGCTTTTAGCAATATTCCAGCAATATCACGGCGGGGGACACCAGAAATGGGCTTCACACATTGTACCCATGTTGGGAATTGAACCCGGGTCTTCGGCGTGACGAGCCAACGCTTTAACCACTAGGCTACCCGAAGGCGCCCCTAATCGAGTCTGGACCAGACAATCCAGTGACTGACATCATGAGCATCGATCCACGCAACTGTGATACGATGGCATGCATCAACCAAGTCAGCGATCGAGATGAGACCTTTAGAAGCAACTCCTACACTCAGTGAGTAAGCGGTTAGCGTATTTGACGTAATAAGCGCCCAGCTCTAGTAGCGCCCGGGGCGATATTTGCTAATATATTGGCTTGTGAACAATCCCCTTCCGATTGATCAATGTACACAAGACTTATTTATTCATGTATAATACGCACTCGTGTGTTATATGCATCGTTAATTATGGGGAATTAAATTCTGGAAAAATATGTTTCACATAAACATTTCAGGCTGTCAGCATAAACCACGAAATTTATCTTTCAACTCCGTTTTTTTTCACCAAAATGATATTCTAATAATAGCCCCCTATTTCTAAATTTGAGAGTGCCCAGGGCGCTTATTACGTCGAATACAGAATTGCTTAACGCCACATCAGCTGTTCACAGCAGCCTACATTCAAAAAGCACTTTTCTACTTGTAGGCAGGGGTATGAAGCATAACATGGGATTTGCTTATTTACCTCTGCAAATATTGCTTTCCAAGGTAATACCTTTTTTTCTTCAAAATATTTAACATAATCTTTTCTCATAAAGGTTTTTCATATTTACAAATAGTAAATACCGTATTCGACGGAATAAGCGCCCCACTCCAATAAGCGCCCAGGGCGGTATTTGTTAATATATTGGCAAGTGAACAATCCCAATTAGCACCCCTTCCAACTGATCAATGTACACAAGACTTATTTATTCGCGTATAATACACACTCGTGTGTTATATGCATCCTTAATTATGGGCAATTTAATTCTGGAAAAATATATCTGTCGTACATAAACACTTCAGGCTGTCAGCATAAACCACGAAATTTATCTTTCAACTCTGGTTTTTTTCACCAAAAAAATATTCTAATAAGAGCCCCCTATTCCTAATTTTGAGAGCGCCCTGGGCGCTTATTACGTCAAATACGGTAGTCCAAATCAATGGCTGTCTCACACAGGGCATCCAAAGAGTTACCTCCCCTGTCATTGACTCACCAATATGGTTTCCATTGATGAAGACGTTAGGCACAGTTTTCTGTCCTGTGAGCTCGAACAGACCGGCCTGGATAGCGCTCATGTTGTCTGTAACAATATATACCAACTTATCTACAGCCTCAGTCTCAGCTGATGATGCTAAATAAAGAAGACGATGTGTATGCCATTTCCATTATTACAAACTAATGCCATTTAGGATGTTTAGAAAAACAAATCATTCTTTTTCAGACAGCATCAAGTATAATTAAAAAAGGGAATAACTATGAATATGATGAAACTAGAAAAAAGATAATATATGCCCATATTTTAACTAAAGTCAGGGTTTTACGTGATGCACAAATGTGCGTCCAGTATGCACAAATGTAGAAAAATTATACACTCCGTCCCTCGCGATGCACAATTATATACACTGTACCTACAGTGCAGTAAGAGCAGTTATGGGGGTCTGTTATTTCATCCATCAATCATGACCACTGTCCACATGATCATTGATTCTGTCCAGGCTCTGAAGTAATTATCTGAACGTACAGTACACCATTACGTTACTTTACAGGACCCTCACATTGCCTGTAGGGACCCTTACAAGTGATCATTGAGGGTCCTCTGGCCAAACACCCTGTAAAATGTACGTGTGTCTGTGTGTGTCAGCTCACACACAAGCATTATTCCAGCTATACCATGCATGCCAAAATAGGCCAGGTAAATCAATCAAGTCACACCATCACACATCTTCCTTTCAGTTAGTGAGACTGCCTCCGTGGTCTTGTGGTTGAGCGTCCAATCGGAGAGCCTAAGGTCGGGTGTTCAAACCACGGACGTGTCATACCAAAAGAGGTTAAAAGATAGTACTTGTTGTTACCCTGCCTGGCGCTCGGCATTAAGGGGCTAAAACAAGGACTGGCAGCTCAGAGTCAGCATACTGTGTCTGAGTGAGGCATTCACTGGTATCTCAGTGGGCTAGCTCTATAAAATTGGCATTTGTCCGGAGTAGTACAAGCAGCCACTCACACACACACATGCATGCACGTCGCTATAAGGGCAATAATCTTGGATGCGACATTAAACCCCATTTCACCTCACCTATCAGTCAATAGCTGAATCAGACCACTTACCTAACTTGTCTATTTCAAGAGCTGTGTATTCAACATTCAGCGTCTTGAACAAGTCCTTCACCTACAATAGTTAAAAAACATATTCAAGCCAGGCTCAGAAATTTACTTTTTTAACCAAGTCTTGTTTGTTTTTGTGTAACACCTCAATCAGCAATATTCCAGATATAACGGCTGTCTGTACACAATCGAGTCTGGACTAGACAATCCAGTGATTGACACCATGAGGATCGATCCATGCAATTGGGATACGATGACATGCATCAACCAAGTCAGCGAGCCTGACCACCCGATCCCGTTAGTCACCTCTTACGACAAGCATAGTCGCCTTTTACGTCAAGCATGGGTGGCTGAAGACCTAATCTACCCCGGATCTTCACGGGTCCTTTATCATGTACATGTGTATGCTTTTAGGAATGTAAGTGTGCCCACAAGAATTCCCGTTACATACATAATATCACTATCCCTGCCATCAGAATTTGAGATGACTGGCAAGGTTTGGTTTAACGCCACTTAAACAGAATTTCAGTTATATCACAACATGCAGAGTTGAAAATAATAGCCTGTCACACCGTCCGTGGAGGGTTAATTTCAGGAAAGACAAATGAAATACAAAGTCTATCCATCCTGTGGACAGTCACATATTTTCTTTCAATTAATGATACATATATCCATAAATAACCCTAATTCAAATTCTAAGTAATAGACAAAGAAAATGATATGCATATATTTGGGACTGACAACTTTTGAGAAGGACTGGAAAGTTTTTCAAGTAGCCAGTCCTGTGATCTAGGGGAAGCTTATTTTAAGTATGCAACACTGCAACATGAGAACTTGATGTGGAGGAAAGCCTGAAGTAATGCCGGTCTTAAACGTTTACACCTTGGTAAACTCAACGAGCATGAGTGAGGTGTGTTTAACACTGCTTTTAATAGTATTCCAGTCATATCACGGCGTGTCAGCTTAATTTGGGAGGAATGTTGAAGTGATGCAGGTTTCAGACATTTATCACTTTGGTGAAACCCACGAGCACGGGTATGGCGCTGACGAACCTAGAAACATAATCGGGGTGAACTGGGATTCGAACCCACAACCATAGGTTTCTCGCAACTCTTCACAGCAAATCGCGGCGCCTTAGACGACCGGACCACCCGGGAAACAAACATGTGCATTGTTCTGACAGGCAACAAGTGCTTGATGGCTAGCTATACAAAAAAACTCTGCAGGACTCAGTGGATGAATTACCTTCTGACAGAATGGACATGTTGTCTTGCTGAAGATCATAACCTTGTTTTTGCTTATGTAGTCTTGCAGGGTGGACTTCATGTCCCCGTTGACTGTGAGAGGTGGCATCCTGGCCACAAGGTAGACTCAAGCTCCAAGTGCTTCCAGATTACTATGATCACTGAAACAAAGAAAATTTAAATAATATTATACATATATATTATACTTTGAAGAACTAGATGGGGACATAGGGTTGAGCAACGCTTAGACATTATGTGTTAACCTGTCGTCTAGTTCTATCAAAGTATCGTGATCTGTTCACATTGTGACTTGGGTATTATACATCCAACTTTTTTCAAAATCCCAAACCTAACTTTGTATTAATACTGGATCCATGTAAATATTTTGTTTCAGGGATTTTCATGCCTTTGAAACACATGACAGGGGAAAATAACATCTTTTATTTTATAAAAACATTTATATTATTTTGTTTGATCCGCCCTTGAGATCTCTATATGTTGTTTATATTTAAAACACCCAAAAGTTTAGCCCACTCTTATCCGTGTACACTGACTTCTTATTTCACATAAAATTAGGCACTGCCTTATAATAAAGTTATATAATCATAAGCTTCAGTAACAAAACATAATAAATACAAAAAGAACAGAAATTGCTGGTGGGAGCCGAAGCAAAGGGAGGTAACTCCGGTACATATGAGGGATGAGAGGTTTGTTTAAAGAATTCAGTCTTGGAATTCAGTCAAATGATTATCCACAATAATAAACTGAAACTGATATCAACAAGACATTAAATCAAATTACCTTTTCTCTTCAACGTAAACAGATTCTCAAATCGATACCGCAGACATATCGGCGGGAAAAGAACGAGGTTGACATGCTAAAATGTGCTTGTCATCGTTCATATGAAAGTGGACAGATTACACGACACACGATAACGCCTAGTCCAGATAGGGCACGCACAGCTATCGTGACCCGACTGAACTTCGTATAACCAATATCCAAGCAATGTCAAACAGGATACCTTCTCACACACTCACAGATCGTCGCGAACCTTACAAGACAAAAACTAGGCTAGGCCTAACACACGTGTTTACATTGGTTCAGATCTCCCCAAATATAACTATAGAAACAAATACAAAACAAGGAAATAAAATAGGTTAATGGCTATCAAGCAACGTTGATAAATCTGTGTCATACTCACATTATTTTATATATTGTTCACTCAGCGACAGCCTTGTGAACACTGAGCTCTTGCCGTCCGTCACGTGACTTTCTGACGTCACAGTAAAGTTGCTGTTTCATGTTAGAAACGAACAGTACAGGTGCACGAATATTCGATCAATTTCGTTAGACGACACAGGATCTACGCGTTTGGCGCGACCGTTTCCGACAGGATCTAAATGCGGATGGTTTATGCAATGCGCACAATGTATGACATTCAGCGAATAAGAGAATAAGTTAAAAGCAAACGGATATAGAATGGTTTTTTTCCCAAGCACAGAACAATCCATGTGTACGTACCTTTTAGCAGAGACCCTATATCGGTATATGGTCCTGGTTTAAGTGCCTGGATAGCGTACCAAGAGCAGACATACACTGTATATTATGTTGGGTTGGTTTAATATGCCTATAGATCTATCTGATTTGGTATGAATTCATAAGGTAGTTTATTCAGGGTAAATATATTTACGTGGGTACTGAAAAGTTTCGTTTCTTCGTTTGTTTAACGCCTCACTCAGCAATATTCCAGCTGTCTGTAAATAATCGAGACCAGACAATCCAGTGACTAATATCATGAGCATCGATCCACGCAACTGGGATACGATGACATGTATCAACCAAGTCAGCGAGCCTGACCCCCCGATCCCGTTAGTCGCCTCTTACGGGTACTGAAATGAAAACGTTTGATAATTAATTTAATCTACAGGTCTTCAAGTATTGAATTTTAAAACAAAAACATTACTTCGTCAGCACAATATATATATATATATATATATATATATATATATATATATATGATATATTTATATACTATTTATATGTACATAAAAACATATGATTCAATACATATATTGATGGAATGTATGTACCACTGATTTCGCTGACAGTATGAGTGATAATTTTCTGTTCTATTATGTCAATGAAAAGTAACATTGATGGACAAAAATGTAAATATTGCTGACAATTTTCGGCACTAGACGACACGCATTCAGCACAATAGGATGCACACTACAACCAAACAGGCAACAAGGATTCAGGATATGTACAAGTATATGTACAAAGCACAGCGCATGCGCCCTAATGACCCGGATCCAGGAGTGTGCAGGTGGATGAACCATCACAGCTTTCCCGAAGAGTCTGCCAACCCGGCCCCTTTAAATATAGTACGCGGTATTCGCTGGTATACTTAGAGGGTATTCGGGTCTCAACCGTGTTTTGTTGGCAGATACAACATTGATGAGATAATAATGGCGTAGGTAAACATTTCCTTTTATATGTTTTATTTCATCGATATTGTTTCAGTGATTTGACTTGTAATCAGACCCTTTTCTCACTGGTTTCGAGATTTGCATTAAGTATGATTTGAATTTCAGGGGTGAACAATGAGGTGGTGATGTGAGGTGAAATGGGGTTTAACGTCGCGTCAAGATTATTGCACTTATATAGCGACGTGCATGCACGTGTGTGTGTGTGTGGCTGCTTGTACTAGTCCAGACTGATGCCGATTTATAGTGCTAGCCCACTGAGATACCATGCCGCAGTTTAACATGAATATCCCACTCAGACACAGTATACTGACTCCGAACCGACCAGTCCTTGTTTTAGCCCCTTAATGCCGAGCGCCAGACAGGGTAACAACAAGTACCATCTTTTAACGTCTTTTTGTATGACGCGGCCGGGGATCGAACCCCGGACCTTCCGCTCTCCGGGCGGACACTCTACCACTAGACCACGGAGGCGGTCGGGTGAACAATGAGATTACGAAGCGTGTATACATTCGAAAATTGTGAATGTGATTGGGTATATACGAGTTAGTAGTCTATCTCACTTTTCCCTTCCGTCCAGCTCTTTCTGTAACAGGGGGGCACGGGTGGCCCAGTCGTCTAAGGCGCCGCGATTCGCTGTGCAGAGTTGCGTCTCTTGGGCACGCCAGAAACCTATGATTGTGGGTTCGAATCCCGGTTCGCCCCAATTATGTTTCTAGGTTTGTCAGCACCATAACGTGCTCCTGGGTTTCACCGAAGTGGTTAACGTCTGCGACCTGCATCACTTAGGGCTTTCCTCCCACATTAAGCTGACACGCCGTGACATAACTGGAATACTGTTAAAAGCGGCGTTAAACCCAACTCACTCACGCACTCACTTTCTGTTACATTAAAGCCCTAAATAAAGCAAGTCTAGATATTCCTCAGGTACAGGTTCTAAGAGTTCGTATAAGGAGTAAGTAAAGGTATGGTAAAGCTATAGTAACTTATGACTAACTCAGCTGGCGATGTACTTTTAAACAGTCACGCGACTTAAAACGCGATTTGCCAAATATTATATTTTATAAAATGCGCTCCTGCATCCGCGCTTCGGATGAGCCCCCCCCCAAAAAAAACAAAACAAAAAAAACAAAAAACAAAAAAAACAAACAAAAAACAACAAACAAAAAACAAAACAAAACAACAACAAAAAATACAAATCCCACATTTTTATTTTGAGCGGTATATTTGAAGAACAGGCGAGGTGTTATCTGTGAATATCTAGAGCGGTGGGGTAGCCTAGTGGTTAAAGCGTTCGCTCGTCACACCGACGACCCAGGTTCGATTCCCCACATGGTGCATAGGTACAATGTGTGAAGCCCATTTCTGGTGTCACCTTTCGTGATATTGCTGGATTACTGCTAAAAGCGGTGAAAAAAACCCATAATCACTCACTGTTAGTATCTGGCTCACAGTTGAACTACATCGACTGTCCCCATCCCAGCTTCTGCAACATTTTGAAAAAAGTCCGAAAGAGCCGACTAACGAGTATGGGTAATTCTAGCTCACTCAAAATGCAGCATTTCAAGAAACTATACTGATAAACGCATAGGGGCTTTCGTCGCATAAGATATCTGGGCCCACTTGCACAAAGCGATCTTAGCGCTAAGATGATCGTAACTGCCATACTTCAGCATGCATAGGCTTACACCAGTCTTAGCGCTAAGATCGCTTTGTGCATGTGGGCCCAGGCCACAACCAGAGCCACTCTTGTAACCATATATCTTGTAGCTGCTATCTTTTGCGTTACAGGGACCTGGGCCCACTTGCACAAAGCGACCTTAGCGCTAAGACTATTGTAAGCCTATGTTAAAGTATGGGAGTTACGATCATCTTAGCGCTAAGATCGCTTTGTGCAAGTGGGCCCTGTTCGTCGGCAACGTCAGTTCACTGGTCCCCGCTAGTGACACGGTCCCTATGTTATCAAAGTAAACATTACGATCCTTGATCCCTTCAAACGATTTTTTTAAATTATCCCGTGGTGGCTATAGTTTGTTTTGTTTATTATTTATTTTTACAATTATAAATACTACTGTGCTGACCGAATTTTGTGTAAATAGTCCATGTATTTTTTAAGTTAAATGATAGTGTCTCATAGCCCTAAACGGATGGCTTACTAAAGTTTTAATAACACGTATTTCTATCAGCAATATTCACTCATTCGCTTATGTATGCAATGGAGTAAAATTAGATGAGTAAAATATTTTCAGTTCCATTCAAAAACGAAATGAAAATTTCATTTTGACTGTATATAGATCTATATATATAATTTCATTTTGACTGTATGACATAATACGTTATTGTTTTTTATATCTATATATAATTGCATTTATATATCTCTTGACGGAAGGATTAATGCTCGAAGGATAGATTTATACAGATACATGTTCCCGATTGGCTTATCATTGTACACGACCGCCTCCGTGGTCTAGTGGTAGAGCGTCCGCCCGGAGAGCGTCATACCAAAAGACGTGAAAAAAGATGGTACTTTTTGTTACCCTGTCTGTCTGGAGTTTTTTTTCTGACGCACATTTTTTTAAGATCGGAAAAGTGAAGGTTGTGCGAGAATTGCGCTCACGCGGAACTGGATCTACCTCTGGCTATAAAATTACGCAGAGGTGGAGAATATTAAATTTCTTATTTGATAGTGTAAATTTAACTGTAAATATCAAACCGGTTTTTAAGAAAGACACTCCTAAGTGTTGTCCGAGAATTGTTTCTGCGTTGAAAAACAGTAAATTTCTCGGCTTTTTATCGTACACCGATAAAAGTACTGTGCGACAAAAAAAATTATTAAGAAGCTTTACGGAAACGGTGAGCGAACAAAATACTGCCTAATATCTGAACGACATAACTACATATCAAATGGAGTTATATGCGTATGTATAACGACATACATTCAATTCCAAAAATAGCATGCCGTAAATGACGAAAACTGATTTTTCTCTATGACGTCAAAAGGTGACAGAGAGGTTACACACGTACAAAGAAAAGGGGGCATAACTCCGCTATGCTTAGCTCTAGTTTGTTGTAACTCTGGTCACTTGGTGAGAATTAGCTGTGGGTAAGGACAATATATTTTCGTGGTGTTTTGTTCAGGAGGAACCAAACTATTCCAACACAAATATCGATATTGAAACTGTACACGTTTAGTTATAAAATATATCTGTATCCAACGACATAAAAGACAAATCCAAGACCAAGACATTTCAGAAATGTGTGCATATATTTTACCGAAAAATATTACCAATTTTGTTAAAATAATATATTCAGTTTTAGTTATAAAATAAAATGAAACGGCTATTCATGGACATTGGTTATATGAACTTATAATATTGACTTATTACACATCCCAAGAAATACGTACATGCTGCAGTTACATTTACACTTCATCTTGTAACACTTGTCCAAAGGAAATAAATATCGTAGTCGACACTATAACCTATCACATTGTTATGTAAACAATGTTCAAACAAACAGGAGATTATCAAAGGTTCGTTCATACATGTTGTGGCCTATATGTACGTATGATTTCATTTTGAACATTGACAAATATCCAAAGTGAAATTAATTGTGTGAACAAATGTATAAAAGACATGCAAAATATACACCATAACTGAAACTGTAAACAGCATGATACAGTGATCGTGTGCACTCCCATTCAAGGACCTTCACCTCAAAGAAATTACCAAATATGTACAACAATGTTGACGTATGACATCAATATCTGTGACCCACTTTTACAAAATGGCGTGTACACTTTCAACAGTACGCGGGATTGTACGAGGGGACTTTCGTTGATTCAGGGATCGTATAAACATACATGTGACATGTAAGTAATCAGAAACATTCTGACAATCTATGAACTGTTATTTGTTGTCAAAATTTTCATTGAAACAAACGGATATAGTCAGAAATTCCGATAAATACCGTTGTCGTTGTGCGTGATTTTGCGTCAGTCATGGCGTCAACCAGAACGGTAACTTTGACAACTTCTGTTGAAAATA